TGCCCCTATATACTGGCAGCACTGTGACAGTCCTGGAATGTGCCCCTATATACTGGCAGCACTGTGACAGTCCTGGAATGTACCCCTATATACTGGCAGCACTGTGACAGTCCTGGAATGTGCCCTTACATGCCTGCAGCACTGTGACAGGCCTGGAATGTGCCCCTACATGCCTGCAGCACTGTGACAGTCCTGGAATGTGCCATTACATGCTGGCATAGTGTGACAGTCCTGGAATGTGCCCCTACATGCTGGCATAGTGTGACAGTCCTGGAATGTGCCCCTCTATGCTGCCAGCACTGTGACAGTCCTGGAATGTACCCCTATATACTGGCAGCACTGTGACAGTCCTGGAATGTGCCCCTATTTACTGGCAGCACTGTGACAGTCCTGGAATGTGCCCCTATATACTGGCAGCACTGTGACAGTCCTGGAATGTGCCCCTATATACTGGCAGTATTGTGACAGTCCTGGAATGCGCCCCTACATGCTGGCAGCACTGTGACAGTCCTGGGATGTGGCCCTATATGCTGGCATAGTGTGACAGTCCTGGGATGTGTCCCTATAAGCTGACATAGAGTGACAGTGCTGGGATGGGCCCCTATATGCTGACATAGTGTGACAGTTCTGTGATGTGTCCAGATATGCTGGTATAGTGTGACAGTCCTGGGATGTGTCCCTATATGCTGGCATAGTGTGACAGTCCTGGGATGTGCCCCTATATGCTGACATAGTGTGACAGTCCTGGGATGTTCCCTTATATGCTGACATAGTGTGACAGTCCTGGGATGTGCCCCTATATGCTGACATAGTGTGACAGTGCTGGGATGTGTCCCTATATGCTGACAGAGTGACAGTCCTGGGATGTGCCCCTATATGCTGACAGTGCTGGAATGTGCCCCTATATGCTGACATAGTGTGACAGTGCTGGGATGTGTCCCTGTATACTGACATAGTGTGACAGTGCTGGGATGTGTCCCTGTATACTGACATAGTGTGACAGTGCTGGGATGTGTCCCTGTATACTGACATAGTGTGACAGTGCTGGGATGTGTCCCTGTATGCTGACATAGTGTGACAGTGCTGGGATGTGTCCCTGTATGCTGACATAGTGTGACAGTGCTGGGATGTGTCCCTATATGCTGGCATAGTGTGACAGTGCTGGGATGTGCCCCTATATGCTGACATAGTGTGACAGTGCTGGGATGTGCCCCTATATGCTGACATAGTGTGACAGTGCTGGGATGTGCCCCTATATGCTGACATAGTGTGACAGTGCTGGGATGTGCCCCTATATGCTGACATAGTGTGACAGTGCTGGGATGTGTCCCTATATGCTGACATAGTGTGACAGTGCTGGGATGTGTCCCTATATGCTGACATAGTGTGACAGTGCTGGGATGTGTCCCTATATGCTGACATAGTGTGACAGTGCTGGGATGTGTCCCTATATGCTGACATAGTGTGACAGTGCTGGGATGTGTCCCTATATGCTGACATAGTGTGACAGTCCTGGGATGTGCCCCTATATGCTGACATAGTGTGACAGTGCTGGGATGTGCCCCTATATGCTGACATAGTGTGACAGTGCTGGGATGTGTCCCTGTATGCTGACATAGTGTGACAGTGCTGGGATGTGCCCCTATATGCTGACATAGTGTGACAGTCCTGGGATGTGTCCCTATATGCTGACATAGTGTGACAGTGCTGGGATGTGTCCCTATATGCTGACATAGTGTGACAGTGCTGGGATGTGCCCCTATATGCTGACATAGTGTGACAGTGCTGGGATGTGTCCCTATATGCTGACATAGTGTGACAGTGCTGGGATGTGCCCCTATATGCTGACATAGTGTGACAGTGCTGGGATGTGTCCCTGTATACTGACATAGTGTGACAGTGCTGGGATGTGTCCCTGTATGCTGACATAGTGTGACAGTGCTGGGATGTGTCCCTGTATGCTGACATAGTGTGACAGTGCTGGGATGTGTCCCTATATGCTGACATAGTGTGACAGTGCTGGATGCGCCCTATATGCTGGACATAGCGTGATGCGCTGGGATGTGTCCCTGTATACTGACATAGTGCTACAGTGCTGGGATGTGCCCCTATATGCCATAGTGCGTTGGATGTAGTCCCTGTGTATACTGACATAGTGTGACAGTGTTGATGTGTCCGTATGCTGGACATAGTGTGTGACAGTGTTGGGATGTGCCCCTATATGCTGACATAGTGTGACAGTGCTGGGATGTGTCCCTATATGCTGGCATAGTGTGACAGTGCTGGGATGTGCCCCTATATGCTGACATAGTGTGACAGTGCTGGGATGTGCCCCTATATGCTGACATAGTGTGACAGTGCTGGGATGTGCCCCTATATGCTGACATAGTGTGACAGTGCTGGGATGTGTCCCTATATGCTGACATAGTGTGACAGTGCTGGGATGTGTCCCTATATGCTGACATAGTGTGACAGTGCTGGGATGTGTCCCTATATGCTGACATAGTGTGACAGTGCTGGGATGTGTCCCTATATGCTGACATAGTGTGACAGTGCTGGGATGTGTCCCTATATGCTGACATAGTGTGACAGTGCTGGGATGTGTCCCTATATGCTGACATAGTGTGACAGTCCTGGGATGTGTCCCTATATGCTGACATAGTGTGACAGTCCTGGGATGTGTCCCTATATGCTGACATAGTGTGACAGTGCTGGGATGTGTCCCTATATGCTGACATAGTGTGACAGTGCTGGGATGTGTCCCTATATGCTGACATAGTGTGACAGTGCTGGGATGTGTCCCTATATGCTGACATAGTGTGACAGTGCTGGGATGTGTCCCTATATGCTGACAGAGTGACAGTCCTGGGATGTGCCCCTATATGCTGACAGTGCTGGAATGTGCCCCTATATGCTGACATAGTGTGACAGTGCTGGGATGTGTCCCTGTATGCTGACATAGTGACAGTGTTGGATAAACTCCTATATGCTGACATAGTGACAGTGCTGGATGTGTCTTTATATGCTGACATAGTGACAGTCCTGATGTGTCCCTATATGCTGACATAGTGTGACAGTGCTGGGATGTGCCCCTATATGCTGACATAGTGTGACAGTGCTGGGATGTATCCCTATATGCTGACATAGTGTGACAGTGCTGGGATGTGTCCCTGTATACTGACATAGTGTGACAGTGCTGGGATGTGCCCCTATATGCTGACATAGTGTGACAGTCCTGGGATGTGTCCCTATATGCTGACATAGTGTGACAGTGCTGGATGTGCCCGGCGCTGACATAGTGTGACAGTTCTGGGATGTGTCCCTAAGGCTGACATAGTGTGACAGTGCTGGGATGTGCCCCTATATGCTGGCATAGTGTGACAGTGCTGGGATGTGCCCCTATATGCTGACATAGTGTGACAGTGCTGGGATGTGTCCCTGTATGCTGACATAGTGTGACAGTGCTGGGATGTGCCCCTATATGCTGACATAGTGTGACAGTCCTGGGATGTGTCCCTATATGCTGACATAGTGTGACAGTCCTGGGATGTGCCCCTATATGCTGACATAGTGTGACAGTGCTGGGATGTGCCCCTATATGCTGACATAGTGTGACAGTCCTGGGATGTGTCCCTATATGCTGACATAGTGTGACAGTGCTGGGATGTGTCCCTATATGATGACATAGTGTGACAGTGCTGGGATGTGCCCCTATAGGCTGACATAGTGTGACAGTGCTGGGATGTGCCCCTATATGCTGACATAGTGTGACAGTCCTGGAATGTGCCCCTATATGCTGACATAGTGTGACAGTCCTGGAATGTGCCCCTATTTACTGGCAGCACTGTGACAGTCCTGGAATGTGCCCCTATATACTGGCAGCACTGTGACAGTCCTGGAATGTGCCCCTATATACTGGCAGTATTGTGACAGTCCTGGAATGCGCCCCTACATGCTGGCAGCACTGTGACAGTCCTGGGATGTGTCCCTATATGCTGACATAGTGTGACAGTCCTGGGATGTGCCCCTATATGCTGACATAGTGTGACAGTGCTGGGATGGGTCCCTATATGCTGACATAGTGTGACAGTGCTGGGATGGGTCCCTATATGCTGACATAGTGTGACAGTGCTGGGATGTGCCTCTATATGCTGACATAGTGTGACAGTGCTGGGATGTGCCCCTATATGCTGACATAGTGTGACAGTCCTGGAATGTGCCCCTGGGATGTGTCCCTATATGCTGACATAGTGTGACAGTGGTGGGATGTGTCCCTATATGCTGACATAGTGTGACAGTGCTGGGATGTGCCCCTATATGCTGACATAGTGTGACAGTGCTGGGATGTGCCCCTATATGCTGACATAGTGTGACAGTGCTGGGATGTGTCCCTGTATACTGACATAGTGCGACAGTGCTGGGATGTGCCCCTATATGCTGACATAGTGCGACAGTGCTGGGATGTGTCCCTGTATACTGACATAGTGTGACAGTGCTGGGATGTGTCCCTGTATGCTGACATAGTGTGACAGTGCTGGGATGTGCCCCTATATGCTGACATAGTGTGACAGTGGTGGGATGTGCCCCTATATGCTGACATAGTGTGACAGTGCTGGGATGTGCCCCTATATGCTGACATAGTGTGACAGTGCTGGGATGTGCCCCTATATGCTGACATAGTGTGACAGTGCTGGGATGTGCCCCTATATGCTGACATAGTGTGACAGTGCTGGGTACAGGCAGTGCTGGGACACCATGTCATGTCCTGGCAGAGAAGCCGCTTTACCTGTACAGATTGCTCGCTGTCCTTTCTTTCAGGGGGGACACGCGGCTCCCCATCTTCAGAGAGGTCCTCATGCTCCATGTCCCAGTCACTTCCCCCGTCCACCTTCCCAGCTCCGCCAGCACCTGGAAACTTCCAGACCGGCTTCTGCCCTGACCGGATGTGACGCAGTGGCACCGCCCACCGCCTAGGGTCATAGCGTTAGAATCTTGCTGGATAGAGAAGCCATAGAGTCTGACTATAGGGTGATAGAGAGGCCATAGAGTCTGACTATAGGGTGATAGAGAGGCCATAGAGTCTGACTATAGGGTGATAGAGAGGCCATAGAGTCTGACTATAGGGTGATAGAGAGGCCGTGGAGTCAGACCGTAGGGTGATAGAGAGGCTGTGGCGTTAGACCGTGGGGTGATAGAGAGGCTGTGGCGTTAGACCGTGGGGTGATAGAGAGGCTGTGGAGTTAGACTGTAGGGGCATAGAGAGACTGTGGAGTTAGGTAGGGGGATAGAGAGGCTGTGGAGTTAGACCGTAGGGGGATAGAGAGGCTGTGGAGTTAGACCGTAGGGGGATAGAGAGGCTGTGGAGTTAGACTGTAGGGGGATAGAGAGGCTGTGGAGTTAGACCGTAGGGGGATAGAGAGGCTGTGGCGTCAGACCGTAGGGGGATAGAGAGGCTGTGGCGTCAGACCGTAGGGGGATAGAGAGGCTGTGGCGTCAGACCGTAGGGGGATAGAGAGGCTGTGGAGTTAGACGTGGGGGATAGACTGTGGAGTTAGACTGTAGGGATAGAGAGGCTGTGGCGTCAGACCGTAGGGATAGACTGTAGGGGGGGGATAGAGAGGCTGTGGATTAGACTTAGAGAGGCAGCAGTAGGGGGATAGAGAGGCTGTGGCGTCAGACCGTAGGGGGATAGAGAGGCTGTGGCGTCAGACCGTAGGGGGATAGAGAGGCTGTGGCGTCAGACCGTAGGGGGATAGAGAGGCTGTGGAGTTAGACCGTAGGGGGATAGAGAGGCTGTGGAGTTAGACTGTAGGGGGCTAGAGAGGCTGTGGCGTCAGACCGTAGGGGGATAGAGAGGCTGTGGAGTTAGACTGTAGGGGGATAGAGAGGCTGTGGAATTAGACCGTAGGGTGATAGAGAGGCTGTGGCGTTAGACTGTAGGGGCATAGAGAGGCTGTGGAGTTAGACCGTAGGGGGATAGAGAGGCTGTGGAGTTAGACCGTAGGGTGATAGAGAGGCTGTGGCGTTAGAGTGTAGGGTGATAGAGAGGCTGTGGCGTTAGACTGTAGGGTGGTAGAGAGGCTGTATGTGCTGTGACAGTAAGAGACTGGTTGTAGTTTTTGTCCTATGGGTTGGAGTCTGATGGTATTCATTAAAGGGACACTAAAGGCATCAAAATAACTTACGCTAACTCTTTTGGAGGGGGGGGTACACCTTTCCCGTGTAACAATGGAGACGGACACCCACTTTGATTTGCAGAAAAAAAAAATACATTTCACTTACTTGGAAACCAGCGCCCAGTAAAGCTCCAGGCGCTGATATTCTGCCCTCTCTTTGAGAAGCCTGTGACTGGGCCATTTTGCCTGCTCAGAGCGAAATGTGTGTGGGCCAGCTGTATTTTATGCACAGATTTGACATTGGGAGATGGAAACAGAATTCTGGGCTGCCATTGTCACGGGGTGGGGGGTGCAACTTACAAATATTACAGTTTGTGACTGTTTCAACTGAAACACTGCACATACTGACTCCTACCACCATGATCAATTCAAATCACTGAAGTGATCATGGTGGTTGGAGTAACCTTTTAATTAAGCATTTTTTGTGTCTCATGCCTCTACAGTTTCACTTTTATTTCTGTTTATGCAGCCGTAGTCACACCTCCCCTGGTTGTGACTGATGTCAGAGTATTTATATCGGCAGACATCTTGTGCTATGATAGAAATTAAAAGTGTATATGCTGAGTCACTTTTGAACAGAGCAGACTCCATTTTGTTATTTTCAAGCTAACAAAAGACACAAGATTTCTATCTGTAAAACTAACAACCTTCCCAGAGCTAAAGGAATGCATAGTATATACAAACCAAGTGATAAGGAGAACGGGGGTTGGACAGACTGCCTAAAATGTTAATGGAATAGATGCATATCTAAACAGAGACATTTGTGACAGAGGAGATTAAATAATAAAATTTTACTTTCTATATGGACAAGATCCCATTGTAAGTTACGGGTCAAAACATAGTCTGGACAAAACTTAAAGAAACTGTTTGATCCGACAGAAAACTTAAATTATGGCAACCATATAGATAAGCCAAAATGACGTCAAAATAGCCACCAGGAAAAGTTAACTCTTTCCTGGATAGATATGTTTAGTGGGACAAGACTGCCCTCTATAGATCAAATACCTAAATTGCGATCCCTAGATTGGACACACCTCCAGTGTGCCTATTGGGTTAGCAACTAATGACGTACAGACAGTCTGGCCTTTTAAAAAGTTAAGACAGAGAGGGGAGAGGAATTGGAAGTTTGGGGACTCCAACTCGGACATGCAGAGAAACCCAGGACAACATCTGAGACTAACACTCAACTCACAAACTCTTTGACACTTTCTAACCAACACTACTTTTCACTATTACCCACGCACCTCCATGCAGAGAGACATCCAAACAAGTTCCTGAGACTACCAATCGGATGAAAAATATCTATTCAACTGGTAATTATACTGGTTTCATTTAATTAATTTAAATTAAAGGACCACTATAGTGCCAGGAAAACATACTCGTTTTCCTGGCACTATAGTGCCCTGAGGGTGCCCCCACCCTCAGGGACCCCCTCCCGCCCGGCTCTGGAAGGGGAAAGGGGTAAAAACTTACCTTTTTCCAGCGCTGGGCGGAGAGCTCTCCTCCCCGTCGGCTGAATGCGCACGCGCGGCAAGAGCTGCGCGCGCATTGAGCCGGTCACATAGGAAAGCATTCATAATGCTTTCCTATGGATGCTGGCGTGCTCTCACTGTGAAAATCACAGTGAGAAGCACGCAAGCGCCTCTAGTGGCTGTCAATGAGACAGCCACTAGAGGATTAGGGGGAAGGCTTAACCCATTCATAATTATAGCAGTTTCTCTGAAACTGCTATAATTATGACAAAATGGGTTAACCCTAGCTGGACCTGGCACCCAGACCACTTCATTAAGCTGAAGTGGTCTGGGTGACTAGAGTGGTCCTTTAATTAAAATTTACTAATAGTATGATATGACTGGATAAATCACGGTCAGATTTCCATATTTAAGAAATCTTAGTTAACTAAAGAATATATAGTTATAAACATTCCATTCTGCAGGTGGAATTAAGAATAATTATATATTAATGTGATAGTATCACGTGTTAGCATACCGCTGTTTTTATCCAGGTGCATTGATTTGCTCTAATATAAGATCTTTTTAGACAAATTAAATTCGGCTTTTGTAAAAATCTGGTAGATTATTCTTATTGGATGGTTCCAGGAAATGACTAATGAACTGGTTTAAATGTTATTTTATTTAAAATTACATAAGAATAGATCTTAATTATCTAGGAGGTCTAGCCAGCATTGAAAGGGTTATTCTAACTGTCAGCTAAACTTTACGACCTTACACTGCACTCTTAGGAATTCTGTTCTCTGCGTGAAACTTTTTCTTTCTCTCTGTGAAAGATAGTCATAAATCGTGTAAGTCTTGACAGAAAATGGTGTATAGCCATTCCTTTGTATTGCATATCATTTTATACTGGATATTCATTGATTATTGTCACGCATGTTACATAATATTTGTTAATTATTGGTCATAATAAATCTATTTTTATAACATATTGTGATTTTATTTATATGAAATACATTTCACTTAACACGATAACGATCTTTGGGATCTGAGAATTGAATTAGTGGGCCATTCTCACTGTTTACTATTATTATCCCATAAATATCCCCACACTGACAAGGCTTACATGAACAAAAGGTTTTAATTTTCAAACAAATGGTAACTTCTTTTTAGAAGTTTTTATCTCCTGCTCTGTAAATTAAACTTCACACACAGGCGACTTCTGTAAATAGAGGCTATTAACACAACAGGAAATAAATTCTAGATTAAACAGGAAGTTTAAGTATGAACTGTATCTTTACAGGAAGTGTTTAGGAAGGCTGAGTAAGTTACATGCAGGGAGGTGTGACTAGGGCTGTATAAACAAAGTGATTTAACTCCTAACAGTGAGATTAGAGGGATCTATAAACCAAAGCTAATTAAGATAAAATTGTTTTGGTACCTATAGTATCCATATAATCTCTACAGAACGCAGTGATACAATCATTTATTCCAACTTCAATTTTAGGTTTTTCAGGTTTTAGAATCCAGAGCAACAACCACAAGAGAGATATTAATAATACCGTTTCATAAATGTGTCAACAATCTGAAAGAGTAGAGATTATGTACAACCTGCACCAAACAAATACACTATAAGGAGAAGCATGACCATATAAGTATTATGCACAAGCACAGTATATATCCCTACCTCCAATGACAGATTCTCTCTTTGAGTTGTATGTCAGAGTCTTTCATGAATATAAAATAAAAAACATCAGCTAAGGTAAATAAATGTACATTTTGATTTCTTTTAACCTGTGATGGAGTTTAATTTCTATTTTTACATGAATTAAAGTGCAACACATGTCACAGCTTTGTACATATGTACAACTGTTACAAGTAAAACGACAAAGGTACAATACATCTGAGACAGTACAAAATTTGACAAATACAGGAGGGCTTGTGGACTCTATTCCTGTGGGAACTTAACAATCATATTGAAAAGTTGAAGGTGCAGGGAAATAAACTGTACTGCTCATAGGGAATAAACTAACAATCCTCAAAAAGACTTACCACGTTGTTGGGGTCAACAATGTATTGTATTTTACAATGTGAATCAAAAAGAAAAGCAAAAATGTAACCAATAGTGTGTATAACTTAACATTTGCCTGAGGTGCTTAAAGGACCACTATAGGCACCCAGACCAAGTTTGTTTTCCTGGCACTATAGTGCTCCTTTAATGATATGACATATTTTGAACCTCTAGCTTTAAAGGGGGGGGGAGGCTTTTTAGCAGAATAATCTGCAAAAGAAGACATTTTACTTACCTGGAATCCAGCGATGTGCTAAGCTCTCGACATTGTCTTCCACTCCTCGATCTGACATCACAGGAGCCTGTGATTGGACCGTTTTACTGGCTCAGAGTGCATGCACATGTTCTGGGCTGGCGAGGGGTTGGAGAGGGGCTGAGGAGGAAGGAAGGGTTTGTTTTTGTTTTTTAAACAAAAGAAAAATTGTGTTCAATGGAGGGAGCACGCAGTGGGATAGAGGGGATAGCTATCTTCTCATTGCAAAAAAAAAAAAATTCAAACCGTTTACTTCATTTAAAAAAAAAATCTTAGATTATAGATATACACACGTGTCTAATTTTGCAAATGGTATGCCATGATCGGTGTATTTTTGGGCTGCCATACAATCTCAAAGGCAACATAAGCTCAGCAAACAAAACTGGCAAATTCCAATTGCAAAAATGGAAGAAGGAAAGCCCTATTTTGACCCTGTTACTTTCCAAAACACCATAAAACCTGTATATGTGAGGGTACTGTTGTACTCGTGAGACATCGCTAAACACCAATATGAGTATTTTATTGCAGTAACAACTAACAGTATTATGACATTCACAGTTAAAATGCCACACAGAACTTGGAAAATAGCAAAATTTCTTAATTTCTCAAACTCTTTTTAGATTTTATTCATATTGAATTATGTTTCATATATAAATATTTCAAGTGAAATGAAAGCCCTGTTTCTCCTGGACAAAATGATGTATAATACGTGTGGGTGCCCTTAATATGAAAGAAGTGAATTATGGGTACACAGACATGTAGCTCAAATTCCAGGTTTTGTTTACATTCTGTTTTGATCAGAACTTGTACAATTGCGTCCATCCTTAAGGGGTTAACAAAACAGAGGCACTGCACCTATACATAAACAGTGACAATGTTATTACAGAGTTACTTTATATTTGCTTAACTCTTCTATTGCAATTAATCTTAACTTATAACAGAAAAATACCATAAAAACAACTTTGTGAAGTATATAATTAGAGTAAAGAAACAGACAGCATTGTCTCAGTCTAAATGTTTTTGTTTGTTTGTTTTTTGCTGTTATAGGAAGTGACGTTTCATTGTCACCCCATGGTAACTGTGAAACCACAATTGAGTCCACAGCAACAGGACTGAGTACACCGAGACCTCGATACAACAAATTAATTTTGCTTAGCATTGGGAATTCTAGTAATCAGCTGAGAGGAAGGACTTATGGCACTTCAGAAGATCATTTCAAACATAGTTTAAAGTGACCTCTGTGGAGACAAAGCTTTATGTTAGCACTTCTAAGGATTAACATTCCTTAAAATGCCCAAAGGAAGATTAAATAATCCCTCAACCAGGCAGGATGGGGAATGGGTAAGAAAAAATGCAACCTAATGTATTCTCCCAGCTTTAATGTTTTAAATTACTTTTTTTCCAAGTTAAACAAACCAATTTGTTTTGCAAACTATTGATTATTAATTTAATGCAGAATAAATGCACAGGTTTATTCTGTAAACTTCAAATCCCGATTAGATGCAGACTGAATGGCAAAATTTAGAGAAAGTAGCCGATTTGAAAGAATCAGGTATATTCACATTTTATTATAATTCAGTGTTAATTCAGAATAAACCTGTTCGCATTATTCCCTTAAAGTGAGATTTGTCAGCAATTTTTAAAGTGAATTTCAAATGTTCGACCGAAATAGCCGAACTAAAATGATTTTTTATTTGACCGAAAATATAAGATTCATGATCAAATTTTACATTTGAAAATTCATAAAGGGTTATTCACAAAATTATTACCCAATTTTGCTACATTTAGAAATTGGTTATTTTAGATTTTAGAATTTAATGAATAACTCTGCATGAATATACAGATGTTAGCTAACAGTAGAGTGCACACACACACACACACACACACAATATATATTTATTTATTCTTTCACCATTTATGTACTTTATGTAACCCCTCCATGAAACAGATGACATGCCAGAACTTCCTTGACAAAATAGGCCTTGACTACAGATTTGTCAGAAAGTGGTTAATCCATTCATTTTTTTTTAAAGTGCCCAACCAGATATGTCTTCATATTAAAGGGACACTCCAGGCACCCAGACCACTTCTGCTCATTGGAGTGATCTAGGTACCAACTCCCACCACCCTTAACCCTGCAAGTGTAATTATTGCAGTTTTTATAAACTGCAAAAATTATCTTGCAGGGTTAAATCCTCCTCTAGTGGCTGTCTATCAGACAGCACTAGAGGGACTTCCATGTTCTTAGAACACGAAAAGTGTTTTAAACGACGCTGGACATCCTCACGCTATGTGAGGACCTCCAGCGTCACCAAAATCCCCATAGGAAAGCATTGAATAAGGCTTTCCTATGGGGAGGTCTAATGCATGTGCGCGGCAATTGCCGCGCATGCGCATTAGTTCTCCCCTGCCGGATGATGTCGGCGGGGGAGGAGAGTAGGCGGAGACTGACCCAGCACCAAGGGACATCGGCGCTGGACTCAGGTAAGTCACTGAAGGGGTTTTAACCCCGTTCAGCAACATGGGATGGGGGGTGGGAGGGAGAGGGGCACTGTAGGGTCCTGCAGTGCCAGAAAAACAAATATGTTTTCCTGGCACTGGAGAGTCCCTTTAACCCCTTAAAGACACATGACATGTGTGACATGTCATTATTCCCTTTTATTCCAGAAGTTTGGTCCTTAAGGGGTTAAAGCTTTAGCAGAAACAGATTTTGAGTTGCTATATCAGACTATTACAGGAGATTTTGGTCTAGGATACCTTTCTTACTCCCCACATTTCTCATTATTTTCATTATTTCACTTTCAGTTCGCACATATAGGAATGCCTAGAAAACTGCCTATGACAAGCACACAGAACATGTTTTATCCACCCAAGCAATTCCGGGTTGATTACAGGCTGCCTCCTATATGTATCACTCAAAGGAAGGTAAAGTAAAATCACGCGTCTGCTGTGCATTATCCATCTATGAACTTAATGGGATCTCGCATGGGGTTATTTACAAATTTAGGAATTGAGGGTATTAAATCTGCAAATTATATGTGTAAAAAAAAAAAAAGACAAACTGGAAAACAAATCCAAATCTCGAGTACGGGTTTATCCCATGGCCCCATAGGTAGTGCCATAATCTAACAAGGACAATAGAGATTCTGTGGGCTGTCTAATCACAGAGTACTTAGATGTAATCCTCTAATATTGTTAGCTTCCTAAACAAGCCACCTTAACCCCTTAAGGACACATGACATGTGTGGCATGTCACGATTCCCTTTTATTCCAGAAGTTTGGTCCTTAAGGGGTTAATAGTGGGTTTTGCACTATAGGGTCAGGAATACATGTCTGTGTTCCTGTCCCTATAGTGATCCTTTAACCAAAAAGTATTCGAATCACGATTAGGAATTCCATCTAAGGCACACAAAAAAAAAACAAACAAAAAAAAAAACAAGGGAGATGATTGATCGCTAGGGTACCGGTGCTAAATGTTCATTTTATTCACAGATCAAGTGAGCAATAGAGGTAAAAACAGAGAGTCAGCAAAAAAATAAATACATCTCTATTTATAGATTGTGTATTAATTATATCAATATAGATTTTTTATTTATTTTTTTACTGCTCCTTTTTTGTCCCTGTATGGTTTACTTTTTCTCACTTGATCTATGAACCAAATGGCACAAAAAGCCTCCTATCCTTGTACTGCAAAACAGATACATATATTATATATATTTTGCAGTAGGCTGACTGGCCCATTTTTTATTTATTTGCAATCTTGGTTCAGCTGATTCGTGTTCCAGATTAGATTTTTTTTAATGACTAAAATTCTGCTTAGCTGACCCAAAATTTGACCAAAACATGCACAAGTCTATTTTTCAATTGGCTTGTGTGATGGCTAAGAGGCTTCCATTTACTTCACTCAGCTTGAGTGTCTCCATCAAAGGTCCCATTCTTTCAGCACTGGCTGCGGTTCTGCAAAACCAACCTCCAACATTTTCCCACTGCACAAACTCACCTATTGTGCGCGGTGTGTTTCTGAGGCAGGTGAACACACTTTGCTCTGTAAAGAGTAGTGCTCACAGTGCTAGTTGCAGCAACACACACATCAAAGGATGGTTTTAAAAGAACTGTGAGACCATCACTGGGGTAGGTAATAGAGCAGCAGGAAATGCTAGCAGAATGCTTGGTTGTATAGCGAGAGGTATTAGCAATAGAAAGAGAGAAGTGCTCATGCCATTGTACAGAACACTGGTGAGACCTCACTTGGGAGTTTGTACGCAGTACTGGAGACTGTATCTCCATAAAGATAGTGATACTTTAGAGAGAGTTCAGAGAAGGGCTTCTAAAATAGTTCATGGATTGCAGGATAAAACTTACAAGGAAAGGTTAAAGGATCTTAACACGTATAGCTTGGAGGAAAGACGAGAGGGGGGGATAGGATAGAAACATTTAAACACATAAAGGGAATCAACACAGTAAAGGAGGAGACTATATTTAAAAGAAGAAAAACTACCACAACAAGAGGAACTAGTCTTAAATTAGAGAGGCAAAGGTTTAAAAATAATATCAGGAAGTATTACTTTACAGAGAGAATAGTGGATGCATGGAATAACCTTCCAGCATAAGTGGTAGAGGTTAACCCAGTGAAGGAATTTAAGAATGCGTGGGATAGGCATAAGGCTATCCAGGTTATAAGATAAGGTCAGGGACTAATTTAGAAAATTAGGCAGACTAGATGGGCCAAATGGTTCTTATCTGCCATCACATTCTATGTTTCTATTTAAATGTGATATTTATGTTCATATTGACAGTGAAGAACCAGCATTCATTAGTAATTCACCATTTCCTTCAAATTGGACCCCCCTGCTGCATGTAACACACAGTGGTTGCACAAATATAGTCATGTAGTCTGCCCCTTTCCCAAAGTGTAGTTCTGCTGAAAGATGGAACGTGATAACAAATAATAAACAATGCTCCATTATATAGACTATCAAAGTCCTAAAGATACTCATTTTGTTTAAAACTTTGTTTTTTTTAGAATGAAGTACAGAATGGCTATCCGTTCTCAGCGCATGACAACAGGCATTTAATACAGGGAGTAGGGGAGTATTTTGATATTGTAAGTATGCAGTAAAATAAATACAGCAGATATCTTCCCATTGCAAGCATATACCTGGTCTTTGAAATTGATCTCAAAAGTTCATATGCTGTCAAGCCAAATATCACAAACCCTGATTATTTTAGGACCCATGTACAACATACACCCATAGAGGTAGGTGGGGGGAATTAGGTGCCCTTGGTAAAAAGGTACAAGGTTCCTACATTTGAATCATGATGGGATAACTTGTCAAAAACCAGCAATTTGATTATACACCATACTTTGCTCTCTCAGATGTTCTAGTCTCTCAGATAGAGCTGCACAATGTGTTGGCACTGTATAAATAACAATCATGAAATTGTGAATGATGAATAGATCTCACTAGCACTAAAAACTGTACAAAAAATGCAAGTGATATACAGATGTTAAAAACTCAGAATCCGAAGCATCAGTATTAAACATGAATATCCTCTATTTATTAAACTATAATCTATTTATATAGCAGGTTGACACACTTGGAAAATGAATTTCATCCTTATTTTTTTTAACCCGTTTCCATTTCAAGGGACTCGGCCATAAAAAGACTTCTATTGGGAAAAGGCAAGATCAGTCTCAGAATTTTTGCCGTGATGCAGCCACATCGGTCACAAGCAGATGGGATGATTTCTCATTATATGAAGTCTCTTACACAGGGCATCAAGCTACAGAGCAACCTTTGTGCAGAAGATTCCCTAAACGTCATACGGAAAGATCTGCTCACATGAAGTTACTTCCTGAGAACGCTTTCATGTGGTTTGCAGATCATCATGGCACATCGCGCTGAAATCTGTGTATTACATGGTCTATTTAACGAATACCTGTTCTGCATATAAAGCAAACCATTATTAACCCCTTAAGGACACAACTTCTGGAATGAAAGGGAATCATGACGGAATATTTCCATCATGTGTCCTTAAGGGGTTAACCCCTTCCCTTCTATGTTATAAAAAAATAAAAACAAAAAAATAAGGCACATAGCACTTTTTTTTTTTTGCTCGGTGATAACCAGTTCTGCACATTAACACATAATTTTCACACTTCAATTTCCAAAACATTATGAGCAGCTAAAATGACTCAGAAGTGCAGGTAGGGATCCTAATAAGGGTCCAGGAGGAAAAACTGGTATAAACTAATAAATGGCAGGTTCTACAAATTATTAGACGTTTCTGTATTCAGATGGGAGTTTTTGCAGCAGCTGTTCCGACTTTGAAATGGACAAGTGTCATCAGAATTTTCCCGTCCGTTTCACAGGTTTCCTCGGGGCTACATATGCAAAATTGCACTACAAAAATTGCCATTTGTTTTGGGTATTTTCCAAATAATTGTATTAAAACAGACATACTGCAGAAATAATGGATAGAGGAAAATAAAATAGAAGCACCCAGGTATTTAGATCTGGCACAAGAAAAGAGAATACATTTAGATAAAAGTAAGTTTAAAGTGAAGAGTAAAATAATTTAAGATACAAGGGTCATAAAGAACATAAACCTAAAAGAAAGAAGGGGGAAAAACCGAAAAAAAAAAAAAAAAAAAGGTGCAGTTTACTGTATTCATAGATATTTATATAAATGTCACTAGATGGTGCTATAATGCAAGAATTTTGTCACCAGTTTAATTCTTCACAAATTAATCATGCATTCAGGTATTATCTTCACTCTCCAAATAGGAAAATGTCCTAATGTGAACAACATAGTTCACTTCTATCAACTCTGCTTGCTATTAGAGAACACATAGTATTAGTATTGAGTTTTACTTGGCTGTCAGCTTAATTATAGATGTTATACAAATTAGCCAAAACAAATCATTTATAAACCACTCAGTTTTAAGTCTTGCTTAGTATGTCGCCTACAGAACCAACCCCACAATGGTATTATTTACTCTTAATACACAGTTTACTGGTGTGTGAGTGTGTGACACAAAAACATCCCTTTGCTACCCTGGTTTATATTTATGTGCCAGTTTACCCTTATTAGTGAATACACATTTTTTTTTTCCCTCCGTGTTCTTGTACACATAACATATGTACATCTGCATGCTGTGTCATTTTCTCGCTAAAAGTCTGCCAAAAGCTCATGTTACATTACGGACTGTTTAATAGTCAAGGACAAATATATGTTCTACAAAATTTATTGAAAATAAATATTCAATCTTAATAATTCCATTAAAAATATGCAGTGAGAACTTCACTATACATATTACAATTTAGAAATTTATACTGAAAATATTTTAGGTGGAAAATGCTGAAATCGTATTTTCAAAAGTGTGGCTGAAAGTAATATATATATATATATATATATATATATATATATATATATATATATATATATAAAAAATTATGGATTATGAACTAACCAGTGTGTTATAATTTAACCCCTTAAGGACACATGACATGTGTGACATGTCATGATTCCCTTTTATTCCAGAAGTTTGGTCCTTAAGGGGTTAAAAACGGACTTTCCAAATATCAGGGCTAGGGATGAGCTTGGAAAATTCTCTCTGCACTACTTTTTGCGGTGCCCAAAAAGTAGATCCCCAGATGTTTTAAAAACTACAGTTTACATGATGCCTTGCCAGTCTAAAGGCATGCAAAGAATCATGGGTGTTGCAGTTCTACACCATCTGAAGATTTACCTTTTGGGCACCACCAGTGTAGTGAATAAACTGCCTACTCATAATGAAATTCAGACTGTAAAAGAAAAATTTAAGTTTGATTAAAGGTTTAAACAGAATTTAGCAAGACATACAAATAGAGAACAGGTCTGACATTTATTTTGAGTTATAAATCAACTGTTTGAATTTTACAGCTGAAGATTTCCTGCAGAATGTTTAGTTTTATGTTCTACACAAAGTCAGCCCTTGTTTCCAAAAGCAAGTACAAATTTTCATATATATACGGCCAAGAAAAATGAAAATAAAAAAACCCAAAGATATTACTTTCTTAGAAAAGGCATTTAATCTCACAGCTACAAGATTCTCTTTTGGAAAGTCAATACTTGTATCAAACATTATTTTATGTACCAGTTGATTTAAATGTCAACTGTCATCACATTTTGACGTAAACATTAATTAATTTAACAAAATGTAATATATTTTAAAATGATGTGATTGTCTCTCAAAAAGTTTTTGTTTTTTTTAACAATGTGAAATTCTCTCAAAAAGATCAACATACGTTTTTTAATTTTTATTTTTAAGTCTGGCTGAGCAGTCATGTTTGGCCAGGCTCTACTGTTATCTGACCAACTGCTGCTCAAACAAACGTATCCGCTGATGCAACTGCTCTGTGTGAAACTGCAGCATTAGGCAAGTTAGGCTGAGCAGCAGTTGATCAGAGAATAGTAGAGTCTGACCCAACATCGTTGCTCAGTCAGATAAAGAAAAATCAACATACATCATTTTAAAAATATCATTAAGTTTCATTAAACATAATAGATGCAACAGATGCAGAGTCTACCTTTTGGCCACCCCTGACAATAATTGATATCATGATCATACAGTGTGAATAGTTCTTTGGACTGTAAAGTCAAAACACCTGTACAACCTGCAAGTTTTAAGGATAAATCAACACTGATTTACATTGTGTTCTGGATTTCACCACAGTTCTGCTAAGGTGCTTAATCACCATTTCCTCCACGTGTTTAATATTAGAAGGGAACAGTCATACATTTGTCAAATTTCCAGAGGAATAACCGTTTGTTAATTTTTGCTACTAAAAAGGTCTTCATTTAGAGAGGTAAATACTTGGGAGTATCAGTTACAGTTGAGTTTAGCTGATGTTTCTATGTGGAACAGGGAGGTTTTCGTGTAGATACTTCATACTGCCTTGTTCTGAAAAGTCAGAGACCACATGGTTGTCTCCTCGCAATAGCCACTTAGTGGTCAGAAGTCCCTCTATGCCTACAGGCCCGCGTGCGTGGATCCTAGCAGTACTGATACCAACCTCAGCTCCTGTAATAAGGAGGAAAAAAAAATGTGTTAACCATATATACATAATGAGTGAAATTAGTTATTCTAATCAATTATTAAAAGGACTAGGTTAAAAAATAAATAAAAAAAATTAAAATTAAAAATGAACAGTATAAAATAAAGAAAAAAAACGACAAGGACAACAGCAGACAGGTCAGTTGTAAGGAAATGTTCGTATAGGATATGGTGACTATTATATATTGCATTGTGTTACTATAAAAATTGACCAAGTCCATGAACAGTATAAAATAAAGAAAAAAAAAAAAACACAAGGACAACAGCAGACAGGTCAGTTGTAAGGAAATGTTCGTATAGGATATGGTGACTATTATATATTGCATTGTGTTACTATAAAAATTTACCAAGTCCAAAGCGGTATCCATCCGAAAACCGGGTACTTGTGTTCCAAAACACACAAGCACTGTCAACGTGCTGAAGAAAATATTCGGCTGTTACTTCTGAAATAAAAAAAAAAATGAAAATGAATGCAATCAGCTTAGGAAAAAGAAAGAATAACCAATTAGCATGGTCCAATGAAATGTCCCAATTCTGGAATGTTTAGTATAGAACTAAGGTTTGTTTTAGAGTTATTGCTGCTCTTTGTCTTCTACACAAGCCACCGCAGACTGTTTCTAATGAAAGCCAAATATCTAGGGTGTTAAAGTTTAGGCATTTCTGCCGTAAATACTCAAGTCATGAATGGTTTTATGCACGTCTCATTTAAAATCCCAATGAATATTTATGTACCTAGAAAACTAAATTGGCACAGAGACATACATTTCAATCTGACCGAGATTGTCAAGAGATACACTCTGGAGCAGCAGTTGCTATTTGAAGCTAATTTCTTTAATTCAGCCCTTCTCCCTTTAGTGAAATGTTGGAGAGGAGCGGGGAGACAATCTGATACCCCCTAAAACACCCTCCTTGGGCAGAATGTTACAAATTGTCCTCTTTGTATATGACAACACTCCACTGTAACTGCAAGAGATTGGAGAGGAAATTCAGGGCAATGTAAAAAACACAGTTAACCGCAGGCCATTTTTGACTTGGTTCTAATACGCAAAGCAAAACAAATGTTGCTTTAAAGTGATATTTTCAGTAAGAATACCAAAGAGCTTTAGAAATCATTTTTACTTAATTGAAATGAAGCCTTACCATTATCTGTAATTATAGCATCGGTATGAGAGCTTCCGTATTTATGAATGTGGTCAATGGCATCTTGGACACCGTCTACTACTTCAATGCAGCATTCCAGATCTCCGTATTCAGTGCGCAGAGATTTCACCTCTGATGGGCTAAAGGTCAAATAAGATGCAAACTTAGGACCAGCGTGGATTTTTACCTATGAAATAAAAAGCAAACATGTCAAACTGCCTGTTACATTTCCAAACTCATGTAGATCATTAGCATAACCCAATGCAAGTTCTTTTACCAAAACAAATATGAATGCAATCCATGTATAACTAAAGTGAAACATGTAACTATCAAGTTAAGTATAGACACTATCACAAGGTATTATTCTGGGAGAGGGACGTGTGGAATAGAAAAGGGCACATGAAAGTCAATCCAATGTAATTTCATTAGCAAAATTCTTTAAAGTACCTGCTCAACTCTCAACATATCGATGATCTGGTCAAACAATGGTGTCCTCAATATGTCTCTGTGAATCAGCAGTGTTTCCATTGCATTGCACGCTGCAGGATATTCACACTTTGAATCTCTCACTAAAAAAAAAATACATTTTTTTTGTTCAATCATATGTAGATTATTAGGCAACTCTACAAAATACTGTGGCAATAAAAATCACTACCATTTTCTCTGATTCTCAAGGCATTATAAACATTTAAATGTTACATTCACACCTAATTTTACATTTTTATTTTTTTCCCCACAAGGAGTCAAACAAATGTATGCTATTTAAAATGTGGAATAATATAATCTAGGTTTACACAATAGATGTCATATACTCTATTTTTATGGTTCCCAAAGTAAGCAAAGACCATATCAAAGCTAAATATTCATATCCCTAACTTACCAATTCTTGTAACTTTATCCACGCTAGCTTCGGAGTCCACATAAACATGGCATATTCCTTCACTGTGTCCCATCACAGGAATTCCTTTAGCAGCTTTCTGGATGTCCCTGACCAGTTGAGATGAGCCCCGTGGAATGATAAGATCTATTAGCTTATTAAGACGGCACAAATCCTCCACTTCTTCTCTGGTGTTTACCTGTAATAAGAATCAGCAAAATCAATTAACATCTAGCAAACATTTACTGGAAGACCCTGAATGCCACAAACTCAGGGTCTCAAAAAAGGTACTTACAAGCTGCACTGCATCCTTTACACCATGAAGAGCCAGTGCTTCCTGAGTAAGACGGTATAGAATCTGGTTGCTGTTAGATGCCTCTTTTCCTCCTTTAAGGAGCAAGCCATTGCCACTTGAAATAGCCAGTGCTGAAACCTAAAATCAGAATGCAGGACAAAGAGGAGAACATGAAGGTCAGATATGCATATTCAGAAAAGCACTGTTTGCAGGACAAAGGACATAGGAGAATACATTGGAAACGCATTCCAAATCCTGAATGATAAAAATATATAAAAACAACTTTCGTCTGATCCTACAAAACATATCTCTAGCTGAAATGAAAGAATTTCTGAAGAAGCTAGAGAGCAAGGAATTCTAAAATCAGGACAAATTCCAGTAGCTCTGTTATGATCTTGATATGAATCTCAGATTTACCCATGAAGCCAATAGAAATCACAGATTATCTCAACCAATCCAATGCTTCCCCATAGGGAAGCTTTGAGGGGCTAGTGTTCTATGCCCCTCTATAACAATCAGCATCCCATCAGAGATACTATTTGCATCTCTATGAGAAGTGTTTAGCGTCATCATGAAGTTACCGAATGTCAGCCATGCAAAGATTGCAGGACTGCACCAGGAAAAGCTCTATTGCCTGTGTTATTGACAGTCAATAGAGGTATCCCTAGAAAAGGTAGTGCTTACATTGCAGAAACTGCAGGGACAGTCTCTGCATCAGAAATATTACAATTATCTGGTGCTTAGACTATTCCTTTAAATTGGTAACCAAACAAAACATTATACTATTACAACAAATGTAAGGCATCAAGTAAAACCTCAGATATTGGGCTGTGTAGGTCATTCCTAACAATATTTCCATTATACATTATGAAATGAACAAACTAGTTTGATTGTGCATTACCATACCTGGGGGAGACAATCTGGTCGCGACTCAAAAATAACCAGCAGAACACCGATGGGTACAGTCACCTGCTCCAACTCCAATTCTTTGGCAATTCTTGTTCTACGAAGGACACGTCCAACACTGTCCTGTGAGGAGGCAGCAATTTGCCTCAGTCCAATGGCTAGGCTGTTTAACTTGGCCGTCGACAAGCTTAAGCGTTTCAGCAGAGGAGGAGCCAATCTTCCTAAAATGTATTATTCAAATCTAAGTCTTTTCGGGCACTGAGCTATTAATACGTGTTACAGTAAGCCGAATATAAGCACATTTTACTGTTAAGTTACCAATAATAAATAAACAAAGAACGCACACCATAAGAACATAAAAAGTCTATCTGTATTTATTACATCACAAGTACATATACAATACTAGTACAGCAATAAGTGACTCACTAGGCAAATAATAAACCGAAATCAATATTTACCACATTCCACAAGCCTAATCGGGCAGAAACACGAATCAAACAAAAACCCCCAACGTTTCTGCTCCTCCTGATAGGAATGTGGTATGGTGTGCGTTGTTTATTTATTATTGGTCATTTTGATATTTGAGGGAGCACCGTTATGGAATATCACCCTATTAATTGTTTATATTTATATTGTTAAGTATTCTCTCCGTACTTTGTATATGACTTAAGTTACCAGACACTTTGTCAGAATAAATCAATGTCTTCTGGATTTAAGAATTGCATATTTTATGCATATTTTAAAACAATAACAAAAGTAGCACTGTGTAGTTTAAATACCTTTCTCCTCTGCCTCTTCCATATCCTTTTTGTTAGCTGAAAGAATCTCATCTCTGTTATCAGTCAGAAGGTCAGCAAGATGATAAATGATCTCGGCTCTCTACCAAAAAATAAATAAATCAAGAAAAAGGAAATAAAAATTAACAATTTTAAAAGTTCAAATCCTGAAGTTTTAAAAATCCCTATAAAATCATAGTGTGTTCCTGAAATACATACCGTGCATAGTACCAGATATTATCTACACACGGTCAATATAGGGGAAAGTGTGGCTATGGCTGCATAAACAAAGTGATTTAACTAAATGGCAGAGAACAGAGCATGACATGATCTTTACACTAAAACGACTTCACTAAAGTTGTATTGGTGCTTAGAGTGTCCCTTTGAGAGGGATTAAGTCAGACGTACCATTGCTAATGACAAAGATAATCTACCTGCTCTGGCTGCAATGCTGCCAGGCTCCTGCCACCAGAGCGGGCCATTTCTGCTTGTTGTTCCACTGTGGGACCTGGAGAACACAAGAACAAGAACAACAAATATATTGCATGATGATCACATATCAGCTTCCCTACAGCTGCCTGCTACCCAATCAGTGCAATGGTTCTTGAGGTTACAGCTTAACACAGATAGTGCTCCATTACAGATTATTCATTAGGTTACACATATAGTGCATGTTTTATATGTGTAATATATATTTCCAAAGTAAAACACCATGAATTAGTCCCTCTACTTGTTGGAAACTACATGTAAGTCACATAGAGGCATATACAGAGATGGGTCAAGAGAGAAACGAGAAAAAAAAAACCAAACAATTAGTGGAGAATAGAGAGGGGAAAAAAAATGGAGAGATAAGAGAATAAAAAAAAATAATAATATATAAAACAATAAGATTTTGGAAATAGTTGAGGCAGGATAAGTAACAAACTTTGCCCAGTAGCCTTATTGTTTAATGTTATTGACATAATTCCAAGTGTTGCGTCTGTAATAGTATGTTTTAAGTCTTAGGATTTAATAGACAGTCTATTGTAATACCCATACTGCCAGGATGGCTAAGGTCCCCACCGACATTTTATAACTTTATTTTCTTTACTTGGACAGGCTAAGTTATCTTCAAAATACACTTAGTCACCATATCCTTAGATTATTCACTTTACACAATGCTTATGGTGTCTCCATCTGACAAGGAACAAAAATATATATATTTACCAAAATATTCTAATATGTGTTGGTATGGCAAAATGTACCCCATGGAAAGAAGACTAGCATACCTTATTGCCATGAGTATTTTAATTTGAAATCCACTCAGACATGCATATTTATCCACTCATTTGGAATTGTGCTCTAAATGTAACCTCTGAATCAATGGTGGGATCTGGCTACACAATGTAAGGTACACAATTCTAGGACGTTTTGCCAGGAATATGCTTGTGGAACCCCGACACAAAATGAAGATAGATTTTTTTTTTATTATTTAAATGCTACCTTAATAAAATCTTACCAGCAGGTTTTACTTCTGAAAAAAAGGTACCAACTTTCTTTCCCTCAACAATGTCAGTAATCACATGACCAGATATCTTGGGGTGCGTGCCATTAGCAATAACAACAGAGGTACCCCCCTGCAGGGCCCATAGAGCAGCTTTCACCTGTTTAAAAAGGAAAGACAATCAATAAAGACAAAGAAAAAATGTAATCATGGAATTTGAAGAAAAGAAACAATATTACCATAAAATAATTACATTTTCCGTTGTATAATTCTATTTTTAACTTTTGATTACTATAATTATAGTTTCAGGAGAATTGAAATAGAGGCCTAAACCTTAAAGGATCACTATAGTGACAAATATATATTCCTGTTGCTATAGCTGTAAAAAAACTAGTTTAGGTGGCTGGACCCCGTCAGCTAAGTTAAAGATGATTTTACTCACCTTTTTCCAGCGCCGCGTTGACTCCTTGCGGCTGGCCAGCCTCTGCTCTGCCTCCTTGGCGGAGATCAAACTTGATGATTTCAGCCAAACCAATGCTTTCCTGTGTAAAAGCATTGGGAGACTATTGCACATGCGCGGCAAAGTGCAGTGCTAATCAGCATCTATTTACATTGTGCAGCACTGACCCGGGAAGCATATCTAGTGGCCCTCTGAGTTACTGCCACGTTTTTTCTGAAAAGACAGTGTTTACACTAAAATGCTTGCACTGACATACTATACACACCATAACAACTACATTAAGCAGCATTTGTTCTGGTGACTATAGTGTCCCTTTTAAAGTTAATGTAAGTACAGCCACACATTAAGCACTAACTGATGGCATTGCTAAATGTGGCTGACAAAGATGGAGCCATACATTACAGGTTTAAACTTAATTTTAAGCTAAAAGCAATACTTGTTTTTACAGGTCTGTTAGAAAGTCAATAATGGATCATAATTCCAAATGTGTTCAATAATAGTTGATTGAGTAATTGCAAGTCTGGGCAGCTGCAGTTCTATCGCTGGGCTCCAAGTACCAGCATGCTTAGCATGCTGAGACTGAGACAACTGCTCTCAGGTCAAAACCATTTCATTTATATACAGTCTTCTTTGACCACTTTACAATGTCTCTCATTCAGTTTAAGCTATCGGCAATCATCATGGAGCAGGAATCAACTGTTTGCATAGGCAAACAAACATTGTCCCTACATAACAATCTGCAACCACACCCAGGGTTTAAGGTGATTATGGCAGATAATGAATGGCTGTCATAACCTAACTTAAAGACGGAATGAAAAAGAAAAACAAGTGATGTATTTTTGTTTTTTTGGTCTATCACCAAACAAAATGTATTTCTAAAATTTATCAAGCTCATTAGTAAGTGTGGAAATGTTAATCACATTCAGCTACATCACCACATTAATAAAACCAATAAATATTAGACTCATTCCTGGATACATTAAAGGTAAATGTCCCACTCCCTATGAATGAAAGGGAAAGGAAGAGGCAGACTAGTGGGTGTTCTTAATGAAAGGGTTAGCAGGACTTATTAGAAACTGTACTGAAGGGGCGGAGCCTAGCACCGGACCGGAGCGGTCGCACATTGCCGGAGCTCCGAGCTACCGCACGGCAATCCAGCCACATCGGGGGCATCCCGCACTAATCCCGGCCACATAATCAGCCACAGCCCGCAGGGACCCTCGCTGAAACCGCCGATGCCGTTTCTCCTGACGCCCGGCTCGAAAAATAGACGCCGAGGCGGCAAGGCCTACCGGGCAGGGAGGCAACCTCAACCCAGCTCGGGAGAACACTGGCCCTGGAGTGTCCCAGAATTTGAGGACTGGTACCCCAGCACACACAGCTCAGGTGAGATGGGGCGCAGAACACAGAAACTGCCCCAAAACCGCAGCGCGACATAGGCCAAATGTTACAGGCCCCAAGCGCAGTAAAGGCACAGACCCCCCGTGAAACCTCCCCAGGACCATCAGAGGAGGAAGAATCACTAGACAGCCCACACCTCAATCCCCAACACCCCACACACACGTGGATGCCAGAAGCCAGCGCACCAGCCTCCAAACAAGACATACAGGCTATGCTGACAGGCCTGCAGCAGAACTTAAGACAAATGTGGGAAGCGGACCTGGCAGTGCTTAAACTAGACGTGCACGCCGTGTCCACGCGCACTCAAGCGGTAGAAGAGGAGGTAAAGGGACTAAGAGGGAACTACCAGGAATTGGGAGAGACGGTGCGACACCTTCAAGCTGCACAAGCAACAATGTCCAGGCAAGTTACTCTCCTAGATGATAGGGGGCGTCGAAAGAACATAAAAATCCGAGGGGTACCTGAATCGATACCGCTGGAAGAGTTGCCACATTTCATCAGACGCCTTGTGGCCACACTCCTGCCAACTAGACAATCTAAAACGTTCCAGTTCGACGGGGTTTACAGGATAGCCAAATCCCCACAAGCACCCAACTCAGCCCCAAGGGACATAATCTTGAGATGCCAATCAATGTTGGACAAACTGGGGCTAATGGCGGCTATGCAAGGGAAAACACCTCTTGACTTTGAAGACAGCAAACTCTCCTTCTTTCAGGACTTGAGCAGGGCCACACTGATGTGGCGCAAAAGTATGCAACCTATCACCAAACAACTCCAAGCCGCAGGAGTAGCCTATAGATGGGCAACTCCAGGAACTCTCTGGGTCACTAAAGATGACAAGCACTACAGAGCTACCGACCACGCAGAGGGCCCGGCACTGATGACCGCATTGGGAATATCGAACCTCGCAGCGACCTCTATGACACAGCCGGCTCAACGACCAGGGACAACGAGCACAGATTCATCCGCAACTCCTGGAATAAGCAGAGGGCCGAAAACCAAAACCTGAACGAACTGCCTCACCGACGGCCTCATAGGCCTTAGTTTCACTAGTTTAAATATTTTAAGTTGATAAATCGGTTCATTTAAGTTAAATGTAGTTCTCTCACATTCTAACGGCTATAACAGTGCTAAAGTGGCCCACCAGAGCCGCGCACACTAACTCCGATAACAATCCCCCCCCCCTCCCTTGGGTTAATGGGAAACGACATCAAAGGCGACATAGTAATCCTGACTGGAATCAGGCTCATCGCGAGGTCTGATGCCCCAAGGGCACAACTTAATCCGGTCACACTACGGCGACCTATGTATATACATAGACACGATTTGTAGTTACCACTAGGGCCACAAAGACACCCTGAGCACCACACACATGGGCACCCACCAATAGCTACGACCAGGGAAAAGCAAAAGAGGAGCGGACATAGTCCTAGACAGGCACCATTAGAGGGTCCCCGTAACTACCGCAATCCGCATCCTTACCCAAACTCAAAAGGGTCAAGAGACTTACCCAACACCAATAACTATAGCCGCACGACCTAGAATTGGGACCAGCCACTGGACCTAGCAGTAAATGCCTTTCCCCCCCCCCACCTACGACTCCACAGACCTTAGGGTGTCTTAGGTAGACAGAAGTCTTCCACCCCTACAGTTATTAGATTTTAAAACCTCACTGTAACAATGTGACCTATTGTAAATATAAAATGTGTGTGAATAGCACACAACAATGCCTTGTATTTGATATGTACTGATTCTAATCGATGTGTCGAGGCTGTTGTGGCCAACTTCCTGAATATGTTATCTTTCCACATGAAAAATAAAGATTTAAAAAAAAAAAAAAGAAACTGTACTGAATCTTTTTTTTGTTTGTTTTTTTTTGCCATTTTTGTCTTTGTGTTTATGTGTATGAATTTGAATGTTTTTAAATACTTTTTTATATAATGTAATTATGGTGATAAATTTGATAATAAAAAGAGAATTAAAAAAAAAAAAAAAAAAAAAACTGTACTGAATCATAGTAAGTTAGGTGGAGCCATCCCATTTGAAAAACCCATACATCTGCCTAGAGATGACTCATCTGCCACAGAGACTCTGTAATAAGTTGATTAAATCTCTGAGCCACTGAGACTAATCAAACTTATTCTCTCCTGTATTATCATAGGTGCTATCCCAACAATTTCAGGTGCCAACTGTGACTTGAATACACCCCATTCAGAAACGTTTTAATTACCTTTGCCTCCATTCCTCCCATGCCAACTCTTGATTTGGTCCCAAATGTTACTGACTGTTGGTCCCCAGGGTAGAAAATATCTATTAGTTTAGCATCATCTGAGCCAGGAGGGCTGTCAAAAAGTCCTGGAAAGACAGAGATGACAAGAAATACTTTAAAATTCAGGAAAACAACCAGGTTGTATATGGAAAGCAAAAAGAAGTTAGAAAAATGAAACGCAGCATATATTTATTTATGGGAGACAAAGGAGGTCCAAGACAAAAACATATATTTAGTTATACCTTCCACATCAGACAGAACAATTATTAAATCTGCTTTCATCTCAACGGCGAGTCGGGCAGCCAGGCTGTCATTATCCTTAATGCTAATTACCTAGCCAAAAAAAAAAAAACATCCAATTAGATTATTTAAGGTCAAGCATAGTAAGAAACCGTATATGAGAGAGAGGCTGATACTGGAGCGGAGTAAGACAGGTTGTTTGCTGAATAAGAGACTTTAGTATTAAAATAAAAGATCCATTTAATTAGTTAAAATCAACCATATCATATCATATTTAGGATGCCCCGATGATGGATTCTAATCAGTTTTGGATGTATAAATTTGTAAGATAAAACTTATCTCCCCACCTCCTCCAACAGCTATTCTCATAGATTTGAGTGAGTATATTGTAGTAGCCTTATCTTCATAGTAATATATATTTTTTTTATTTTTTAAAGCATGACATGCCTTTTGATTCGGTTATAGAGGAACAACTTATAAAGCATTCTTGACTCTTAAAGGGGCACTATAGACATTCAGACTACTTCAGCTCATTTAAGTGGTCTGTGTGCAGTGCCCCAGGTCCCTGTTTTTATTTAACTGCAATAATTATCTTTATGGGTTAACTCAACCACTAGTGGTTGTATAACAGACATCCACTAGAGGGACTTCCGGGTCATTAGGTGACTCTAGGTCTCCCCCGCCGACTGATGTCGGCGAGGTGCAGCGAAAGCGAACCCCGAGCCAGAAGGGGTTTTTAACCCCTTCTCTACAACTTTGTATTCCTGGCACTATAGTTTCCCTTTAATGAATGTAACAGGTGCTGAAGTTAGGATATAGGTTTTCCATAATCCCCTGCAGAAAGGTTAAATGTTAAATTCATGTAAGGAATGAGAAAGCTCAACGCAGAAGTTACAAATCTTGTGAGTCTGTAGAAAATGTATAAACTTAAAATGTGGGTACTTTGTTTATTTTAACTTTACTTTTGAATGTTTTAAATTGCAGTACCAATATAATACATTAAAAAGAAAGGTGGTCAGTCCCATATGGATTTGACAGTTATTGCATTTGGGCATTTTTCTTACCAAGCATTCCATCTCAAGAGTACTGGTTTTGCGCTTTCTCAAAAGAATCAGTTTTTATGTATATTATTAAATTAAAATATATTCATATACATAGCAGGGGTGGGAGAGAGGTGAAGGAGGTAACAAAAAACAAATATCTGTCTAAAGACAGTCTGAAAGGTAATTAATCATATTATATATGGAACTTCTGCATGATAAGATTGCTCCTATCCTTACATTATGTTTGAAAACCACTTTACCTAGTGAAGTAAAAGTCATGCAATGTTAAGGCGACTTCATGCCAGACCATGCAAATTCAAAGCAATGCCTGCTGCAAGCACAACGGCTATGCTCTAAACATCTGCATCCAAACCCACAGGAATACTTCACCCACATTTACCCCCTGCAGATCACTGTTAGGCTCAGGAGGAGGAACAACAGCATCATTGGTGTTAATGATGGGAACAATGTTCATTCGTAGGAGCTCATGCAGTGTTCCATTTAAATTCCGTCTCTTCTGCTCATCGTGGAAATCCAAGTTTGTGACCAAAATCTAACATAGGAAAAAACAAAAACAAAAACGGTGAACAGGAGCAATTAAACTTTGATAAATATTGGTATATCAATATGACAAATATTAAAAAGATAATTGTTGATATACGGTATATTGATTTTTCTTTTCTAGTGGAGTACAACATCTCCACCATGTTGGAGTGGACCTTAGAAGGCCGTTTCGACCTGCCAATATGACTTTGCTCATGAAACACAGCACTGTACTGTATTTGGTTTTAGCTATAATAACCTTTAAATCTAGTCATGCTACAACAGTTATATAAATGCCTTTGATTTGCATCTTACTACTGTAAAATTATAAAAAAAAAAATGAAAAATAAAAAATGAATAATTCTAGACATACTGGCCCTCACTAAATCTTCAGATTTACATACACTACATTAAAGAAAACCTATATACTGTTAGGAATAAAAAGTTTTATTCCTAACACTATTGTGCATTCTGGTCCTACCCACTCTCACCCACCCCTGGGGCACAGAAAGGGTTAAAGACACTTTAAAATTTTTATTTTTTTTAAATTGCCGATTTCAATGCGGATGTCCTTCGATGCTGGGTTGGCACTCCGCCCCCTCCTATGTCAGATGGGGGAAATAATGCACACGTGTGGCAACCGCATTAAGCCTTCCCCATAGAAAAGCATTGCATTTTTCTCAAAAACAGATATGTTTTACACTGCAGGACTAAGGTGGTCATTGCACCCAAACCACTTCAATGAGCTAAGGTGGTCTGGGTACCTCTTTGAGCCCTGCGCTGTCCTATTGTGGCAGCAAAGGCCACAATGGGACAGCAGTCTTTAGCTCAACTACTACAACACCTTGTCACGGCAGACAAGCTCACATTTTGATGTCCATTTACAGGTACTAAAAACCTCTGTTATGTATATGTGTATAAGGCTTTGAATATAGACTGCTAGACGTGTACCCAAAGTTGCGTGACAGGAAAGAAAAAAAACTGTCTCTATGACCTACAGAGGCCCTTTAACAATTTTATACTGTAATGATTCTTAAAAACCAATCAATCACCTTGCTGCTTTAGCCCATGGTACTAGTAAAACATTACATAATCCCTGGATATATTATTGAGTAATAAAAAATATATAATTTTTTTTATTTTTATTTTATTTTGTTTTCATCACCTATTCCATAGTGGCCTCATTCATCTTTCTTCCTGTGGGATTTTATAACTATGTTGTTTCTTAATATATACATCTAAAATGGTGTATTATACTGCTCTGGTTTGAAAATAAAGAATCCATACTGGGGAAAATAGTCACGCTATGTGCTAATGGCAAGCTTCAGAATGATAGTTTCCCACACGGTGCATATTATTAATGGCCCCATGCCAATGCTACGAGGTTATGAAGGACACAATATGTCTGTCACTTGGGCAACGGGGTCCATTAAGGTGAACTGAGATGGATGTGATGGCAAAATAAATATCAAATAGTTTAGATACCACAGATCTAATCTGTCTGCGGCCGATAAAGGCCAATTAAAGCAGCCTTCAGATCAGCAACAAACTGCATGGACAGGCGAAAAGCCAACAAGGGTAAGGTCTGCAAGAAATAGTGCAAGTACATCATTTTACGTTATCAGGAATTTACAGCTGCATGGAAATAATTTACCTTTCAACCTGTTGTGTTCAATTTAAAAAAATATATAATTATTAAATCTTACCTGAGCTGCACAGATGCTGTATTGTGTAAACATAGCCTCGTAAAGAGCCATAAGTCCACTCTGACCAGCAGCAGCACAAGCCCGTGCTTCCAGTACAGGAACTTGCTGAGAATGATGATAGATTAAATGACAGATATTAGTTACAAATCAGCAACAATGCACAAAAATATTGTGTGCAGAAGATAATCAACCTGTAGGCCTCCAGCTGCCTGGAGCATCAGTCAGCCTTCCCTAGCTGAAAATCTTAGAAGCACTGGTTCCTAAACACTAGGAGGCCAAGACCTTTGGCCCACAGCCCTCAGTGTACACATATTGATGTACTCTTGCCTTCAAAGGAAATTGCATCCCAACAGTCGACCAATGGAAATTTGGCAATATCAGGCTCCCTTTACGTGAGACAGGTCTCTTCCTGAAATTTTAAAGGTTTAGTGCCATGTATGATGGATATGTCGTCTGGTCCCCTCTCTAAAAAGGCTGTGCACTCCTGCTAAACACCTCTTTTTAATGACAACCCCCAGTCTACAGACAGGACTGCACTTACCATGTCTTTCAGCTGATTCTGCCCAGAATGCAACGCTTGTCTCACGCTCTGGGATAAAAGAATTTCATGACGGAGACGCTGCTTTCCAAAAGCCACGGCACCACTGGTAACAATCATCATTTCTCGACCCTGGTTCTGTAGTACTGACACCTGCAGGTGAAACATTCCATCTTAAATAGAGCACAGCTGAAATATAAAATCTTGCATTCTGTGACGGTAGTCACCATCACTGGGAGCAGACCAAAACTTTATATTAGGTCCCTGGACTACGCCTATGCCCAAGTCATCCTGTGGCCATTATAGGTGCATGGTGTGTATATGTATTTGTGTATTGTTCATTGTTTTGTCTGCTCTTCTGCCCTGCTGATGCATGCTGCCAACAAGGTGGATTTGGCTATGGAGCCTTCAGAGCGCCCTCTGTTGATAGCAACAGCTATATGCACTACCTTAAAGGGACTCTCCAGTGCCAGGAAAACAATCCGTTTTCCTGGCACTGCAGGTCCCCTCTCCCTCCCACCACCCATCCCCCGGTAGCTGAAGGGATGAAAACCACTTCAGCTCACTTACCTGAGACCCCGTCGATGTCCCTCGGCGGTGGTTTCTGCTCGCCGCAGCTCCTCCCAGTGATTACGTGCATTAGAGCTCTCCATAGGAAAGCATCAAAAAGCATTTGCTTTCCTTTGGGGAATTGAGCGACGCTGGAGGTCCTCACACAGCGTGAGGAAGTCCAGCGACGCTCTAGCACAGGTTTCCAGTGCTTTGGACACGGAAGTGCCCTCTAGTGGCTGTCTAGTAGACAGCCACAAGAGGTGGAGTTAACCCTGCAAGGTAATTATTGCAGTTTATAAAAAAACTGCAATAATTACACTTGCAGGGTTAAGGGTAGTTGGCACCCAGACCACTCCAATGGGCAGAAGTGGTCTGGGTGCCTGGAGTGTTCCTTTAATAGCAAGGCTTGTTCATTTGCATATTGGGGTAGATCGGTCGGAGTACAGGAGCTCTGTCACACATCCTGTGCAAATAGTCATTAAATCATTTTGTACAGGTAATTGGAAGATTACTCCAAGCACCATGACTAAAGTGTTTTGAAGTAGTCACGGAGTCCGTATGTGCAGCGTTTGAAATCAAATGTTGCGCACACACATATATTTAGGCTAGTTGCCACAGGTTTAACTCCAGCTAAGTAATGCCATTAACCGCCAATCAATGACTGGCAGAATAATGACTGGCAGAGTCCAGGCTTCAACAGTTCTGCAGAAGTTGGTTGCTGGTCAGCAGTCATGCCAGGAGGCGCCTAGATGGATCCAGGTAAGAGGCAAACCATTGGTAAACAATTTGGCCCCTTAACCAGTGCCAGAATCAACCTCTGATGACCATGACCCATGCCAGGGTATATAATGGTTATGATACTTGGAGTGATCCTTTAAGAAATAATAATCAGAAACTTCTGTGTTTAGGAATATAGGGTCATTTCACTTATTAGCATTTCAGTTATGTATTGACTTTGGGGCTATATAGAGTTTTGCACCCATGTTCGATTAGACTACTACAACCATCAACATTCTCTACCAGTCTGTTGCTCAATAACAGTAGGAGTTGTAGTTCTACAGCTGGGACGTGCAGTGTGACATCCCGGACTTACAATACAAAATAATTTAACATTATCTTGCCATACCTGCTCTACAATTGATGCCAACCTTCCGAGTGCAAGTCCACACTCATCGCCCCGAGTCACAACAGCACTTCCCAGCTTTACCACAATGCGCTTGGCATGTTTTAGCTCACTACGGTGGGCAAATGGTTTACCATGCGAGCGAATAAGGGGCATAGTAATAAACGGAATATTGCTCCATTGCCGAGCATTCTGAGAAATCAGGCCAGAGGTCGGAATATCTATGACACAGATAGAAATATATAATGCAGTTAGTAAATAGGATAGTAAATGCGATATTTTGACCAAAAAGTAGCAACGCAGCCCAGCAGTCCGGAACTACAACTACTATGATGCTCTGCACTATTAACAAGCAGTCTGTTACTTTTGTAACACATTGATCCTAGTCATTGGTACAAAGTTGCCACTTTTCTAGCCTGTGGAGTTTCCTAGAGGTAGGGCTTATATTTATGGTACAATTCGAGCAGTCCTTTAACTTTCACTTAGATAACTGATTTTGCACATTTACACATTATTTAGGTAGTTATATATATATATAATTTTTGCTAATAAAGTTCATTATCTCATATTTATTTTTATTTAAGAGGTGATCTTAGTGAAGCTGGTTGGCTTTCCTAGTTTGAAGCCAACAATCCTCACTATCTACTTTCATTGTTTAATTCCTAGGGTTATGCCCTGTCTTACCTCTGTAACCCTTGTCTAACCCCTTGGCTAGGTTTTCCTATCCTGGGGTAATTCTTTCATATGTAAATACTTACATTGCATATGAGATGGGGATGCTGTGGTCCGCAATCGTGATAAAAGGCATCGTCCCCGGGAGCCCATACGGCAACTGAGAGCAGCTCGACACAGCATTCTGTTTCAGACAAAAGAGTGTAAAATAACTATAATTATACTGACACACCCTAACGTGTTCAAAAGTTCTAGTAAAACTGTAACAAACACATTAGCCCTTACACCAATTAACAATAAATCTTGGAGATACAGCCAATTAGTTTTTTTCATTTATATGGCAAGTTTAATTAATGTACTACCGACAGAAAAGTGGCCTGGAGGAAGATTATGATGACTGTACAAATTACCATGTTGATTCTAAAGACATTTATATATTTTGCACAAAAAAATCCTTCCCGGACAAAACCATTATTTAAGTCATTACATTATACAGTGAAGGTGTTTTCACTGCAAATTTGTAATCAGTGTTTAAATTTTTTTTTTTTTTTAAAGTTACAGAATGCCTTAAAAGATTATTTTCTTTCTCAAAGAAAATAAATACAATTAATTTTCAATGTTTTGTCCCTGACCTTTTCATAAATATAATGAAGGAAAAGGAAGCACGGTATCAGAGAGCAGTACCCTTAGAGCAGCACTGACTACTGAAGGAATGTTCATGGATATTAAATTTTATTAAGACACGGAGGCTCCTATTATGCTGCACTCTTTCTTTATTTACCTCAGCAGCAAAGAAAAATAACATTAAATCGGTATAAAAGAAACCAGTAAATAACATGAGGTATATCTTCCTAGCAACAGCAACAGCCAATCAGCATCCTCTTTATAGCATAATAGGCAGTGTCCAGTATACTACTTCCTCTTTCTTTGCTGCTACCTCAGTTAAGTGACTCTGGGTCCCACGGTTCTTAACTGTGGGATCTTTTACTTTACTTTATTCATATCATTACTGTGATTAATATAGTTATTATAGTTATTACATTTTAATTATAATATTTTCATGTGTATACATATATTTAGTTACTTCATTTTAACGTAATTTGATTTATTTACTTCATTTGCGTCTGTTATATGCTTTATTATATATCCTTTGATAATGTATTTCCCCTCTGACCTCCCTGGCCCCAAGAATACCATCAATTGGGGCTCAGGGACGTCTTTGAGGATCTTTATCCCCTGAATAGTGCCATTGTGCTGTTTTTTCCCTTAATTTATCTGTCTGGCTGCTGCTCTGCCACCAACTGCCAGAAATCCAAGTTGGGGTTTAGTTGTAGCGGCAGCCGGGCAGCTCCTTTGTTTTTATATTACAATTGCTATTTTTTTTTTTTTTTTCACTATTGTGAGTACTTTCATTTCTTTATCCTGTTTAGTTATTTATTTTTACTTGAGGGTTACTCAACCCTTTATTTTTGGTATTATTTTGCTTTATTCAGCTCCTTAGGTTTGTTTGTATATTTATGATGCAGTCTGACAGGATCTTTCTGTGCCTTCTGGGTCTACAGCAAACATGCAGATTAATGTAGAAGCCTCTCCAGGTATCTCTGGAGATGAGGCTGAATTTCTGCTTTACTGATCCTGCTGACATGCAGGCTTTAATTGACACTTCCATGGCAAAAGCAATGACAAGGCCCTGGTGTCAGGCCGCAAGGCCTCATATAAGGCTAAACACTCCTCCAAAACAATAGAGATGGACAGTACCATACCTGTCATGGATGGCGCGATTAATTTACCACCGCGCAAAAGAGCTACTAGTCGGGCAAAATCGACTAGACTTTGGAAAAGGGCAAAAGCCCAATTAAACTCTGAATCCAAGTTCAGTGATATTGAGGAGAAGTTCACCGAGTTCTATATGGAGGTGTACCTGTACTCACACCTGCGCTGCTTCAGCCTGGCCGCAAGGCCTCATATAAGGCTAAACACTCCTCCAAAACAATAGAGATGGACAGTACCAAACCTGTCACGGATGGCGTGATTAATTTACAACCACGCAAAAGAGCTACTAGTCGGGCAAAATCGACTAGACTTTGAAAAAGGGCAAAAGCCCAATTGAACTCTAAATCTGAGCTCAGGGATATTAAGGAGGAGTTCCCTGAGTACTATATGATATTGAGGAGGAGTTACCTGAGTACTATATGGAGGTGTATCTGTACTCACACCTGCTCTGCTTCAGCCTGGCCGCAAGGCCTCATATAAGGCTAAACACTCCTCCAAAACAATAGAGATGGACAGTACCATACCTGTCATGGATGGCGCGATTAATTTACCACCGCGCAAAAGAGCTACTAGTCGGGCAAAATCGACTAGACTTTGGAAAAGGGCAAAAGCCCAATTAAACTCTGAATCCAAGTTCAGTGATATTGAGGAGGAGTTCCCTGGGTCCTATATGAAGGATTCAGAGGATATTTCTGATCCTGATTATGAAATTACTGATGAAGAGGATGCTAATCCCGTTTGGGATACACGTCCTGTTAAACCTACCAAGATTTAGGTAGATTATGCAGACTCAGGGACACCGATAGGATCTTGGACACTCAATGTGAACCCCTATTCGAACCTGACGACCTATGTCATCCAGTGGTCTCCTCAGACCATGTAGCAAAGTATATTGGCATCCAGAGTACGCAAGCCTTTTGAGAAGGCAAAGTGAAATAAATTGCGGGCTGAATGGCCACACCGAACAGTCCCTGATGACTCATGTTAAACGCTATCAGTCAATCCTAAAAGCATTCAATTCCTGAGTAAGACAGGATGGAAGCCATCTAAAGGCTTAGATTTTCATCGCAAAACTGTCAGGATAAAATCCTGGGCATCTTGGGCTCAGCAGCCAAGATCTTTGAAGCAGTGGAGGATGATCTAGAATTAGATTGCGCCATCTTAAGTGGTTAGATCCAGAGAGTAATTTAAGTTGGCAACGCCAACAATGCGGTTGTCACAGAACGCCACAAATCGATCTTGCTCAAGATTGAGCCCAAACGAGCCAGATAACACAGGCAAAAGGTTTTCTCTTTGGGGACAACTTTGTAAAAGAATTTGGCTCCTTTGTCCTGCTAAACAAACAGAAGTTCATTTAGACAGAACCAAGGCTCTTATACTTGCCGAGCCGATTTCTTTGAACAATGTACTATACCAACCTCCTTCTCACAAAGTGGCCAACCCTGGATTGTTAGTGGCCTAAGGGATGCTCCTAAGACGTCTTCACAATTTCCATTCTTTCTTACTGATAATGGGGGGCAGGCTCACACATTTTTCCCATGTATGATCCCTCATTTCATCAGATGCTTAGGTTCTTCACACTGTGAAATGGTATTGCATAGACTTCCTTTCTCTACTTGTTCAATGTTCCCCATCAAGGAAAATTGTTTTTTCCCAATGAGACACAGACCTTGTCTCTGTGGACAATCAATTGTAGAGATTCTGGCACATACCCTGGGTTACGTGAGCAACCTTTTCTTGTTTCCCAAAAAAGGCAAAGGTATCCGTCCAGTAATAAATTTGAGACTGCTCAATAGTTATGAGCATATCAGCACTTCCAAGATGGAAGGAGAGCATTGTTTAAGGGATCTTCTCCAACCAGCAGATCGGATGGCCAAATTGGATCTGCAGGATGCATATCTCACAGTGCCTATCCCAGTACAACATCAAGATCGAGAACTTCCTGCAATTTACATGGTAGGGCAGTAAATAGAGGTTCAGGTGCCTCCCATTCGGACTGTCTTCAGCTCCATGGTGCTTCACCAAGCTCACATCTTATAATATATTTAGATGGCATTTTCATTCTGGCTCAGTCTATTCAATTAATCCGGACATACCTTGCATGGACTTTGACTCTGTTAGAGAACCTAGGCTTCCTGACCAATTGGGAGAAATCCATTATCGTTCCCACGCAACAAATACAATTTCTGGGTTATATTGGATTATTGTAGATTCTACCCTTCAAACTCTACACCCTGCGGTGGCAAAATTAGCCAATGTAAAGAAGGAGATATGCGAACACTAGCAACCTCTCAACTCTCTCTCAAACAACTGTTGAGAATGTTAGGCCTTCTAGCGGCATCTATACAGGCCATTTCTACAGGTCTTCTTGGCTATCGAGCCCTACAACGATTACAAACTTCATCTCAAGGGCAGCACATCATACACAGATATGGTAACTCTGGACTCAGAAGCAGAGAATGAACGCCAATGGTGGCTTCTTCACATGGAAGCTTGGAATAAGCACACCATATTTTGTACAGCTCCAGATTTGATAATCAAATCCGACGCAAGTTTGCACGGTTGGGGTGCTCAATGCAGAACTATTTCCACCAAGGGCAGATAATCAAACCTGGAATCAACACTCCACATCAATTGTTTGGAACACCCGGTTCCTTTGCAGTCCATAGTTTCTCCCCAACTCAAGCCCAATGCGCTATCCTTCTGAAGATGGACAACGTGTCAGCAGTCCGCTACATCAATCACTTGGAGACACAAAATACAAAATTCTGACCTACATGCCTCGTGATTGCTGGCAATTTTGCCTGAGACACGGCATTTCAGTCAGGGCAGAATATATTCAAGGTCTCTCCAACACTACGACGGACTGGTATTCACGCAAACTCAGAGATTCCAGCGACTGGCACTTGGATTCCATGGTCTTCCAAGACATCTGGAACCTACGGGGTCTATTGGAAATAGATCTTTTCGCTTATCGTTTGAATGCTCAACTTCCCCGTTTTTTCAGTTGGAGACCAGATCCGATAGCATTGGCTATGAATGTTTTCTCCAAGGAATTATGATTTTTTGCCTTTCCATCTACATCGCCAGTCCGGCACCTGTTGATCGTGGCTCCTCTATCGCCATCCCAACCATAGTTCTCTTTTCTTCAGGAGATGGTTATCGACCTTCCATCTCTCGAGTGCCTTCTTCAGGATCCAGATGGTGTACCTAATCCTCTTGTTCTCCAAGGTCTCTTGCATATCATAGTGTAGTCTATTTCAGGGAACCTTGGTCGGTCAAGGGAGTTTCGCAATCAACTCCCCAACTTATCAAGGGTGCACCCAACACGAGACAGGCTTATAAATCTGCTTGGAGCAGATGGCATAGTTGGTGCATGAAAATAAATTTAAATCCCATATCGGCTCCTTTTATGTCTGTCCTCCATTTTTCTGACTTCTATGATGAAGGTAAAGCCTATCGCACTGTGGACCTTAACGATCGTCCATTTCTGCTGGCCATCAAAGTTTTGATTGGACGCCTGTCGGTTGACATCCTGTCATATATTGACTTCTCTGAGGAATATGGTTTGCTCATTCACCCTTACCACGATACTCTGTCTTGTGGGACGTCTCTATTGTCTTGAATTTTTTATTTATTTTTCTTGCAAGAGGTTTTTTCTGACGTACGAGCTAGTGAGGTGGTTGGTCGTTCCTTTACTCCAGAAGGTGTCCTCTTTGACATTTCACGGAGGACAAAAACCTCCTCTAAAATCTATCTTACCCAGTTTTCCCTGATAGATCCTTTGCCCTGTTGCATACTAATGGGTGTGTGAACATCGTTCTACTACGTTACAGAATCCTTTGAAACAGGAACTCTTCCAAAAGTCGCATCTTCCGGTGTCTACTCTAGCCTGGTGGGTCAAATACGTGATGTCTCTAGCAGGTATTGATACCTTTGTGTCAGTGCCTCATTCGGTTCGTAGGGCAATGGCTTCTAAGGCTTCCTCGATTGGTTGTCGCTTGGAGGATATTATGAGAGCGGCTGGTCTTCAGAGTCTACATTCCATGATTTCTACTTTAGACCTATTCAACACTTCACAGGAGACATAATTTCACAGCTTTGAACTAGCATAATAGGAGCCTCCGTGTCTTAATAAAATTTACAGATTTTACTATTAACATGACGTAAAGTCATGATTTTATTAATGACACGGAGGCGAGTATTATCCCTCCCTCCCATCCCTGGAGATTTGGTCTTCTCTGGGTAAGTTGACTTCACGGTAAGTCTTTTTTGATTACTGGGCTTTATCCTTGTTAATGACTGTCAAGAGCTTAAGGTTTGACTAAACTGAATTTCATGTTATGTGTATATATATATCTGATATTTCATGTAAATTTATGCATAAATCCAGTTTTATACTTGGATATTACCATATTCTCTTTTCTCTTCCAGCTTGACTTCTAGATCCAGTTTAAGGCTCGTATACCCTCTAATTGAAGCCCACTTTTTATTTGGATTTGTTGTCCTTGTTCGGGATCGCAAGAAAGAGGAAGTAGTATACTGGACACTGCCTATTATGCTATAAAGAGGATGCTGATTGGCTGTTGCTGTTGCTAGGAAGATATACCTCATGTTATTTACTGGTTTCTTTTATACCGATTTAATGTTATTTTTCTTTGCTGCTGAGGTAAATAAAGAAAGAGTGCAGCATAATACTCGCCTCCGTGTCATTAATAAAATCATGACTTTACGTCATGTTAATAGTAAAATCTGTAAATTCTATCCTCAAAACAGGCTACTCGAATGCTGATTGGCTGCATCCACAGAAAAGCAGCCAATAAGAGCTCGAGAACCAGCTACATTTGGAGAGGCATACACAGGAGCTGATGAAATCACAGCATGGATTGCAGGGTAAATCACGAGTAAAGTAAACTAAGAGCAATTGAATATTTAAACATTTTTTCAAAAAGGGCTTTAAACACTCAACAATTGCCTAATCATGAAACGGCAAATATACATACTAACACTAAATATAGAAATATGGATTGATGTACAATTAAAAATTGTTCACATTTTAACCCTTTAGAATAAAGACATGTGTTCACTGTGTGAAGTACTTTAAAGATTAAAGCAATGCAGCTGCCCTGCTGTCACATAACTGCAGCTCCCATTATTCTGAGGGCTAAAAACAGCTGGCTTACCATCAAATTATGAATTAGCAAGATAAGCCTTAATGACACTTCGTATGTGCATTAACACTGATAGTATAAGCATTTAAAGCCCTCAGCCAATATAAAAAAGGCTTTTCTACCATTTAGTAGGTATACCACCCTCATCTAATGCATAATATAGTTTGCATATTTAGGTGGGGGTGAGAGGGGTGGGGGTATTAGCAACAAGTATCTGCAGCTACTGTAAGTCCACCAAACAACCACATTTTTTTTGCACACATTTTCTCGTTTGTGCTTGGCACTTGCAATCAGTAGCATCTCTATCTAAAGGCTTGCGGACAAATGGCCAATCATAACCTTATCAACAAGCTGTGTTTGGTTTAACTGATGTCTATTAATATTCACTGAAAAGTAAAGAAATGACAAGCACCAATATCAATAGACACTCTCTCTTCCAATTCCACTTAATTGTTTAAAGGGAGACAGGTAGCAAACCCTCCAAGCTGTCAGACAGAGTTTTATAAAAGTCAGAGACAGAAGCATTACACCTAAAGCATTTCAGTAAGCTGAATATATTCATGTGTAGTGCCCACGTGTGAAATTGCAGGGTTTTATTTATGCTGCAATCCTATTCTCATGGGTTGCAGTTTTATGGTGGGTATGTACCCCAAAGCGCATGGGTGCATTTTTGTGGCAGAATTGAGCGAACACAAGCGTGCATTTTGCAACAGGTCCGTGTGCACTAATGCAGGGGTTCCTTTTTTCGACGGGTCTGTAGGCATGAACACTTGAGTACAGTTTTGCTGTAAGCATGTCTGTGTGCATGAAAGCAGGGGTGTATTAAGTGGCCCTGTGGCAATAAACACTCTGTCCCCTGACACCTAATCTCTCCCGCTTAAAAATGGGATTGCAAATATGTATATGGGCCCAAAACTACCCCACAGTTCCTGAATAAATGCCCTATTAAACCACAGACATCATTGTTAGTTCACCCCTACAAATGGCTACTCTCTAACTCCCATCCAGACAACTAATACAATATGGAAGAAAAAAGAAAAAGAGAGAAAATCCACCAGAATTCTCTTTAATATCCTATTATGCACCTCTTCCTTCTCAGTCACCTCACCCCAACATCACTGAGCCTCTTCTCTACTAGCTCAGTCATATGGTTCCTCCATGTCACTTCTGTCTCCATTATGTGAACCCTGCCACCACCTGTAACCCCAGCCACAACCTGTTCCATTCCTGTCACCCCCCTACCTCCTTTCTGTGAACCCAGCCAAAAATTACCCCTTTCACAACCTGACTCCTTCATGTTGCCGCAGCCAACATCTGCCCTCTTCCTATCAGCCCAACCACGACCTGCTCCCTTCCATGCACCCCTGCCCCACCAAACTGAGCCCCCCTCCCCCAATTACCACATGCCTCTGCCTGTCACCCTAGTCACCATCTGCCCCCTTTCTATCAATCTGTCTGTCACGTCACCCTAGAGATGAGCCACAACATGCTCACCTCCTGTCACTCCCACCCCTCAAACCAGCACCTGCATCCTTCCTGTCACCACCTACCACAAGCTGCCCCCTTCCTATCAACTAGTCACCACCATGCCCACATCCCGTCACCCCTACCCCTCAAACCATCACCTACCCCCTTGCCACCTGTCACCCCCAGCCACAATCTGCCCCCTCCCCACCTGTCAAACCCTGCCACAATCTGCCCCCTCCCCAATCTGCCCCCTCCCCACCTGTCAAACCCTGCCACAATCTGCCCCCTCCCCCACCTGCCCCTTCCCCACCTGTCAAACCCTACAATCTGCCCCTCCCCCTGCCCTTTCCCACCTGTCAAACCCTGCCACACCTGCCCTCTCTCCCACCTGTCAAAACCTGCCACACCTGCCCCCCTCTTGTCACCCCCAGCCACTATCTGCCCTCCCCACCTGTCACTCCCCAGCCACAATCTGCCCTCCCACCTGTCCAGTCCCCCCCTGCAACCTGTCCTCCTGCCACCTGCCTCCCAAACCCTGCCATAATCTGCCCCCTTCCTGTCACCCCCAGCCACACTGCCCCTCTTCCTGTCACCCCCAGCCACACCTGCCCCTCCCCACCTGTCACCCCACCACACAACCTGCACTCCTCCCAACCTGTGACCCCCAGCCACAAATCTGCCCCTCCCAACCTGTGACCCCCAGCCACTCATCTGCCCCCTCCCAACCAGTCACCCCCCCGCCACTATCTGCCCCTTCCTATAAACTAGTCACCATTATCTGTCCCCTTCCTGTCACCCCCAGCCACTATCTGTCCCCTTCCTATCATCTCAGCAATCTCCATATTTACCCACTGCACCCTCCGTGTTACTCCAAGCAAGCCATGACCCCCTCCTCACCTCTCTCCTGGTCTCTCTGCCGCCGAGATGGAGCCGCTCCGGCTATTCCCAGAGAGCCCGTAAGAACGTGGCGTAGCTCTTCCGCACACACAGTGACGTATCAAGGCAATACAGCGCAGGTTAGTACGCTATTTACGGATCCATTACAATAACCGCATAGCAGTGAGGACTCCCTTTCGCGTAGCCGCGTTCTGAGAATGTCCGTAAGTTTCCACGTGGCGTGCTTGATGTACGTGGATACTGGGAGGACCTTACTGTGCTGTCTTTGTCAGTGATGGGCAGAGATACCTGTCAATAAATCTTACTTCCACAAAACACCTAAAATGTCACATACGCAAAATACCACCACTAACTCTAGGTATTCATTACTTTCTGAACTGTTGGGAATTTATTGTGAATTTCAAATTTAAGGCCAAAATAGAGGAACTGAAATCATGGCTCACTTGGTGAATTTTTCCAGTTTGACTACTTTGGCCTAATATTCACTTTGTGGTTTATTTGCTTAATTCTAAATTGTGGCACACTGAAATCCAAATGGCAAAATATACAGGGTTATTTGCTAAAGTGAGAATTATTATTATTTATAAAGTGCCAACAAATTCCACAGAGCTGTACAATAGGTGGACTAGAAAACGTGTTTGCGACAAGATGAATTGGACGCACAATTCAAAGTGATTTGCAAGTTTAAGGTCAAAATAGTTAAATGTAAAAAAATCTGAAAAAAGTTAATCTTTCAATTCAACTACTCTGGCCTTAAGTTTGAAATTCATCTTAAATTCACCTCAAATTCTCACTTTATTGAATAACCCTGTGAGACTGAAATAGAAAAGCAGAACCCAAAGGTGTGTGTGGCATGTAAAATTACAGTGTGCGTCTAGAAAAAATGGACATATCAAATTTTTACATATACAAATTTTTGCACCAATGAACAGACGTATGCATAAATAGTCATAATTTTTCTTTGTGGAAATCCTCCTAAAAGTGTCCTTAGACAAGGAATAAGGAGGACGATTCGACTCTATATTAGGGTCTGCCTCGCCAAAAACAGCATACCCCTTCCGGCACACCTATGAATGTGATTGTAGCTAAAGTGAAGAACTTTGCTGAATAAGCTATTTTAGCCTTAAAGGAACACTCTGGGCACAATAACAACTTCATTAAAGTTAGTGCCGGCTCACTTTAAGGGATTAAACCACTCGAATGGTTTAACCCCAAAGTCTGTGTTCCAGTGCCAAATTTTCCTGCCTCTCTGTCTTTTTTTTTCCCCCTCAAAATCCCGGAAGGGTTTTGAAGGAATCTGGCACCAGCTGCGCTGATGGGCTAAGAGTGGTTAGGTGACGCTCTCAGCCAATCAGTGACTCCCCATTCATAAAACTGGCTTGAAAGGAAACGTTCCTTTTTCAAGCCAGTTTTTGAATGATGAGTCACTGATTGGCTGAGAGCGTCAGGCCTGATTCTTCAAGAGCCTTCCGGTTTCCTGAGTTTGAGAAAAAGAAAGGACAGAGAGAAACGTAGATTCGGCGTTGGAACACAGACTTTGGGGTTAAACCACTCGAGAACAGTTTAACCCCTTAAGGTGAGCAAGTTCCAGACACCTCATGGCACCATAACATCTTTATTTATATGAAGTGGTTATGGTGTCTGAACTGTTGCATTCATCTTGAAATTCAGATTTAAATTCACAACAAATCTGAGTTTAGTAAATAATAATTTTTAAAATCCTAGCAAATATTTTGCTTATTCAATAAATACATTTTTCACTAAACAGGTGGCAACCCATTTATTAAGACTAGACTGGGCTACCCTGTTAACAATGCCACGGTTCTATTGGTTCCTGCAGATATCCCAATGACTGTTTAGACATTAAAGGACCACTATGGCTACCCAAGACCACTTCAGCTCAATGAAGTGGTCTGAGTGCCAGGTCCCCCTAGTTTTAACCCTACAGCTGAAAACATAGCAGTTTCTCTTACACTGCAGGGTTAATCCAGCCTCTAGGGGCTGTACACTGAGTAAATCGCACTTATTTGACGCTGAACGTCCTCATGGACCTCCAGCGTCAAAAAAGATCCCCATAAGAAAGCATTGAGTAATGCTTTCCTATGGGCAGGTTTGAACTCGCGTACGCCTCTGGCCGCGCATTCGGCTCCACTCGGGAGCTGGCGTTGGCGGGGGAGGAGAGGTCACCAGCGCCGAGGGAGCTCGGCACTGGATTAAGGTAAGTGGCTGAAGGGTTTTTAACCACTTCAGCGCCAAGGGAGGGGGGCACTCCAAGAGCCTATAGTGCCAGGAAAACATAGAATCCCTTTAATGTTGACCAATTTAGAAATTCTAGTCTGGGGCTGATGTGAAGCTGGACTGCAGCCAGTGGGAGAGAACCGTGGATAGGTAGGCTGAAACTAGAAAACCGCATGTATTTGTAGAGCTGACTTTTAAAGCTGAAAAAATAAATAAACAATTCCTAGAAATCCTTGCCAATAAACAGGAATATTATGACAGGGTAAAAAGGGTTGAGGGGTTTATTGTATAATATATTATTATGTCCTGAAAATGTACTGTATATAATGAAATATATACATACTGACTATTGTTACAGCATGATAAAATGAATTCAGTAGGTTACCTCTATATTTCTATTGTTTGTTAAAATGTTACCTAAGTTAAATGGACACTATAGGCATCAAAACAACTTTAGCTTAATGAAGTAGTTTTTGTGTTTAGGTCATGCCTCTGAAGTCACTGCTCATTTCTCTGCCATTTAGGAGTTAAATAAGTTTTGTTTCTGTTTATGCCACTCTAGCTACACCCCCCTTGCATGTGCCTCACACAGCTTGCATACAAACTTGTTGTTGTTTTTTCAATCAGATGTTAATTTGCTTTAGAATATTTGATCTACTGTTCTGTAAACTGAACTTTAATTACACACACAGGAGACTCCTTCAGGGTCTAGAAGGCCATTAACAGAGCAGGAGAACTAAAATTCTAAATTAAACAGACTGTGCAATAGTGTAAACATTAGATGACTGTTTGCAGGAAGTGCTTAGGAAAACTGTGCAAGTCACATGCAGGGAGGTATGACTAGAGCTGTATAAACAAAGTGATTTTAAAGCAACATTATAGTGTCAGGAATACAAACATGTATTCCTGACACTATAGGTCTAAATAGCAATTTAGATGATTGCTGCCCCTTCTGCTCTATTAAAAAGGTGATTTACTATACTATACTCCAAAACCCTCCATTAATATAAAGTTGTTTTGGTGCCTTTAGTGTCCCTTTAAACATTACCTCTCAGAACACATTGTTAACAAACACTTGGGAGACTGCTGGCTGTTCCATGGATTGTATAGAACATGCCCATATATTATTTGAGCGAAAGGGTTATAGGAAACCATACCTCCCAAGTGTTCATATAGGAGGGACTGTCCCTATTTTGGGCCCAAGTCCATCTTTCCCTCTTTTCTCTCCTAATGTCCCTCCATATTGTTGGTGTGTCTGAGTGTATAACATAGATCAACAGCAATATTTCTCACAATAATGTGTCTTTAACCCCTTAAGGATGGCAGGCGTGCTATGCTGTTCTTGGGGACCCGGCTCTAAACGCTGACGGGCGGCATGGTACGTCCCCGCCGTCCTGGCCACTTAACTGCTCGCCGGCGATCCCACTCCGCCGATCGCAATAGGGGGACTTACCTTGCATCCCAGAGAGTCCCGCTGCTGCCGATCCAGCCCTCCTGGGCCATGTGATCGCGAGGTCCTTACGAGGACCTCACGATCACATGGACAGAATAGCCGTCCATAGCAGTGCCAGCAGGGGGAGTGGCTGGAATGACAGGTAGTCCCACTGCTGCCTGTAATAAAGTAAAATTAAATTTTAAAACAGTTTAAAATTAAATAATATATACTTAGGTCATATATGTATATATATGTGTGTGTATTATATACATGATCTAAGTACTGTGTGTGTGTGTGTGTATATGTATATATATATTACGTTAAAAAGTAAAACTAAAAAAAAATTAAAAACAAATAATTAAAAAAAAATATATGTGTAATTTCGTTCTAACTGTATTTTGACATTAATATAAGGTACTATACTGATTGCAGACTCTGCAGGGGGTTCCAATAATTTATTATTTAGAGTTTTACTGTAACATTATTTACGGGCATTATGGGCCTGTCAGGATGCATTAGATAGGTATTAGGTTTTGTTTTTTTTTTAATGTTTTAGTCAGACAGATCTGGAAATGTAAGCCTGGTAGCAGAGGCGGCTCTCTAATTAGGCGGTTTAGGCGGCCGCCTAAGGCCACGCGTTGGCTAGGGCCTCGCGGCCGCCTAAACCACCTGTGGGCAGACTGTGGCAGGTCCTCGGTCAGTGACCTGACACCTGACACCAGGAGGGGCCCCGGCGGCTTGCGCGGTATGCCGCCGGGTGCGAGGCCCCTCCAGGCTGCCTGGCCAGCCACCGCAGACACCGGTCTGCAGCTCCGCAGTGAGCAGAGCTACAGACCATGTGTCTCGCGAAAACCGGCCAATCAGAGTGTTGCCAACGCTCTGTCATCTCGCGAGATTACATGGTCTGCTGCTCTGCGGAGCTGCAGACCGGAGCAATGGCCACCGGACCACCAGGGAGCCCACTGGACCACCAGGGAGTAAAGGTAGGCTCTCTCTCATCCCCCTCAGCCTCACCCACCCTCAGCCTCACCTCCACACCAGCCTCACCACGCCCCCCTCCCCTCAGCCTCCCCACCACCACCCTCACCACCCTCAGCATCACCCCCACCACCCTCAGCCTCACCACCCCCCGCCACCCTCAGGCTCACCACCCCCCGCCACCCTCAGGCTCACCACCCCCCCACCATCCTAAGCCCCACCCCATCACCCTCACCATCAACCCCCACACCATCAACCCTCTTCCTACATCACCCTCCTTCTCACATCACCCCCTCCTTCTCACATCACCCCCTCCTTCTCACATCACCCTCCTTCTCACATCACCCTCCTTCTCATCACCCCCTCCTTCTCACATCACCTCCCCTTCTCACATTACCATCACCCCTCTCACATCACCTCCCTGTCACCATCACCCGCCTCTCCTCACCATCACCCCCACCCCCTCATACACACAACACACTTCAAGCAGCTACCCCATACACATAGGGTCTCAGACAAAAACGCAAACATGCTCACAGAGACATACATTCACACACAAGGATACTCTGTCAGACACACTCTCAGGCACATACACAGGTAAACTGTGCATCATTGTGTATATGTGGCACTTTTTTGTTAGTGGGGCCTCATGTTTGAGTTTCGCCTAAGGCCTCATAAAGTCTAGAGCCGCCTCTGCCTGGTAGGGTCTGTCATTTAAGCAGTGTAGCCATATAAAATCTGTGTGTCTGACATTGTGCCATATTTTGGCAGGCTGCATAGCAAGGAGCAGAAGGAGGGCTGAAGAAAGTGGTGAAGGAGGAAAGCTCTTGAAAGCTTTAAAAATAAAAGGAGGAAAAGTGCAGTTTTTGTCTTTAGCATGTTCCCCGCCTGTATTGATTTTGGGCACTGTTGTCACGTCTAGGGTGTTCATAGGACTATCTCCAGCAGGTATTAGATGTGCTTGTGCTGTGATGAGAACACTGGGTCCATGGAAAACTTCAACAGGGCTCTCTGAACTTTCAGCCCTAAGTGGATGTAACCAGGAGGATGTCAGTCAGCATGAACACCCCCACTGCAGTCAGGACCATCCACTTTGGGCATTGTCAGTAAATCAAGTGACATCATTGATATGCCATTTTTGGCTCGTGCACCCTATCCTGAATCCATACCACCCAATGTTGGGAAGTATGCATTTAGCCAAGTTTTATAAATCCCCAACCCCTAGGGTTAAGGCTGACTCTGTCACAGAAAATAATTATTTAAAGGAACACTGTAGCATTTCAAACATGTATTCCTGTCATGGCACTGCCTGTCCTGTTTCCAGAGAGGCCTGCTTTGCCCTGCCTGTCCTGTTTCCAGAGAGGCCTGCCTTACCTTGCCCTGCCTGTCCTGTTTCAGAGAGGCCTGCTCTGCCCTGCCTGTCCTGTTTCCAGAAGGCACACCCTGTCTACCCTTACCCCTACCTCTCCTCCTGTGGACATGTTTTGGTACTGTGTTCTGTGTTATTGGGCAGACTAGATGGGCCGAATGGTTCTTATCTGCCGACACATTCTATGTTTCTATGTTTCCATACTGATCCAGGATCTCCTCCGGATGACCTAGCCCTGGGGAATCCAGCTCAGTAAGCATGGATGCAGCACGGAGGTTTACAAGTTAAATGCACAAACTGACATAGCTTCCAACCCACATAGGGTGGTTTGGACACCCTGTGCCCCAGAGGAGCCTTCTACTTATATAGACCCTTAGACCCATCCTCATGGGAGAGCTCCTATTCCCTTTCCCCTATTTAAGCACAGACCACCCTAGGGTCTGTGCTCAGTTGTTTTGTTGTTACCCTGGAGTACAGAGTCAGCTCCTGACTGAAGTAAGTTGATTTACCCTCACCTGTGGAATTCCCCTGAATCAACTCTTGTTTGCCTGGAACCTACCTTCAACCTTGATTAACCTCTGCAATGCTGATTCAACCTTGATTAACCCCTGCAGCACTGATTCAACCTTGATTAAAATAATGAAAAATATTTTATAAGAATAAGCAAGATTAGACTAATATCCTTAATCTGTAGGGGGAGGATATCTCTCACTAGGCGTGCATAAAACATATACAGAAAACATAAACTGACACTGTTCCACATAGAAGGCTTATCAATAAACTGCAATCTTTAAGTTTGGATTCCAATATTGTAGAACGGGTAAGGCAGTGGCTGAGTGACAGGCAACAGAGGCAGGGCCGGCATCAGGAGGTGACAACCATATGGGCCCTATATCTTCAGGGGCACGGTCAGCGCTGTGGCCGTGATACAGCGCGACCGGGCCCCTTAAAAAAAAAAAAAGCAGCCACAAGTGCTGCTGGGAGGGAAGTGGTCACTTCCTCCAAGCTCACTCCGCGCGGGAGTAGCGCGCGCGCCGGTGAAGAGGGAGCCGCGCCGACTCCCATCATCCCCAGCCACCCATTCCTTCAAAGAACAGGTAAGAGACAGGAGGGTGGCTGGGAAATGAGCTGTGTGTGTGTATGTTTGTCTGTATGCATGTCTGTCTGTATGCATGTATGTCTGTCTGTCTCTATGCATGTATGTCTGTATGCATGTATGTCTCTGTCTGTATGCATGTATGTATGTGTCTGTCTGTCTCTATGCATGTATGTCTGTCTGTATGCATGTGCGTCTGTATGTATGTCTGTATGCATGTATGCATGTATGTCTGTCTGTATGCAAGTATGTATGTGTCTGTCTCTATGCATGTCTGTCTCTATGCATGTCTGTCTCTATGCATGTCTGTCTCTATGCATGTCTGTCTCTATGCATGTCTGTCTGTAAGTATGTATGTGTCTGTATGTCTGTCTGTATATATGTATGTGTATGTGTCTGTCTGTCTGTATGCATGTCTGTCTGTATATATGTATGTGTATGTCTGTCTGTATATATGTATGTGTATGTGTGTCTGTCTGTATGCATGTATGTCTGTCTGTATGCATGTATGTCTGTATGTATGTATGTGTCTGTATGCATGTATGTGTATATCTGTCTGTATGCATGTATGTCTATGTATGTCTGTATTTCTGTTTGTCTGTCTGACTGTGTATGTATGTCTGTCTGTATGTATATATGTATGTCTGTATGTCATTATATATGTATGTCTGTATGTCAGTATGAATGTATGTCTGTATGTCAGTATGAATGTATGTCTGCATATCATTATGAACGTATATCTGTGTGTATGTGTGTATGGATGTCTGTCAGTATGTCTGTATATATGCATGTATGTCTGTATGCCATTATGAATGTATGTATGGATGTCAGTGTATGAATGTATGTGTGTGTGTTTGTATGTATGTATGTGTCTTTATGTCCTCATGCATGTGTGTCTGTATGTATGTTAGTATGTGTCTGTCTGTCACTATGTATGCCTGTGTGTATGTCTCAGTATGTGTGTGTCAGTATGTATGCGTGTATGTCTGTTTCAGTATGTGTGTCTGTTAGTATGTATCTGTGTCCTTTTGTATCAGTGTGTGTGTTTGTGTGTGTGTATTCCTGTGGGCGGTATTTGGAGGCGGTCTCTGTGGGTGGTTTTGGAAGTGGGCCCCCAGGCCCCGAGCTCAGTTAGGGGCCCCAAAATTTCTGGTGGCGGCCCTGAACAGAGGGTTGTAGTCAATGGAGTACATTCGAAGCATGGGCTTGTCACCAGTGGGGTACCTCAGAGATCTGTACTTGGACCCATTCTCTTTAATATTTTTATTAGTGATATTGCAGAAGGTCTTGATGGTAAGGTATATATTTTTTCTGATGATACGAAGATATGTAACAGGGTTGATGTTTCAAGAGGGATAAGCCAAATGGCAAATTATTAAGTAAACTAGAAAAATGGTCATAGTTGTGGCAGCTGATGTTTAATGTTGATAATGCATCTTGGATGTAAAATCCCATGGGGAGAGTACAGCATATTTGAGAGTCCTAACCTCAACCAGTGGCGTACATACCATGGTCGCAGGGGTTGCAGCTGCGACCGGGCCCGTCACTCCAGGGGGCCCGGCTGTCCTGCGGACCCCTGTGACCAGGTGCCCGCCGCTATGTGTTGCGGCCCTGGCCCGCACGGCAAACCGCCGAGGCCGCACATTCAAAGGGCTCATCGGGTGGCCAGTGCTGTTAGTGCCACCCAATGGAGATGAATTTCCAGGGGGCCCCGGTCATAGCTGCGGGGCTTTAATGCCCGTCACTCCTCCCAGCTATCAGTGAGAGTCAGAGTGGACCCCAAGGAAAGTCACCCTCCTGCACCTAAAAAGTAGAAAACAGGAGGGTGACTTAAACATTTTGTATATGTGTGTTTTTGTTTGTATGTGTATGTGTCTGTATGTATGTGTCGTCTCTATGTATGTATGTATGTGTCTTTATGTATGTGTGTCTGTATGTCTGTGTGTGTGTCTGTTGGGGGGGCATGGATCAGTTTTGCACTGGGGCCCCATGGATTGTGTGTATGCCACTGACCTCAACATCTGAGTAAAGGGATTTAGGTATAATTATTTCTGATGACTTAAAGGTAGACAGACAATGTAATAGAGCAGCAGGAAATGCTAGCAGAATGCTTGGTTGTATAGGGAGAGGTATTAGCAGTAGAAAGAGGGAAGGGCTCATGCCATTGTACAGAACACTGAGACCTCACTTGGAGTATTGTACGCAGTACTGGAGACTGTATCTCCAGAAGGATATTGATACTTTAGAGAGTTCAGAGAAGGGCTACTAAACTGGTTCATGGATTGCAGGATAAAACTTACAAGGAAAGGTTAAAGGATTTTAACATGTATAGCTTTGAAGAAAGACGAGACAGGGGGGATATGATAGAAACATTTAAAAGCATAAAGGGAATCAACACAGTAAAGGAGGAGACTATATTTAAAAGAAGAAAAACTACTACAACAAGAGGACATAGTCTTAAATTAGAGGGACAAAGGTTTAAAAATAATATCAGGAAGTATTACTTTACTGAGAGGGTAGTGGATGCATGGAATAGCCTTCCAGTTGAAGTGGTAGAGGTTAACACAGTAAAGGAGTTTAATCATGCATGGGATAGGCATAAGGCTATCCTAACTATAAGATAAGGCCAGGGACTAATGAAAGTATTTAGAAAATTGGGCAGACTAGATGGGCCGAATGTTTCTTATCTGCTGTCACATTCTATGTTTCTATTTTATACAGAAAATAAAATTCAACATAGCATCAGTTTGAGACACCGCATGGCCTTTATTACCATTTATACTTGCATTAGGACTTTTACATTATATTTATTTGATTAAAAAAATAAACCTTTTAATTCAGTGACTGTGTCTGTATAAAATCTCTGCATACTGAGCCCATTCACTCCAAACTTGTGACAATTCCTAACACTATAGTATTGGACTAGCTATTTAGGTTAACACCCCCCACCCCCCAGCTTTACTTACCTTTTCTCCATCGCCATGCTGATCTTGCCATGGCTGATCCCGCCTCGATGACTGAGATCATCGATCTTGAGAATCTTAGCCAATCCAATGCTTTCTCAAAGGAAATCATTTGGAGGCTATTGTGCCAGTCAGCACCTCCTTTAACTGAATTGATCACCACTGCACAAATTATAATATCACTTCAAATCTTATGGATTCTACTCAACTGTTACCTATACAAACAATTATCTGGAGGTACAATTTGTATTCAGTTATCCTTCATTGAGATATCTCCATTATACACTGCCTACAGGCAGTATAATGAATATCTCCACTGACCTAGTTAAATGCCAGTAAAAACATTCATAGCATTTTACTTTGGAGTGTCTTATTTTTGGAATCTAGTGGGGCTACCATCGCTAGTTTTATACATTTCAAAGGAGTATCCTGTCAACATTATTTACATGTCCTGAGCAAACACAGATCTGATTAGATTATGAAGTGTTTCTTCACGAAAAAAAATGCAAGAATGATAAATTCTTTTCTTTGCCACAACCCCAGACGTTTCAAGAAATTCTTAATAAAAGTATAACCTAGAGGGGGGATCTACTATTTCTCAAAGAAAAATCAACAACAATTATTTTAAAAAGAAAAATCAAGCAAACAAAAAATGTATCTGATGGGACTAGATTCCTCAGAATATGTCCAGCATCAAAAATCGTGTTTATTGGCACCATGAATCGTATTTATTGGCGTGATCCGTTATTTTTTTACACAATTTAGTCAAGATCATGATAATATAAAAATAAATCCTACATAATACCTGTAGCATCTCAGACCCAGGCCTTTATTTTTACAGGTATTTTTTTTTTTTAGGTTTTTCTCCAAGGTGCAATCTTTCAAACATATTTGTCTCCTAATAGATTTACTATCAAAGCCAAAGATTCTGGGAGCACACCTAAAGGAATTCAGACTGTCAGACTGTGTCTTCATCACTTGTAGAAAATCAATGTCACCCAGATTGAATGAAACTAACATTGATAATGCAGTAAGCTCCAGTGGTTAAATTACCACTTCAAATTAACCCTTAGTTTTGTTGGGAATGTACCCTATTAATTTGTACCCTCTACGCAAGGAGCTTTAATTAGTTTTGGCAATGTAATTGAATATATTGTGTGCTCCTTGCAATCTTTTAAAGCGGCTCTGTCATTCTGCAAGTTTTGCTTTGAAATTAAAAATTTTTGTCCCTCTGTTGCAAAAATAAAAAAAATTTTTAATTCACTTACGATTTTTATTTATACATAATATAAAGAAGGGACTACACTTTCTAATGGGTGTGTACTTTTTGGGGGTAAATTTTTGACAATGGGCAGAGCTTTAGCAAAGTTCCATTTTCAGTTGCTAAGTCAATCTACCCACAATCCATTAGTCCAAAGAATCCCATAGAACGATCCTCTGCAGAGATCATGGACAGAGGAGAACAAAATGTAGACACCCAGGTATTGCGATCCGGCATGTAAGAAAAGAGAATAAATATAAATAAAGGCAAGTGGCAATGGAGGGAGTAAAATAATTAACATAAAGGGGACATAAGTAAAAAAACAAAAAACATGACAGTACCGCTTTTAAAATGATCAGGTATTGCTTTTAGGAATTGTAAAGGTTATCTATGAGTAAATAAACTTTTTAAACTATTTCTAAATTGGAATTCTTTGGAAGCTTCTACTCATCTTATAATTTAGCAATGGACCTTGGCTACTTGTTTTGTTTAAACCGTCTTTTTCTTTAAACCAACAGGTTTTTTGGGGGTTTTTTTTGTCACGTTTCTTAGAGATGGACAAAAACTGAAGGAATTTCACCCATAAAGCCCTTGAACCATAACCACTTCAGTAAGTTGTAGCGGCCATGATGCTTAGAGTGTTCTTTTGAAAATGTAAAGCTGATGAGATAGCTTAGTGGATAGGTTTCCAGCTGCAATATTTCAGTTGCGCGTTTGGTGCATGGCAGAACAACTTATTCATGGTTCATAATATGAGAACCTACGTTGAATATTATAACAGCTAGACTCCTGGAGAAAGTAGAAACTAGCAAAAGCTAAATATACTTGTCTAATTACATTGTTCATCCTTTTATTAGTATTATTATTATTATTATTATTATTATTATTACAACGCAAAAACACTTATTTTTGGAGAAATTGGGGGGTGGAGGACAACACCCTGAACTGCAGTAGACTGTGGTACACAAGCCTTCACATAGCCCAGATATAGACAATTTGTTGTGGCACCCACTCTGCAGTTATAACAGATAATATTAATCAATTGCAGGCTGATACGTTTGTAGCAAGAAGGGAAACCACATTGCAGTTATAATGGAAAGTTTGAAATGAGAGTTTGTGTTTTGAAAAACCCTGGTAAGTGCTAAATATTTTCTGTCATGAGATGGCGATATTTACTGATTTTTGCTTCAGCTAACTCACACAATTGTACAGATCTGAGGTAAGTGTGAGCGTTGACTGTGCATTCATATATTTAGCTTACTTATTTTATTTTACAAAAAACAGAGAATAATAAAAGGATCTCTGAGCTAAGGTGGTAGCACATGAACCCAAGTAGTGAATAAACGTTGGAGGAGAGAAATACGTTTTTAGCCCAAATAGAAGTCGTAAGATAATAAAACGTAGCTTGTAATATAGCAATTAGTAAATGGGGTTATACTGTAACCACAAGGTGGCAGTAGAATATAACCACACAGGAAATAATCTAATAATTGAACACAATTATATAAAGTGATCTATTAACAATATGTACAGTGCTAAAAAAGCAAACGAGAAAATATAAATATAAATATATATATATATATATATACATATGCTAGTAGCAACCAGAGCTGAGTGCTAATACGTGTCCTGTAAGAGATAAAGTATACTATGTTACTAATATCGATAAGATACAACGTAATATCCTAGTTGCTATGCTGTGCCAGGGGGAACCCTCGGTTAAACAGTGCTCAGTCTCTGTATAGCAGCTTCCAGAATGTTGTTAGCAAAGGTAAGCTGTCAAATCCTATGTCTGATCTGTGCCTTCATTGGAACCTGTGCTAGAGTCTATAAGACTAGTACTAGCCATCTCTAATCGGAAGCCCTGATCACTATCATCATTCCCAAGTGCATGAGGTAAAGGGAATAGTAATACTGCTCGTTATATTGGCTAATCTGTGCCTTTCAGGACACCTTTGTTTACCAAAGGTTTACCAATTAAAAATTACAGCCGGAAATTTAAAACCTCTGTTAACAGAGGCTCAATTCCCGCTGAATAGCTGCCGTACCGGTGAAACGCGCGTCGGGGCTCCACTTATCACTTGTGGTCAATCTGCACACCAAACATTCTATTACATCCCGTTGTGCAATCAGCACGTGCAGCAGACCTCCAGTTACTGTATCCTTCAGACGCAGTCTGACCCAAGTATACTGATCTCTACAATACTGCTCTATTAGTGACAGCTAGATTGCAATTACTTTTGGCTAATACAGGTGCCCATGAAGGCACAGATCAGCTAACATAACGAGTAGTATTATTTATGACCTATTCCTCTACCTTATGCACTTGCATACTGCTTAACTAGTGACAGCTAGATTCTGTTTACCTTTGGTAAACAAAGGTGCCCTGAAAGGCACAGAGTAGCCAATATAACGAGCAGTAATACTATTCCCTTTACCTCATGCACTTCGGTATGATTATAGTGATCAGGGCTTCCGATTAAAGATGGCTAGTACTAGTCCTACAGACTCTAGCACAGTTGCCCATAAAGGCACAGATCAGACATAAGATTTGACAGCTTACCATTCCTATCACCATTACCTTTGCTAACGACAATCTAGAACAGGTGTAGGCAACCTTTTAGTAGCAGTGTGCCGATATAGGATTGTGATGTCCCGTAGCGTGCGCGATCCTATTTTTTTTAAATTGAGCTGTGTATGCTGCCATATTCTGCTTGTGTTATTTTTACTGTAATTGCTTTGTATCATTGTATTTGTGCGTATATGAGCTATTATATTGTATATGTTCATTAGTAGTTTATGGTATCGTGTATGATGTATATGAATGTGGGCTGTGTATGAGGGCTGCTTGAGGAATTGTGTGTGTGTGTGTGTGTGTGTGGATGGATATGTCACATTGTGTGTTTGGTAGTGTGTGGGGGCTGTTTGGGTTATTGCATGTGAGAGGCTGCATGCAGGGTTGCGTGCATGTATGTGGATTGTTAGCGGGTTACGTTTGTGGGCTGTGTATGTTTGTGTGTGGGCTGTTCATATTATTTGTATGATGGGAGGGTTATTCTGCATTTCTGTGTATATCTAGCAGTGTGGGTGGCTTCCCTAGGTTCCAGTGGGGACCAGGCCGGCCAGGTATAGCTCAAGTATAGGAGCTGCAGGCTGCTCTGCTACAGTGTGGATTCCTATTCACAAGTGCTCGGAGGAAGTTATCTGAGATCACTTCCTCTACATGCTGCAATGCATAAATTGAGGATTATCCTTCACCACCTTTTCGTATTAACAGATATCTGAAGTTTTACTGGGACTCCTGATAGGACAGAGCCTGTTTGGCTCTAGCAGCCTTGAGTACCGTGCAAAGACACCTAGAGTGCCGTGCATGGCACTAGTGCCGGAGGTTGCCTACCCCTGTTCTAGAAGCTGCTATACAGAGACTGACCACTGTTTAACTGAGGGCTCCCCCCGGCACAGCATAGCAACTAGGATATTACATTGTATCTTATCGATATTGGTGACATAGTATACTTTATCTCTTACAGGGCACGTATTAGCACTCAGCTCTGGTTGCTACTAGCATATGTGTGTATATGTATGTATATGTGTATATATATATATATATATATATATATATATATATATATATATATATATATATTTTCGTTTGCTTTTCTAGCACTGTATATATTGTTAATAGATCACTTAGTATCATTGTGTTCAATAATTATTCAATTTTCTGTGTGGTTATATTCCTCTGCCACCTTGTGGTTATATTATAACCCTTTTACTTATTGCTATATTAAAAACACGTTTTATAATCTTACGACTTCTATTTAGGCTAAAAAATTATTTCTCTCCTCCAACGTTTACTTATTTTATTTAAAACACTCACTCTTTCAAACACTCTTTCTCGACACACTCTCACTTTATTTGCCTCTCAAATGCTCTATTGTATAGCTTATATTTCTGCCAAAGCCAGTGCAAGAATTTTTGTCTATTACAAGCCCCCTTGTGTTTCTCTTTTTTTTTCTCCCCCTCAGCCCTTTTCTGTGGGTCTCTCCCATAGCTTGTTTTGTGTGTCCCTTCCCTCCAGGGCCAGTTGTGTGCCTTTTATTTCTCCCATGCCATATAGACATAGATATATAGCAACAAACACAACCATACAGGCATAATTATTGAGGCACACAGTCACAGAGATATGCAAGCACACAATCCAACACATTCATACAGGCACACAGTCATACAATCTACACATACAGCTACACTGTCGTACAAACACAGACATACAGTCATACAAACACACAAAGAGACATGCAGACACTGTCATACAGAGACATACAGACACTGTCATCAGGTCCGCCATCAGGGGGTGACAACCATGACGGTTGCGGGGGAACTGCCGTCGGTGAACCGGGGCCCGCATGCTGAAGGGGCCCATCGGGTGGCCCATGGGCCCTATATCTTCAGGGGCCCAGTCAGCGCTATGGCTGTGTAATAGCGCGACTGGGCCGCTTTTAAAAAATTGCAGCCGCAATGCAAGTGCTGCTGGGAGGAAGTGACGGGCGGTCACTTCCTCCCAGCTCACTCCGCACGGGAGGAGAGTCGGCGTGGAGGTCTTGAAGAGGGAGAGCCGCGCCGACTCCCCCAGCCACCCTCCTACAAGGGAAAGGTAAGAAACAGGAGGGTGGCTGAAAAATGAGCTCTATGTGTCAGTCAGTCTGTATGTCAGCATGCATGTATGTCAGTATGCATGTCTGTCTGTCAGTATGCATGTTAGAATGTGTCTGTGTGTCACTATGTATGCCTGTGTGTCTGTATATGTGTGTGTTTCAATATGTATGCCTATATGTGTGTATGTCTGTTTTAGTGTGTTTGTTAGTATGTGTGTGTAACTGTGGCCTTTTGTATCAGTGCGTGTGTTTGTGTGTGTGTGTGTATTCCTGTGGGCGGGATTTGAAGGCGGTCCCTGTGGGCAGACTTGGATGCACGGCCCAGACCCTGAGCTGATTTAGGGGCCCAAAAATTTCTGATGGCGGCCCTGACTGTCATACAGAGACATACAGACACTGTCCTACAGAGACATACAGACATACAGAGACATAGACACAGTCATACAGAGACATGCGGACCCAGTAATACAGTGACATGCAGACACAATCATACAGTGACATGCGACCACACAGTCATACAGTGACATGCGGACACAGTCATACAAAGACATACATACAGTGATGTATAATCATACAGACACGGGCATACAGAGCAGGTGCGGATCCAGAACCTAATCTTGGAAATGACACTGGTCATGGGTTGTAGTGGGGTGATAGGGGCTCTAATTGAGGAGTTAGGGGGCTAAAGGTGGGGGGCAGGATCTGTACAGGGAGGACAGGGTCTGTAGAGGGGGCACAGGGGCTGCTTAAAAATAAAAATAAAATCCACTTTTTTGTACCCATCTGCTCTGGCGCCCTGACGCCTTATAGATGTGCCTGCCCCGATTGCTGTTAATTTTGCTATATGGAGACAGAGTAGTACCCATTATGGCAGAGATGCAAGTATATACATTTTAGGAAACAGAAGTATAATTCATTGTCTTCACAAATATTTCTAGAAAATATCTTTAAAGTGGCACTGTCATTCCACCCTGAAAAGCGAGTATTTTACAAAGATATAATCGTCAGAAAATACTCATTATGACTGTGTTGGAATTTCACTGAATTTACAACCCAATCAAGATATTCATTCAAATTCCAACCCAGTCAGGGTAGGGTCGACTTTGTCTCTATATCTTTCCTCCACCTGACTTTCCCCAACTCTGGGCGATGTTGCAGAGTCAATCCTGGCATCCGTCACCGGTGATGGTTGCAGGGAATTGTCTCTGTCTGGTGCTTTATCCCATTGAACAGCACTACGGAATTTGTTGGCTCTTTATAAATGTTAATAATAATTGTGTGATTCTCCATAGACCTCAATACTGTACACGAGAGCACAGCAGTGATGTCAGGAGCTAAAGAGGACCCGGAGGAACAAAATAACCGCACCCGTGAGGGACATGTTCAGGCTAGTAGGGTCACTGTCAGGGGTCTTTGCAAATTCAGTAAAGTTCTCAGACGATGACAGTGCCACTTTAAAGGAATGTAAATAGGTATGCCTAGCATGACCTGCGTTCTATAGTTGTCAATGGACAGTAAGAAAATGAGAAAATAAAAACATAGGAGCATACAGAGAAAATACACTTTAAAAAAAAAGAAAAAATTAAATGAAAAATGTGAGGTAAGAAAAAGAGCTAAATCTGTCACAGAGCTAGGATGATTTCACAGACCAAATGATGTTCGTTGCTGCAGGGTGATGAGACACAGGCCTGTGGTGAGTATTTACATGAGTTAGTAGGATTCTGCTTTCCTGTTGAGGAGAGTAAATCACTTTTATAAGCTCTATCCTTTTCATCTGGAACTCAACAAGGAATGCATACAGAGAAGAGGAGAATATTATTATTATTATTATTATTATTATTATTATTATTATTTGCATTTATATAGCGCCAACAAATTCCGTAGCGCTTTACAATAATATTGGAGGGGAAGAATTAACAATAAGTGAGACAATTACAAAAACTTACAGGAATAATATGATGAAGAGGACCCTGGTCAAACGAGCTTACAGTCTATAGAAGGTGGTGTATAAAACACTGAAACAATGTTTCTGTTAGTCCCCATTTGAAAGGTGTGCGCTCGCTGTGCCTGGACTGAACTTGGTTAAGATGTAATTTGCTTAATCGTTAACATACTTTTAAAGAAAAGAGCATCACATAAAAATGTAAAACAATACAGGTGACTTTCAATGTGTTATTTAGCGGTATACTTGCCAGAGAAGTGACAGTACCTGGGTAATCTTGACTGACATTCAGAGTTTTCAATGGACTCATATGTTTGAAACCAGACTTCCCTGATAACTGCATAGTTAAAATACAACTCTTGCCACCATAGCAACATCATCTAAATTAAGTTGTTATGGTGTCAGGAGGCCCCTAGACGCTTTCTTACCTTACAAAATTCAGTGTAAGATTAGTAGAAGACCGATTTGTTTGAACGTTATCAGCATAAAATAACTGATAAGTTAACCAAAGGAGGTAGTATAGATTGAGAAAAGTAAGGGACCAAAACTTGGGGAACAACAACAGAGAGAGGTTGCGTAGGAAAGAAATAACCAGAAATGGAGACACTAAAAGAGCGCTGGGGGAGGTAGAAGAACCAGGAGAGACAAGAGAGTCTTGTGGACCTAGGTTGCAGGATGAACAGTTGATGATCAGCAGTGTTGAAAGCAGCAGAGAGATTAAGGAGAATTACAAGGGAGTAATGACCACTGGATTTTGCAGCAATTAAGTAATTGGATAATTTGGTCAGGGCCAGATCCAATTTTTTATTTTTTCTGGACACAACGGGTACACAAGCTGATGGGCTGCACATGACCATATGTCGAATTCCTATGCTTCCTTAATCAATGAGCAAAGTTAAAAAGTTGCCATCATTATTATATCTTTTATATTAATATGAAACATATGAATGCTTCATATTATAGAGCACAACACTTCAAACAGTGTACTTCAAAATGAAGAAGCAATGTGTATCCATAAAAATATATAACTTTACTATATCAGTGGCTGCCTCAAGCACCAGATTTCCTGATCCTTCTGAAATTGGGTTTCAGGAAGCACAAAGTACCACCAGACAGGGGCACAGCTGATTGCCTAGAGAGGTCAGCTCATATTCTAAGCCAATCAATAGTTCTCCATTTATATATATAATGAATGGGTAGCTACTGATTGGCTTAGAGCATCAGCTGACTGCTCTACCAAATCAGTGTGCCCCTGCCCGGTGGTAGTGCATGCTTCCTGAAACTCTGTATTGAAAGCCGTATGCTGCAGGGGAACTGGTAAATCTGGTGCTAAAGGAAGTCTTTGGGGTTAAACCATTCAAGAACAGTTTAACCCATCAAGATAAGAAAGCACCCTGGGGCCTCCTGGCACCATCATTTCTTAATTTAGATGAAGTTGTTATGGTGACAGGAGTGTTCCTTTTAACTAGATATTGCTGAAATAAGATATATATATTTTGCAATCAGATTTATAATCCTTCAACGCAGGAAACACAAAACATTGCCCTTGCTGTGTTGATGCTTTTATTAGACCTGGGACATCTGGAGGAAATGTTGCAATGTATCTGAAAGCAAAAGACAAATTTGACTTCTTATTCATGTGCCCTTTGGTTGAAACTAGGACTGGTTTGCTGACAGTGCATTCCTATATGCCCATCAAATCCACAGATATAGTCAAGTTATATATTTTTCTGGATGCACATTGCTTCTTCATTTTGAAGACAATGGTTGAAATTTTTTGCTCTGTAATATGAAGTATTCATATGTTTGTTTCATATTAATATAATAATCATGGCAGTTTGTCAGCATTGCTCACTGATTAAGGAAACATAGGAAATCAACCAATGTCATATGCAGCCCATCAGCTTGTGTACCCATTGTGTCCCGGAAAAATTATTGGATCTAGCCAAAATATCCACTTACTTAACTGCTTCAAAATCCAGTGGCCACTACTCCCTTCTAATCCTCCTTGACCTCTTTGCTGCTTTCAACACTGTTGATCATCAACTTCTTCTTCTCATCCTCCAACCTCGGTCTACAAGACTCTGCTCTTTCCTGTTTCTCCTCCTATCTCTTTCAGTGTTTCCATTTCTGGTTCTTTCTCTCCTATTCAATTCTTTCAAAACTAAATTCTCAAGCACTATGGCTTCCAAGGCTATCAGAGACACTACACAGCTCTACTTCACGCTTGCTGCCATGGTGTTCTCTTTGATTCTAACCTGTCCTTTACCCCTCATATCCAGTAATTTACTGCGAACTATGTTTTTGAGATGTTGCTTCCATCTCAGAAACATAGTTCACGTCCTCTCCTACCTAGTACTAGATGCAAATAATGTTCACATCCATGCTGCTATCATCTCCCATCTGTACTACAATCTGCTTCTCAATAGTCTGATGGACTCCCAGCTCGGTCCGTTACAGTATTCATGAATGCTGCAGCAAGGCTCATCTTGTTGTCCTCCTGCAGCTCCCATGCCTCTCCCTTGGTCAGACCTTATATTAGCTTCCTGTAAGATATAGGACTCAATTAAAATTTCTGTTACTTGCTTACAGAACTTGCTCCTACCTACCTATCCTCCCTAATACACAAGTATGTGCCTTCCAGGCCCCTATGCTCTGCAGAAGGCCTGCATCAACCCTCTGTTTTCATTTGCATCTCTGACTCCCACCATCAAGACTTCTCTAGGGCTGCACTATTCCTGTGGAACTCCTTTCCTTGCTCCATTAGACTCTCACCTGGTCTCCATTCCTTAAAAAAAATTCTGAAATCTCACTTCTTCAAGAAGACCTAACAATTAAACTGTTAGCAACTTTTCCTCCCCACATCTCACACACCCCCCTCTTGTCCTGCAACTGTGTCATCTAAAAAAAAAAAACCTAAACCTTCATTGGAAACTATTCTAGCTACCTACTTTTCCATTACACAAAATACATTTTACCCTTACCTCTTGTGTAATTTTACCCCACCACCTTGGAATGTAAGCTTGTTTGATCAGGACTCTCAGAACCTCCTTTTCATGTATGTCTAACTTGTCTTGTTGCAACTACTTCTCTGTTGGTCCAACCTTTTACAGCACTGTGGAATTAGTTGTCTTTCTATAAATAATAATAGTAGTAATCTGGCATCAGTGAGTCAGATACCAACATATGATCTAACATCTAACCTTTGTAGGCTCTATTTAAAATGAAAATAGTTTAGGCACTAATATTTATTTTATGTAGGGTTGGGAGGACTTAATGAAAGGGCAGTGCAAGTCAGGGGTAAATCGAGAGCCCAAACTAATCTTATTATATGATATTGTAGTACTTAACTAAAGTTAAATAATATCATATTTTTCTCTCAGTTGTTTCTTCTAACGGAGCCTTGATTCAGGCTTATGTTTGACTATATTTGCACCTTGGCATGCTTGAATCCTGTGTTTACATGCTGTGAATCAAAATGTAAGACAAAAAACATTCAATAAATAGAAATTGGAAAAAAAGATACACAAGCATGCATACAGACATGCACTTATAATGAGATTCCATATGCAAATAATTGGGCAGACTAGATGGGCCGAATGGTTCTTATCTGTCGTCACGTTCTATGTAGCTATGTTTCTCATTTATCGTATGGCCAGTCCTAACTTAATGTATGGCCAGTCCTAAGAGAGCCTGCAGTCTTTCTAGTCCTACATGCCCTTCATGGGCAAATGAATTGTGTTAATAGTTTCATAACATACATGCCCTCCAAGTCAGGTCTGCTAGAAGTACAAAATTCACCATTCTGCCTTCCAGTACTTTCAAGCACAGAATTCATCAGCTTCACAGATCTGGAAACCCTGCTTAGAGGTGACGTATATACTGTACAGGACCATACCCATAGTGTCTACATAAAGGGACAAAACACAGACACAACAAAAAAAAACTATTTGCAAAGGATATATCTATTGTAAAAAAAAAAAGATCTAGAATCAAATAATTCTGAGGTTTGAATAGAACAATTGCACACAAAAGACATGTTGTATTGCAGAATTTACTGAAGCTTATAAATGGAATAGTAACATTGATTAAATAGGTTGAGTGACTGTTATCTATTGAAATAGTGTGGTTTTATGAATAAAAGTACACCATTAAATTGCAGCATAATAACAAGACAAAAGCGGAAGAAGTCAGATCAGTTGGCAGAATGGTCAATAATTCCTTGCACACAACACAATGCAAGGCAAATGAAGTGGACACAATGCACAGCTGGGGTTATTGTTAAATGGAAAGTTAAACATCAAGCACAGTATTATTAAATTACAACTTAAAGGAACACTAAAGAGTGAGGAATAAAACTCCCTCCCCCCTGTGTGTGCCATAAAAATAATAAAATCAAGGGTTTTACACACCCTTTTCAAATGCTGAGTCTCCTTCGAGTCTGCTTACCACTCCTGCGACATCACGGAGGAGGTATAAACATGTGAGGGGTGCAGTGTGTGATTGTGATTGTGAGCGGTGCAGTGTGTGGTTGTGAGGGATGCAGTGTGTGTGGGGTGCAGTGTGTGATTGATTGTGAGGGGTGCAGAGTGTGTAGTGTGAGAGAGACTTTGCATGCTAGGATAAGGGTCTGATTTTCAATTTTATTATATTTATTTTATTTTTATATTTTTTAAGTGTCCCTCCTCTCCTGTTTCTTATCTGCATCCAGGGAAGGGGGCAGCATATTCCCTGGTGATCCGGTGGCACTGTATTCCCTGGTGGTCCGGTGGTACTCTAGGGTCTAAGAGGTAAGAGTAGCTCCGCGGGATGAAAGCTCTTCCCGTGAGTCCTAGCACCACGTGGAATCGAGCGTGCTGAAAGCCGGGACTCGGCCAGCCGCGGAGGTGAAAGCTGAGTCGCTCCTGCCCCCCTTCATGCTACACAGTTCTGCAAAGACCTGGCGAGGAAGATCTTTGATCTCCCCACCGGTTCAGTATGTATGTAAGGGGCCCGAGCTGACAGGGCCTCTTAAACTTGAAAGGATTTTCAACATATTTTCACGGGGGATCCGCCATTGTGCTACCATAGCCTTACAATAATTCTGTATTTTAAAGATCTTGCAAACAAACGCAGTAACTACAAGATGTATATTTTTTTTGTAACTACTAGATGCATATGCACCTTATCCTGTCCAGCAGCAATAATATGATACAGTGATGTTTGTGAATTGCATTTTTAGATTCACAGTCAGATTTTAGAAAGAGAGGTTTGGCAGCTTGGTTTTTGGCAAACTTGGCAATTTGAAAAAAACAATAAAAATGGGTTTTCTCGAATTGCTGTCATAAAGCAGGATCTAGTGGTACAGTACAGATTTGTCACCCTTCTAACACACCGGGAAACAATAAGAGAACAATTCTCAAGAAATGGAGACACATGTACATCATTAACATTCTTGCACTATGTGAGGCTAATGTTGGTCATATATGAACATACAATTACACTTAAAGAGGCTCGGTCATAAAAATAAAATATTTGTGAAATACTCACATTGACTGCTGGAATTTAATTGAAATTCTAACACAATAAAACAAAAATAGGGACTAGGTTGTCTTATGATCAAGCCTGAACTTGACAAAACTTGACAAAAGGCATAGCTGCCACAATGACGTCTTGTAAACTCCTACAAAAATTGCTAGCGACAGCTGTTGGGAACAGACATCTTCTCCTACATTATGAAAGTTGGGCTATGGATGATCTATGGACCTCTGTTCTGTACTCTTCTGAATGTTTGAGAGAACAGCAGTGAAGCAGCTGATGGTAGATAAAGTTCCATTAGCTGTAGTAAGAAGATGGCATCACCCACAAGAGAGTGGTTTAACTAAGTAGAAATTCCTTTAACTTCATCCAGTGATGCCGCACACCAACTGGGGATCTCACCTTTGGAGGCTGTTGCAAAATTTGTGAAGACCCTCTAAAGGCAGTAGAGCCAATTTAGAGCATTCTGCATACGGGCTACCCAGGCAGGCCCTCTCCCAAAGCTATCTGTTATACACCTCAACCAACAGAATTGTGAGCAGTCATCATTAATAATTTTTTCAAACTTTAATGCAGACCCAAATACTCCCTTATGATCTCTTGGACATGTGGGCATGATTCTGAGCTAGAATATGTTTTTTTGTTTTTTTTTTAAATCATAAATATCCCTGAATCCATTCAGATATCACTAGGGCAGAAAATAAATTTCAGGCATTCTGAATACTAAGTGAATGTAATAAAATAACTTTTGCTATGTCAACTGATAAAGTGGAATACTTTAATAAGACTGTTAGTAACACAAACAGAAAACTAAATAACCATATTCCCACTTCACTGGTCTTTCAATGTACGACTAGCTCAGGGAAGGAACTTGTATTGGCTAGAGACTGTATAAATATTTAACTGACCCAACAAAAAGCCATGCACGTGACAACTGTAACAATAAAACACAGAAATTCAATCTATAGCAACCTAAACTTACATAATTGCTCAAGATTGTCAAGTTAAATATGGAAAACTTTCAAACTTTCATAAGAATTGAAATGGTCATTAGTGCAACATTTTTACTTAAAAATAGAAAAGTTCTCTTTTTTGTTTCCTGCAGAGGGGAACCCTGTAAACGTATTTGTGTGTTTTTTTTGTGTTGGCATGGAGACTAAGTAAGCAATTTCCCAAAGTAAAATAAATAAATGAGTATAGTAAGATTGTGGGATGTTAGATCTCCCTGGGATTGAGGGAAAAACAATAGGAAATGCTTGTCTGAAATTCGACACAGACAAAACTGTAAATCCGTCAGGATATTTTGTTAATGATAGAATGTGTTTAAATTATGGTATAATGTGCTTTGATGTACGTTTGTTTTACATCAGCCGCCCCAATTTACAACACATCACAAAATAGCTCAGTATGTGCGTTTTGCGTGCTTTTTTTTAATACCAAGGGAATAGGATATGGATTTAAAATAACACTTAGGTTTGATAGTAATTTACTCTAGTAAAGCACATGCAGTTTAGTTTGATTTTCTTGTGGAGTACAGGCATTGCCTTTACTGTGAAAAATCCTTTGTGAGGCTTATCCGTGACTTTTGATTGAAAAATGTGTGGGGTTTTTTTCTCACTGTGGCCTTGCAGCACTCTCTCAAGTGAGAAAGCAGTCAAGAATCGAAGTCATGTAATCTGGAAAAGGCAGTGAGAATGACTATACTTTGCTATGAATTGTAAGTCATGGAATACTCTAAAATGGCACTGGTATGAAAAATGGATACTCTGGCAAATGGAACAGACAACAATAAGAATGTATAATGTCATTTGTAAAAGCATGAAAAATAAACAATAAATCTGGCTGTTACACTGCCTGGGATTTAATTGATGTCATACAGTAAGTATAGCTGCACCCAGTATCTGAAATACAAAGGACATTGCAGGCTGCTGTTGCAGCATTCACAGAATTCCTGTAGTGTAGTCTACAGTCACGACCACGCTTACCTGGGGGTCCCCCTCCGCATCTCCGTCCACTCCTGTGGCGGTCTCTCTTCGCTGCACGCCCAGGACTCCGACGGGTCTGACCGCAAGGACAGACGGTCGGCATCCCGCTGACTCGTGGCCGCGGTGCTGCGGCTCGCCACGCCGCACCCGCGGAAGCACCAGACGAACCCACATGTAAACTGCACTCACTCTAGGCACCTGAAACATCCCAAAGGGCTAATTACTGTTTAACCAATGATATGTGAGAGATGGATACCTCTCCCTTATATAAACCCAACTAACCTCTACCTTAGTGCTCAGTTATACTGTGCTCTTCGGTATTTACACTTCTGTGAATACTGTCTTATCCAGCCCTTAACCTATCTGCCTGTTATACCGTTTCTGAACCTGCGCTGCCTGCCCTCGACCTTGGCTTACCCTGACTACGAAACTCTTATCCTCGCTTTTGGCTCACTACTGCCTCCTGGGCCCCCCCATCTATGACCCAACATCTATGTTCTCTGAGACCTCTGTCCCACATCTACTTCCTTCCTGGCTTCTAAACTAGAACCAACTTACAAGATATAGGGGAGCCCTAAAGGGGGTCTCCAGTGGTGGTAGGGTATATCTCCTTTCCAATGGCAGTAGGCCGGTATTCAAATAGTTGGTGATAGTTGGTGATATATAAAAAAGATAAAAACACAAAATAGTGTTCTCTGGATAATACAAAATAAAATTATTATTTTTTTAAATGGAGGTATGCTCACAAGTAGGTGGTATGATCCCCACCAAGGATATCACTCCTCGAGTCCTCCAGTGGGGGTGTTGGAGAGAGTAAAAGGAATTATATTATAAAATAGAATAAAAAGGATAGGCTTGGAGGCTCCAGTAGCATAAATGGGCTATCTTTATTGGAGATTAAAAAAATAGTAACATAAAACAACTTTAAAAACATTAACGCGTATCTCCTGCAAAGAGGCTTTATCAAAGTGTTTATCAAAATGTTACAGCATCAGAGGCCTATCCTGTTTAAATAGCAGATACAATTGATTACATCATTACAATTAGTGACATCAATCATGTGATACAGAAAATATTAAAACGTATTAATTTAAAACAAGCAATAATACAGTGCAGATGGGAGGAGGACATAAAATGGGTATAAATTATCAAATGGATAAACATAAATCTTAAAATTAAGGAAGATAAAAGAAGAGGATGTGGTGGTTTTTAAGAAGGGCACCAAGATGGCTGCCAAATTATGTTAATGGGGGACACCAACATGGCTGCCACTGGCCTAATTTTCCCTATATCAAAAGTACCTAAATCCCTAGTATAGGGGATGGGGAGATGAAAGAGATGTCTCCCTGCTGAAAACGATTATTTTTTTTAGAAAGAAAGTAAAGGAAGAGGAATTTTTTTTTTCCTTCTCCAACTTTACCACCAATTTTTTTATTTTTTTTAGAAAGAACAAACAAACAAAATGGTGACCCCCCAACCCAAACCAACATGATCAACTGGCCTTGGAGACCATCCCTACACAGTCTTGTAGTCCGGGGGGTAAGGGAGGGCTGGCCTTATGGTGGGAATGACAGACATGACCTGTCACATGACTGACCGGGTCACGTTGTCATGGAGATAGGAAACACTTAGTACCTGAACTGAGAGGAAACAGGGGGAGAAGGCTGGCAAGACTAAAGGACGACAGGATTCTCCTTCTACCCCATAGAATCATGGGGAATGTAGTAAAAGGAAGAAATACATGCCTAAAAGAAACTAGAAGTGAGAGTAAAAAGGAATATAACTAAAACATAAAATAACAGTACTAGGAGAATGGAACATTTAAAAAATACAGAATAAAAACTCTGAGCAAGTGTAAAATAGGTGTGATTAAAAGTCTGTTTAAAAGAAAAAGGATCAGATAAAATAAATGTGAGAGACCTTGAGATCATAAATGGAGACATACATTGTTTATAATAACAGAATAAACACTTTGGTACCTATGGCAAATGTAAAAGGGGTGTGGTTAAACATATTATTCAAGAAAGAGGACCAAGTAACATTATTATTTACAAAAAGTTATACAGATCAAAATCTACGTTTAACCCTTGGGGTACCAAAGTGTCTAGTGTGAATACCCAATTCATCTCTTTTTTGCCTAGACGTTTTGGATGGTTGCCTCCTCGCCACGAGGGGGATACTTTTTCTATGGCACAAAAAGAGATCATTCTTTTATCTTCCTCAATTTTAAGATTTATGTTTATCCATTTGATAATTTATACCCATTTTATGTCCCCCTCCCATCTGCACTGTATTATTGCTTGTTTTTAAATTAATACGTTTTAATGTTTTCTGTATCACATGATTGATGATGTCACTAATTGTAATGATGTAATCAATTGTATCTGCTATTTAAACAGGATAGGCCTCTGATGCTGTAACACTTTGCTAAAGCCTCTTTGCAGGAGAAACGCGTTAGTGTTTTTTAAAGCTGTCTTATGTTACTATTTTTTTTATCTCCAATAAAGATAGCTCATTTATGCTATTGGAGCCTCCAAGCCTATCCTTTTTATTTTATTTTATAATATAATTCCTTTTACTCTCTCCAACACCCCCACTGGAGGACTTGAGGAGTGATATCCTTGGTGGGGATCATACCACCTACACCTACATATATTGAGCAATATCCTATTTGCTCTTCACTTGTGAGTATATCTCCATTTAAAAAAAAATCATTTTATTTTGTATTATCCAGAGAGCACTATTTTGTGTTTTTATCCTTTTTATATATCACCAACTATTTGAATACCGGCCTACTGCCATTGGAAAGGAGATATACCCTACCACCACTGGAAACCCCCTTTTTAAGGACATCCAAGGACCATCTACATATCCATATGTGGGGATTGTACCGGCCAGGCGCACATATCTGGAGCTGAGTATAGGCTCCAGAAAATTGTAAGTGCAATTCCTTTCCCTTCATTTACCATCACTTAAGATCTCAATATACTACACTATATCCGTGTCTTTTTCCTTCCCTCCTCCATATCGCTCTGAGCGTGGGAATTCCTTCACAGGCGCTGCTCCCTGATCCTACTACCTACATCCATTGTACCACCAGAAAAGAAGAGACTCTGCTTTTTGGGAAGTTTCAGCAGCCACATACTACAATTGCAAGTACTGATATTCCACCTACCCTTCTATTCACCCGTGGTTCGTCGAGATGGTCGGGAAGTTGAACGGGCAGCGGTACAAACTCCGCCCGGGTTCGCGGACTCGCGTGGCCGAAAATAGTTCCAGGCATTCGACCATGTACCGATGCCTGTGTTTGGGAGATAAAATGGCAGCCATGCACTGGACCACGTGCGTTCGGTTATAAGAATGGCGTCCACCCATGGAAAGCACTCGAGCGAATGAGTCAAGTTGTTAATTTGTGGTTAACAGCCAGGGGAGGTCGTGTTCGGTAAGGTATAAAAAGGGGGACCACAACAGTCATTCGGGGGACGAACAAGGGGGGACGGACAACCGAACACAAGGGAATGAAGCCACAAGGGCTGCTGGGAAACTGCCATTTATAATACCTCTGCAGGGATGGACTGGACAGAATAGAGCACTGCCGGTGAAATTAGGTGCTCTTTAGGGTCAAAACCAGTGCAAATGGGACTTTTTGTTTTTATATACCAGGGGCATTGCTAGGTGGCAAAACCAAGAAGGTTCCACCCTACTGTACATTTTATGACCCCTTGAACCTTATATTTGTTTGTCTTTTAATATTCTGCCTCTTGTATAATAAATCATTGCTACACCAATAATGACATAATTTACAATAATTTAACTGAAAGGGGCTAGTGGAAAATCTGCAAGTGGTATTATTTCCACCTGCACCTCCATTTATGGATTTTTACAGGGACTTGGGGTTAGCAGTGAAACAGTGTTAAAAACAGACCTCGATCTTGTCAGAAGCCCACGCTGGACTCCAAACTTGATTATCTCTCTCCCCCTAGCAATGTCTAAATGTATAAAAATAAACAATGAAGATACAGGTCACTTTAGAGGGCACGGATCCTGGCTCCACCACCAGCCAACAATCTAGATCGAATAAAATAGATAGAATAAAAAATGTCCAACACAAACCTTTAAGTCCATAGATCCATTATTAAGGTTCCAAAGTAAAAGGTGAAGTTTTGGCCACACACATGGCCGTTCTTAAACCCAGTGTTGCACATTATTCATTCATTGACAGTGTGTTTATATTCTGTGTTCACATGTCTTATCACATGATCTAGGTAACTGAGAGTGGTGCTCCACCCCTTTGTCAATTAGAGTTCTGCTTATACCTACACTGTTTCAAGTTACCACTGGGTTTGAGAAAGGCTGTGTGTGGTCGAAACTTCACTGTGGACTTAAAGGTTTATGCTGGATATTCTTATTCTTTCTCATATAAAGTGTTTGAAAGTAAAATAGTATAAAGAATCAGAGACACCTTTGGCCAAATGAAACTGCAACAACAAAAAAACAAAATATATATATATATATGTATATAGGTTATGGTGGGGAAAAATTGTGACTGAAAACCCCTTCCACCTGAAGTCTGTGGATAGTTAATACAATGTTAAACAAAGATTTTTGTTTAACATTGTAATAACTATCCACAGACTTCAGGTGGAAGGGGTTTTCATTCACAATTTTTCCCCACCATAACCTATTTGGATTTTGCTTCCCAAGCACTACCAAGCCTCAATACGCAAACCAGTAACCAACCTCATGCTGAAGAGTTGCATTAACAATGAAACAGCTGTCCATGAGTGGTTCACTGGTTTTGCATCTTTTCCTAAATTGTGTTCCAAGCAGTTGTATAATGCAAACACAGATTAAAAGGAATCCATGTTTAAAATGGAATGAAGCAAAAATTTGATTATTTGTGAAACTAATTTGCATATTCCCACCCAGAATCCTTTGCGGTTGTAACATCACTGAAGATTTGGGATTTCTGTGGAAAAAGCAAGTCTTATGGCTTGACTGGTGTGCAGATTTTTGTTTAACATTGTATTACCTGTGTATATATATATTTTTAATGGCCCAAATTATATTCGTACATGATATAGAGGAGGCTTTCCCAAACTCTGGCCCTCCAGATGTTGCTGAACTACAACTTCCATGATTTATTTATTTATTATTGCTATTTATAAAGCGCACACAGATTCCGCAGCGCTGTACAATTAGTTGAGAAACGTACAATATACACAAACAAATACAAGAGGTAAGAGAGCCCTGCCCGTAAGCTGATATCTAGCCATTGGAGCTCTTTTACACAAAGTGCTTAGCTAGATGGCCCGTGAGCTTACAATAATTCTATGGATAAAATAGGCTGAGAATCATGGGAGTTGTAGTTCAGCAACATCTGGAGGGCTGGAGTTTGGGGAAGCCTGATATAGAGTATATGTTTCCATGCAGTTTCAGGCCTCCCAGCAGGAAGAACCAGTTTTTATCTTTTATTGACTTTTAATTTGTCATATTTCCTGTATATCTAAGCAAGCACAATATACATGTTATTACCTGTGCGTTCTATTACATTACTATAGGCACTGCAGACTATTACTTTTACACTTCTTTTACAGATGATGAGGTAGCAATCCTAGAAACATAAATATTGCATGTAACAATACAAACTTAGTCCATAATACAAAATCATTTATTTCATACTAAAATTTAAAGCTATTTCCTTATTCAAACCCAAATAACTCTCTAAAATGCTTTTATTATTATTACATTACTAAAGACGCTTAGTTTATTATGATAAAGTAGAATGTTTGTGCTAAGTCAATGTGTAATTTTTAGATTTATCTCAACAAATGTGACCCTTCCAGAGCAGAAATGGAGCAATTAATATATTACACAGCTGCTTTAGTGGTGAACTGACAGTAGGCATGCGAGGCAAGTTAATACTTAGGAGTAAAGTTAAACACTCAGAAACAAACTTTAAACAATCAGACTAATGTTTCCCTGTTAATGGAATCATATTGTCTATGCTGTAATATTTTAGCCTACTATGGTTCTATTCCTGTAGATGGCATTTAGAAGGATGTATTCACACATCTGTTTACTTGGAAACAACTCCTAGTTGGACCTTAAAGTGAGCCCAATCTAGCACGTGTAAAAGATACATCTTCACTAGTGTGGATATTAGCATGTAGCTCTATTTTAATATGCAAGTGTTGGTTTATGCATCACTGCAACATAGCAGGTGTGTCCTGATGGAAAACCTCATGAAACATAGAAATGTGAAAACACACAATCCTCAAGTTTTACAACAACGTAGAACAGGAGGGAAGTGCATCTGGGCTGTACACTACTTTTGCTTGCTTTTTGCCACTGTGAAAAATGCATAGAGGGCTTTCATGTTCTTTTGAGAGTACTGTTATCTTTTCAAACCTCCCAGCTTTGGCGGTTGTGAAAATGGGACTGGTTAAGGCTAGGTTTGTGCCAGTGAATCAAGTTGCATCATTGGCAACACCCAAAATTGGCAGCCCCACCTGGGAAAGGGAGACTGGACCACATATAAAAGATGCACATCAGCCTGGTGTGAATGCACTCCAGGATGACTAACAGTCAGTCAGGACAGGCTGTTCAAAGAGTGCTGCTGAAGATTAGTGCCCACAACATATTACGAGCACGTCTAATGATGTTTTAATTATGCATTTGTGCTGTGCTGGCTGGGTACAGTTCCCTAATGTCCACAGATGGGAGACACCACGTAGCAAAATCAGGATGCGGGGAAAGGACAGTGAAAACCTGTCCTGCCTAAACTTTGGTCAAAAAGTAAAACCTGATATTGCAAACTGCATAGAATCCATCTAAATTAAAGCAATTTGTTTGCTCAAAATACACGTACTTAATTAGATTGCAGAAAAATACATTTAAATGCAAACCAGAGAGAAGAAAAAGAAGGGTCTTGGGGCTCACAGAGAATATCCATGGAGAAACCGCTATGGGATTTGGGCAAGTTCCTTGACCTGTTTAGGCTTCTGTATGTTGATGACACAAACCATGCTACATCTTCACAGAAAATGAGAGAAGAGATACAATTGTTAGTCTTTATGAATCTCTGTCTCTGAGGTCCACAACCATACAAGATTTTACAATGATGAAGCACTGAACAGCTTTGTCAACAGTGGGGGGACTGGTATGGCAAATCCTGAGAAATTGTGATTGTGTGATAGGAATTTGTTTTAGGTAAATTGAATCATAGTTGATTGAAGTTCTCTTCATCAAGACAAGTCTCCTAAATTGGGTGTCATCCACTACGGCTGTAGGATCACTCTCTCTATGTGAAGAGGTTATTCTCCAGGTGTACAGCAGCAAGGTCCCAACATATTTACAATATAATCAAGTAGCATCTGAAGGCCAGTTATTAGGGCCATAATTAAGAAGCACCTTCAGCTGCAAGTTCATCACCACCGTCTTGGTGGCACCCAAGTTCTTCTTTAAAATCACAAAATTAGTTAAGTGTTCTTGCATAGCAAGACCACTTAATGTTATCTCACATATATACTATTCTTATTCTTATTATAGCCAAATTTACCACCCTAACTCCTCCCACAGTTTTTACACTACATAGACCGTAATATACCGAAACGTGCGGATTGTTCCTTATTGGATTGCTATTACTTTGTGGAACGTTTCGCCAAATGGTTCACGGAATATCGTCGTTCTTGTGGCGAAATTGGTCCCATAGGAATGAATGGCAAAATGTTCAGAACTAGAGTGGGAGCTGGCAAAAGCTGAAAAATCAGGACATAATTTCTAAATTGCCACCACTCCCTCATTTTCAAGCCCACCTACACAAATCTTATATCAAAACGTTCAGCTATCCCTGCTGCCACTAAAAATGTCCACGGCTAAGCCATAGTCCTGATAGTTTGCACAATATGACCATTTGTTTGCAACTCACGCCGTCAATTGACATTCATTGAAACTCCACTCCAGCCAGCTTATATTTGAAGGGCAATTTCTAAACTGCGACTGTGCCTTCATTTTTAATACTTCAGAGACATACTATGCATCAAAATGTAGGTCTGGGTCTTGTGATTCTCACAATATAAAGCTCTTCACTGTAGGATTTATAAAATATGACCGTTTGAAGATGGCAACCGCCAAAGCACTCTGACCTGTGCCAGGCTGCAGCAGCAAGTGATGTCATAGACAGGGCCTTTTGAACACCTGCTAATGTTTTTATAAATGTATGTTTTAATGTAACTGTGAAGCACTTTAGGCAACAACGTTGCAATTAAATGTGCTATATAAATAAATAAAAATTGAAATGCATTTCTCATTCTATCAAGCTTGCCATGTGCACTTTTTAAATTTGATCAATCAATTGGTTAGTGTAATGTTTACTATCTTTACTCACTCCAAACACTCCACACGGTTACTCTGCCCACTCCATAAAATTACTCTGCCCAGTCCAACCTTTCCACAGTTACTCCAGCCACTCCAACCACACAACAGTTACTCAAGCCACTCCACCCAGTTACTCCTCTCACTCCAGTTGTAGACTACTGGTGGAGGCAAGAACACTTCACACAATTGTAGCTTTTCTAATCCTTAATATCACCCTTAGTAGAAGGTGCACTATACCCGTCAGAGTTGAACTCAGTAGAATTGTGGAAGCAGATTATCTTAATTTTAGGACTCCTTACAATATTACATTCATAAATATTGCTTATTTGTATATTTGTTATTGCTTTTATAAATTTAAATACCAGGAGGCAGTGGCGTACATACCAGGGTCGCAGGGGTCGCGGCTCCGACCGGGCCCGGCCCACCAGGGGGCCCGGCCGCCCCTGCGACCCGGTATGTAGCCACAGGGCCAGCCTCTTCTCCTGGGGGGCCCAGGAGGCGGCCACCCCAGGCCCCCCGAGGCTGGCCCTGCTGACCCCGGCGGGCGGGCTGTCCTCGCGAACCGCACTGATGCCGGAGCCGGAAGATAACGTCATCTTCCGGCGCCGGCATCCCTACGCGGCGCGCGAGGGAGCTGAAGAGGAAGCGCACAGTTTAAAATGCTCCCTCACGCGCCGGCCGCCCGCCCAGACAGCCCGCCCACCCAGTGACCAGGAGCCCAGCAGCACCACTGGACCCCCAGGGAATCCCCCCAGCACTCCAAAAGGTAAGGAGGCTGGGGGGATTAAATTTAAAAAAAAGTGTGTGTTTGTGTGTTAGTGTATGTGTGTGTGTGTGTTAGTGTATGTGTGTGTTAGTGTGTGTGTATGTGTGTGTTAGTGTGTGTGTGTGTGAGTGTATGTGTTAGTGTGTGTGTGTGTTAGTGTATGTGTTAGTGTGTGTTAGTGTATGTGTTAGTGTGTGTGTGTGTTTGTGTGTTAGTGTGTGTGTGTGTGTTAGTGTATGTGTTAGTGTGTGTGTGTATGTGTGTGTGTGTGTGTGTGTTAGTGTATGTGTTGGTGTGTTTGTGTGTTTGTGTGTGTGTGTGTGGTGTGTGTGTATGTGTGTTGTGTGTGTGTATGTGTTTAGTCGGTGTGTGTGTGTGTTAGTGAGGTGTGTGTGCGTGTGTCAGTGGGTGTGTCTGTTATTGGGTGTGTGTCTGCTAGTGAGTGTGTTACTGTGTGTGTTGTTACTGAGTGTGTTTGATGTCTGTTAGTGAGTGTGTGTTTGTCAGTGAAAGTGTATGTTTTGTAAGTGAGTGTGTATGTATGTCTGTCGCTGAGTGTGTCTCTGTCAGTAAATGTGTGTGTCTGTTAGCTAGTGTGTATGCGTCTGTTCGTGAGAGTGTGTGTGTGTGTCTTCAGCATTTACCTTTCTCCAGCATCTGACTCCCCAGTGTCCGCCTCTCAGCTCCGAATGCACATGCGCGGCAAGAGGCGCGCGCGCATTTAAACCGCCCATAGGAAAGCATTACTCAATGCTTTCCTATGGATGTTCAGTGTCTTCTCACTGTGATTTTCACAGTGAGAATCGCGGAAGCTCCTCTAGCCGCTGTCAATGAGACAGCCACCAGAGGCTGGATTAACCCTGAAACGGCTATGTTTTCAGCTGCAGGGTTAAAACTAGAGGGACCTGGCACCCAGACCACTTCATTGAGCTGATGTGATCTGGGTGTCTGTAGTGGTCCTTTAAGTGTGTGTGCATACAGCGGTCGCGAGGTCACAGCCCCGACCCGCGCCGAGTAAGCGTGGGGGGTGGCCCCTGGATCAATTTTCGCACCGGGGTCCCATGGGTCATGTGTACGCCACTGCCAGGAGGTCCTTCGTGGACAAAACGTGTACGACCTGATACTATAATAGCTTATGTATTTTTATACTTATTTTAAATAAAGAAGACATTTTTCTACTCTACAATCCTGAGTCTGACTCTGTCATCTTCGGAACAGGAGGAGTATTTTTTTACCCCCCCATCCACATCAGGGGAGGCACCCTTGGGTGATATTATTTCATCCTTCTTGTGAGTTATATTCCACATAGCGCATTTACATCTTATCAAACAGTATTACACTATTATTTTGTTTTGTATTCATTTTGTAGATCTGCAGCTGTATCCTCTTTTGTTTGTATACATACAGTATTTAAAGGGATTATTGCTGGGAAATCACTGGAGGAAGCTGCCACCACTATCCATTGAGATAAGTGCTGTCCTTTCACTTTCCTATTACATTTAGGTGTTAAGTGACTGTTTTTTCTCGTATATACATAAATTACAGTTAGCCTGTCTTGGACTGTGAGGCCTTAGGCTGACTTCTGAAGAATGGGACTACTTCCAATTGTTTTAGTTAAATATCTTCATTGGATTACTATTTTATATCTGTTAGTTGCTGGAGGGTGTAACAATCCAGAATCAAGCTGTGTTTAGTAGATATGATAGATAAGGTAGTTTTGTGCTCAGAACTACTTTAGAAAATGTCCCACTGCAAAGTTTTTCAGTTCCACCCTGTTAATATTTTGAAACCTCCTGCATTTCTATCTAATGCTATGATCTAGAGCAGGGGTTCTCAAGGACCCCCTACCAGTCCAGGATTTAGGGATTACCTGGGTGTGTCTAAGGTGTTTAGAAAAGGGGGAAAGAAACACCTTAGAGTCTAAAGTGTTTTTTTTTTCCTTTTCTAAACACCTTAGACACACCCAGGTAATCCCTAAATCCTGGACTGGTAGAAGATCCTTGAGGACTGGGTTGAGAACCCCTGATCTAGCAGGCTCCTGGTATATGTCTCAGTTATTAGTCCAACAAAAGCTATGGGGTCAAGGTCACTCATGGACTTTCCCAGCTTTACTGACAAAGCCTTCTTCTCACTGGGGCAAGTCCACTACACATAGGTCTTCGAGCAGTGTGTGTCTACCAGATCCTAAGATGTAACTGTCAAATAGGGTTATTCACTAATGTGTGAATGTCAGGAATTCAAATAGTAGTTCAGACAGAGAACTTTTGGTTCTCCATCATTAGAAGTGGAGGCAGGGAGCGGTACCTGGCTGATGCCAGTTAAGTCAAATGGTTCTAAATCTGTTTGACTACTTACACTAGGGAGCACCAGGGTAGTGGTACTACCGGCACTATAACAACTACAGTGAGCTGTAGTGGTGTTGGTGCTTGAAATGTGGCTTTCATTGCAAAATTTGCTTTGAAATCCAGGCAATTCATACTTTAGGGAATAGGTCCTGGTGAAGCTATCTGCGTTTGTACAGAGTCGTGTTTGTATGCCTAAGGGGCTTATTCTCCACAAAATGAGATGACAAAATTATATAAAATTGCAGGGTTGGGGGAGAAATATAATCAAAATCTTCATCTGGAATGTGTTTTCGGCCTCACTTCAACACATGAAAGGTGGCATATTTTGCTATGTGTGAATTAATTAATACATAGCCCTCTTACAATATATTAGAAAATATTTAATTTCAAAGTGATAATCCCTTCTCCCACAAGAAAATTCCTAAACAATGGAGTTTTCCAATAAAATGTATGAAATTAATGAATTGGAAATAAATCCACATGTAACCAGGAAAACCTAAAACTGGAAATAGAATTTTTTTTTTTTTTTTTTAAATGTATCCAGGTAATTACGTTTTAACCTCCAATCAATCTCCCAGCATGACCCAAAATGAAAACAAGGAAGACAACTCAGACTTGTCAGTGCTTATTCATGGCGACTTGACTGAAAGGGGGATGTCTACACCTAAAATACATGCACCCCCTGTTAACAGGCAACTTGACAGTCAATAAGCAAGCTGAATATATGCAACTGCTGCTAAAGCCATTTTCTGCAAAGCTTTGATGATATCATTTAATGTATGTTATTCAATGCTTAAAATTTTCAAAGCATACAAAATTATGCAGTTTGCAAAAAAATCAGCAAAGTGTGTCTTTAAATCAAGAACATCATTACATTGAAAATGTGCTCCAACTGCTGCATTGCTCATTGTATAAAAAGGTCGATTTTGGTTTTTCAGCATAAATCCATCCTTCCACTATAAGCAGATGGGGAATATGAGTCAGTTGTATTGTGCGATGGGCAGACAGCTCCATTTCCATTCTTTGCAATCTCCCTGGGAATATTGTATTTAATTATTGTGCTTGCAGGTACAATGATACAGATCCTGCAGTTTTTGTTTTAGTTCTAAGTACAGTGATTCATTCACTTGTATTCATCATTGTATCCATCTAAAGGCCTACCCATGCCGTATCTGAACAAATAGCACTTTGATCTTTCTTGCTGAAAATCTTAGTGCTTTGTTGAAGTTAAGAAAAAAAAAAGGCTTTTTATTATTAAACTTAGGAAGCAAAATAGAAAAGGCTAAGTGAACAATTCTATTACAAAGCTGGGAACCTAAATCAGGTTTCGTACTGTTTCTTCTGCCTTTGCTTGTCCAAGTACCAATGACACAACCCAAAATAACTATCTATTGAAGGTAGACAATTGGCATTACTTGAAATTAAGCCATTGCATATAACATTGGGCTCCATAAATTGGGTTGAATTTTTTTCTTAAATGTAATGGACAGTTTTCTTTTAAATTTACATTAAAGGAGCATTATAGGCATCTAATTTCCCCCAAGTTGTAACTTTGCAGCTGAAAACATTGCTGAGTTTAAATGCATCTAGTGTCTGTCACTCAAGCGTTTTCAATGAAATAGAAAAGTAAAACTCTACTATTTCTATCAGATGGTCTCAGAGCGAACTTTTTATTGGGGCAGTGTGGTGTTTTGTTGCACTCGCGCACAAGCCTTTCATGCTTTTTCTATGGAAATAATGACAGCTCTCCGTGAGCGCACCCCAACAGGTCTGGACCTGTTCCATTACCTGCAGATATGGGCTTTCTATAATTTAGCTAAGGGCAGGCACTTATTCCATAGAGAGCTGACACAGTTTGAGTCAGTCTGCTCATCTCAGGAGCACATTGGTAGGGGGGTCTCTCTGTTAAACACCATACTGTTGACAAGTGGGAAAAGACAGCCACTAGTGGGAAAAGACAGCCACTATTGGGCAGACTAGATGGGCCGAATGGTTCTTATCTGCCGTCACATCCTATGTTTCTATGTTTCACTTAGGTTTGCTACAACATGGGAAAGGGAACCCTGGGTGATGCTTAAAGACCAGGAGTGGGACAAGATATTCATCCTTACCCATAAGTGTTCTATCAGTTCTAAATTTCAGGAAACGAGCTACAAACTCCTGACAAACTGGTATAGGACCACAGATGTGCTACACTGCATGAATACAGAGATATCTAGTGATTGCTGGAGGTGTGGAAGAGATCTGGGCACTGGGCTTCACATTTGGTGGTCCTGCCCTGTCCTCACGCCCTTCTTGAGGATGATACACACTAAAGGGAAAAAGATCAGATTCCATCCTACCATTTCTGCCGCTCCCTATGTTTCTATATCACACAAACTCCCCCATAGATACACACAAAAAGTCCCTAACCAAACACCTATTGAACGCCGCAAATTCCCTGATTACCCTGCACTGGAAACAGCAATGGGTCACCAAGGTGGAGAAAATGTACAATATAGAGTAATTAACGGCCATTAGGGGCAGCTCAGACAAGTGCATCCGGATCTGGACCTCCTGGTTGGAATATGTAACAAGATTGAGCATTGTGCTTTAGATGTCCTTTACCTTTGGATTGCTGTCTTTTGACGCCCTCCGCCCCTTCCTTCCCATCTGAAAGACTTGATTATTAATGATGCGTACACATGGTACTCCCTTCTGGGGCCCCAGTGACTGCATGCGTTCCTTGGGGTTGGGGATTGCTGGAGATGGGGCGATGCTGGATTGTCATGTTGTGTGAGGGTCTGGTTTTTTTTTCTCAGTCTTTCCCTGACTTTCCAATCTTGTCCCTCTCTCTCTTTCACTTTCCTAACTTTTTTATCTTGCCTGTTGAATAACTGCATTATCTTACCTTACACTCTACATCCCTTTACCAAGGTTGTTACCAGCATTCTATTGTTACCCATTCATTTAAGATCTATACCATGAAAGCTTAACCTCCTTCTGATTCGAACACGCCATAATCTCTCGTTACCTAGTATGAACCTCGACAGTTACCCAATTTCCTCGTTGCCCACTCACTAGACTTAACAGCTTTCATGGAAGTGGGCTCTGGAGGTGACAGGATGTGATAGATTTCACTTTTTTTTTTTACCAAGGACTCTCTGTGTATTTACCGCACCTGATTTTGCTGTATGCCTCATTGTTGTTTTGTATCTTATAAAATAATAAAGACAAAACCAATTGTATATTGTTAAGACACCCTGGAGACCTAGGAGTGAAACCGCCGTTTAGTTGAGCTTTCCCCTTCACAATCTTGCCATCTCCGTTCGTATATAATTCAGCGTACGAACCACAACCAGGGGAAAGCGGTAATCTCACGAACGGGATCCGTAAGAGTGCTCCAAACTCCCGAACAATAATCCACGAATCGTTGCTAACCGCCGAACAAGTATATCCTCCAAGCGGCTTACGTTTCCAGCAATCAGTCGCTAACCGTGTGTAGTAAATCCCCCCCCAATAACAAGACCAAGCTCTGCATTGAGGGTAAAACAAGAACTGGGTTTACTGTGGGCTCCCCGCCTGTATTTATGCAGGTCTCCCACTTGGTGGACATTTCCCTAGGGGACCAAATGGGAGACTGTAATGACAGACAGACATATGGCTATTTCAGACACACAGGCACAAAAGATTCCCACCATGCATCATGGTTTCCTCCCCTCTGCCCTGGAGATAATTGAGAAGTAATTCAATTATCTCCAGGAGGAAGACAAATCGCCATTTTAAGTAAAACACCAGAAAACACTTGAAAATAAATAATTGCAAAACTACCGAACATATTACATTCGTGTAACGTATCCCCAGATAGCCTGGATCTGAGGGCATATTATTAGCGAATAGCGCTCAGATCCCATACGCATAGTTCAATCGCCATGGAGTCAAAGTCTTTACAGTCTTTCGGTATGAGATTGTCTCCATGGGAAGGCTATCTGGGTTAAGTCTCTTTATGTAATCCAAAACTCCCGAACGGCCGGTGTTCGCATGCTTTTGTTGACTTAGAAGGGTGGTCTGTAGTTTCAGCGGTGTTCGGCAGAAAAAGTGTTTGTTTTTAGTTCCATAGAATCCATGCTGAACACTGCTGGTCTTTCGCGTGGTTTAAAATGGCCGCCGCCTCGTGGTCGACATACGAACGACGACCACCCTGTGTTCGGTTATAATTAAGAGGTGTCTGCGGTTAACCACAACGTTCTAATTGGGATCAAGAGGTTAACCAGCAGCACGCTACTCTTCTGGATGGCTGTCCGTTCGGTAGATTTATTCGGCAAAAAGTCAATCATACGCATGGGGTTATAGGAACAGGCAATTTCCACGAAAGGAAGGCAAACTAGACCAAACGACAAATAATAGTCATACAGATGGGTCTGTCACATATATGTATACATATAGAGGATATGTTAACCCCTTAAGGACGCAGCTTCAAAAACTGGACTTACCCTTAAGAACACAAGCAGTATTTGCATTTTTTGCTGTTTGTGTTCAACCTCCGTTTGCATTTCTCTTATTTATTGCACCAACACATGTTATATATTGTTTTTTAAAGGACAAAAGGGGCTTTAATCTGATGTGACATATACATATATAAATTCTTATTTATTATAAAAAAATGCAAAAAAATGAAAAACATTTTTTCACAGTTTAGGCAATAATAACGTGTGTATAATAAGTGCAGCTTAAGGAAAGTAATTAAAAAAATATTCAATTAGTTGTTCTGATTTTCAGAGTACATAATATGTCTAGGATTTCAGCTTATTTTGAAAGTTACAGGTCACAAAATACAAGGAGTAAAATAAAATTTTAATGTGGAGCTATTTTAGAATTTGGTATGTTTGTCTTGTAAGCTTAATAGCCACCAGAGAAAGCAAAATTGCCGCACAAAAGTATATATTTATATAAAGCACACATCACAGGCTATTTACCAAAGGGTATTCTGACACTTTTTACATAGCCATTTCGCCGCCAATCTCTGCTAAATAGTGTATTAAATTTGAGGGTTTTTTCAGATTTCTAACATACACACATAAAAACAAGGATTTTTAATGTGTATTTTATAAAGCTGATATATATTACTGCTGAAGAAAACCCCATATTGTGTTCAGCCATATCTAATGAGTAAAACGATACCCCTAATCTATACACCTTTGCCACTATCCTGTGAAGTTACAGTGCCATAAAAGAGACCTGACCATTTAAGTTTTCACAGTGATAATTTTGATAGATGAATTTGATGGGGACAAGTCTCATTTTGGGGCATTGTAGCAGTTTAACGGTTGAATTTATCCCTCAAGGACCTATTATTGGTGAAAGTAGACACTACAGTCTATCACATATGGTGTATATTTTATAATTCTTTATTTTATTTGTGCATATGATTAACAGGTGAGTTTGCTTTGCCACAACAGCATGAGCAAATCGAACTTTACACACAAAAGGATAACAATATGGCATTTTAGGCATTGCACATTTTTTGTTAGCATATTAGGATACACATAAATGTCTCAGCGATATGTGGTACAGGATGGACAAAACAGCATTGAACTCAGTGGCTTAAGATGGGTGTTCACAGCAATTATCAACTTTTTAGTGTTATGATGTTGGTGTAGTTATATTCAGCTACGCTTATCTAATCTTGAGAGAGGGGCATGCGATCTATACAGCGACATCAGGTCTAAGTAGCCCTTCGTTTATCCAGCATAAGGTTATATGTCTATCTATCCGATTAAGTTAGGTAATAAACAGTATTTGTTATTCTTGCTAAGAGTTATCTATAACATAAAATAGCTCCGTTAACAGTGGGAGTAATGATCAGGCTATAACAAGGTTATGTGGGGCTGGGATAGACACTTCCCAGTGTTTGGGTACATATGGTTCTGTATTTTGTGTAGTGTTAAATGTGCCCTGCTAAATGAAGGTTGAACAAAGGCGTATTAAATCACGCGTGTCTCAGTCCTGCAATACAATGGTAATTGACTAAATGGGGAACACAGAAATGTAAGCTTAACTAAGACGCTCGCTCGTGTTGGGGAGACAATAGAGGTGCCGTCTGGTGGCAACCATGATAGCGTATAAGGGTATCTACTGCAAGGTGAGTAACCTTAGCCGCAGGTCTTTACCCGCTTTGACAGTGTCCCGTCGGGGGCGTATTGTCCAGCTGCCCTCACGTTTTAGGACGTCTCTTTCAGCGTGTGTCCACCAGGTGTATAGGATTGTCCAGCTTGGGGGAGTCCTCGTTAATACCAGAGACTCTGGGTCAGTGTCCCTCAAAGGAAGGTAATTTTCGCTTTAGCAAGCGGCTTATCTGATCAGCAGTTTGTTTCCCTGTAGGACCGGGTATTCAATCAAGTGGTGAGTGCCACGTACGGGTCGGGTGTACGACCTGTCGGTATGAACGGGATGGATCTCTCCGGGTCCCATGAGAGTTGTTGTTGGGGGGTTGCGCTCTTCTGGCCTGCCTGGATGAGGGAGTCCGGCGGTAGGCCCAGTGCCTCTAGGAACGGAGCTGCATCGGTCAGTTCCCTGATTTGGTAGGAGTCCGGCCCCTGCTGTACGATGAGAATGTGGGTCTTCTGCCATCGGTATTTGATGTCTCTTTGGCGGAGAAGCGTGGTAAGTGGCTGGAGGGATCGCCGCCAAGCCAGGGTGTCTCTCGAGAGGTCGGCAAAGAAGCTCACCGCCATCCCCTCAAATTGGTACGGTGTTTTGCCCCTCAGGGCGGCTTGGATTGCTATTTTGTCCTGTCTGGTTTGAAAGGTAAGTATAGTGTCTCGTGTGGCTTCGGTTGGCGCTTTTGGCGATTTGGGGATCCTGAATATGTTGGCAAGGACAATCTTGTTAGCCTGTGTGGGTGACAGTATAACTGCAAAGAGGCGCTTGATCACCTGTGGTAGTTCTGTGTCCGGGATCGTTTCAGGGATCCCTCTGACTTTCAGATTATCCTGTCTCCCGGCATCTTCTTGCTCCGCCATGCGGTGTTCATGTAGCTTTTGTTGCCGTTGGAGATCTTGCACGTTTTGTCTGAGTTCCCAAACGTCTCGGGTAACAGTTTCAGTTGCACTTTCTAGTGTGTTTATGCGAGTTGTTAGTCCCTTTAGGTCGCCTCGTAGTGCCGCAATATCATTATGCAGTTCTTTATGATGGTTAGCAAGAAGCTGCGTGAGGACCGATATAGTCACTGGTGCGGTGTCTGGGTTGGTGTTGGTCGGCTGTGTCTGCTTTCCCAGCTTGGGGGCTGGCATATACTCTCCGGAGAGGTCTTCGGAAAAGTCGGAGCAGCCGCCGTGGAGCGCCGCCATGTTGGTCTCGTTAATTTCGCGGGCCTGTCTCCACATGTCGCCGATTGTAAGTCCCTGGGCGTTTTTTTCTTTTGGTGTTTTTTTTGTTTTTCGCCCCATGTCACACAGGGGTGCGTAGTGTATCTTTGCTGTGGTTTGGGGGTGCTCAGCCTGGGTTTTTCCCGCAAATTTTCAGTTTTTCTCACGGAGCTCTCTGTCCGTGCGACCGCTTGTCTCGGTGGTCAAGCTCCGCCCCCCCATATGGTGTATATTGTGCCTTAACGTGATGCCATTTTTTCACCAATTTATTTCAAACTTTGTGGTAAAATGTTTTTTTTTCCATTTTTTACATACACGTTACATTTTTTGGGGTCATTTTTTAAGTCTGGAATGTGCCACTGTGATCAAAACCCCATAATTATGCTCAGCAAACTCTTCTGAATAAAACAATACCCCTAATGTATGTCTTTTCCACTATCCTGTGAAGCTACAGTGCCTTAAGAGTCCTGACCATTACAGTTTTTACAATTCGAATTTTGATAAATGGATCATTGTAGCAGTTTGACCGTTAAAATTACCCCATAAATGCATACCATTTGTGAAAGTAGACACCATGGGCTATGTCATATGGTATATTTTGAGCTTTATTATACAGTTATGTCAGCACCAATTTCTTTCAAATTTTATCATATTGTTTTATTTTTGCATTTTTATACACACATGTTGTATTTTAGTGGTTAATTTTGGAAACTTGATATATGCTACTGTAAATTAAATCACTAAATTATTCTCAGCTATATTTCCTGAGTACAAAATGACCCCTTTTGTATACCTTAGTCAGGTTTTTGTGAAAATACAGGGCTAAAATCATACTCGGCCCAGTCTTTTTTTTAAAAGACAAATTGACGATGGGTCTTTGTTTCATTTTGGGGCATTTCAGTCGCTCATATATTTAAATTATGCCACCAATGCATACTATTTACAAAAGTGGACACCATGGGGACTCTCACATAAAATATTATAAACTTTATTGAAGTGACATTTTGTTACCATTTTGTTTCAAAGTTTGTGGTATTTATTTTCATTTTAACATTTTTACATACACATAGTATTTTGATGCTTATTTTTTAAATCTCATGTGTCCCACTGTCATAAAATTATCTTAGCTGTACTCAGCAAGATATTCTCAGTACAAATATACCCCATATGTATATCTTTGGAAAGTAGTGATCTTAATCCTAATCTAAATCTCTAATCCTAAACCAAGCCCTAATTCTAAACCAAATCCTAATCCCAAATCTAACCCTCAATCTAATAATAAACCCTTACCACAATCCTAACCCATAACGTAATCCTATGTGTAACCTTAATTATAACCTTAATCCTAATCTCAATCCTACCTTTAGCAATAGTGTTAAAATGATTCTCCCTGCTGGTGTCAGCAGAGGAATTCAGTTGCTATATTCAGCAAGGGATGCTCGTGCTGACCCTAATCCTAATCTGAACCATAATCTGAATCCTAATCTGAAGCATAATCCTAATACTACAATTAATTATAAACCTAATCATAAACCTAAATTTAACAATAAACCCAATAATAAACCTGATAATAAATCTAGTACTTATTCTAAACCGAAAAGTAATCCTTAATTGTAATCCTTAATTTAATCTTAATCCCAAAGGTTTCCCTCTACTAATATCAGTACTGATATTAGTAAAGGGGGTTTAAACTAAAATAGACAGTGGTATGTTGCTGACATCTACTGGCTATTTTCAGTATTGCAGTCTCCCATCTCTTACATCGAAGACATTATGCCCAATGCAATACATCTGTGCTGGGCAACTGAAAATGCCCAGCACTGATCAGAATGGAATTGGGGCATAGAGGGTGACCCTCCAGGGTCTGTTCAGACCCTGGGGGTCTCCCAAGCACCAGATCACTTGAGAGAATGACTGTAGCTGAGCTTGATCCTCAGCTGCAGTGTTCTTTGTGGATTTAAATGGCTACATGCAGTGCTGACTTTCAGCACTGCATGCAGCTCATCAAAAAGTCTGGGGCCACTAAAATGGCCCCAACTGACAGAGGGAAGTCCTAGCTATCTATTGATACCTAGGTTTCCTGGTGTGAGCAAAGATTTAACCCTGCGCACACTACATTGCTGTCTATGGGGATTTAAATCCCCATTAAAAGAGCTGCTTGCTGACCTCACTTTGAGCTCTTCATACAGCTCATCAAAAAGCCTGGGGACAGTAAAAATGGCCCCAACAGACAGAGGGGACCCCCAGGTTTCTAATGATACCTGGGTTTCCTAGTGTGAGCAGGGATTTAACCCTGCTCACACTGCATTGTGCTCTATGGGGATTTAAATCTCCATTTAAACAGCTGCATGCCGATCTCACTTTGAGCTCTGCATGCAGCTCAGCTGTCAGTCTGGGGACATTAAAAATGACCCCAGCTGACATAGGGGAGACCCAGGTTTCTAATGATACCTGGGTTTCCTGGTGAGAGCAGGGATTTAACCCTGTTTACACCAAAATCTAGATATAGGCATTTAAGTGCCTATTTATGCAGATACATGCCGTGCTGATTTCCAGCACTGCACGTAGCTCATCAAAAAAGGCTAGGGTCACTAAAAATGTCCCCAGCTGATAGAGGGGAGCCCCAGGTTTCCAATGATACCTGGAACTCCCTTGTGTGAGCAGGGTATAAACCCTGATCACACCAAATTGTAATAGTGGGGATTTAAATCCCCATTTAAATGCTTGTTTGCAGCGCTCCCTTTGAGCTCTGCAAACAGAGCATTGGTCAGTCTGGGGCCACTAATTCTGGCCCCAGGTGAGAGAGGGGAGCCCCAGGAATCAAATGATACCTGGGGCTCATAGTTACCAGCAAGGTAATAGACCCTGCTGGAAAAATATTGCATGACGGAAATTTTCCGTCATGCGTCTTTAAAGGTAGGACCGGCATGACAGAAAATTTCTGTCATGCGTCCTTAAGGGGTTAACAAAATATCTAAAATCCTGTAAAGTGACAATATTCCTTTAATGGGTCCATGATTCTGTCGCATGATTGGTGATAGATTTTGCAAACAACACATTTTCGAGTAGATTAACACTAAAACACCCACAAGCCAGACTCCACTGGACATAAGACTAAGGCAAAGATTGTACATTTCCAGTAATATCAATACATACAGTAATGGGTGCTGTGATAGGCTGAAATTGGTCAGCTGACACCAGTGGTGTATCCTCGTTTTGTGCTGCCCTAGGCAGGACAAAACTCGCGCTCCCACCCCCCCGCACCACCCCACCCTTCCCCCCGCCTTCTAAATACACACACACTCACTAACAGACACATACAGTCACTAGTAATAAACCACACAAGTAATATTATGGCGCTAACTTATAAAACAACAATAATTACTAATAATCAGCACTCTATATAGTGAAAAAAAGCTCAATCACCTATATTAAGACAATGTAAAAATAAAGTACGCTGTGCCTTTAAGACTCAAAGTATTTTAAACAGTGAAAATAATTTGTGCAATGCTGTGCAACTAAAGTGATGAAGTGCATCAATGTGCAACACACTTAAATATATAAATATACAAAATGTACAAACCAAAATATTTTTTATGTGCGACAAATTTTGTGCAAAAAGACAATACTTAGCTTTCCCAGTTATGGAATTTGCTTTAAAACTTCTGTCAGCAATCCAATATGTATCTCAAAGAGAGAAGGGAAATACACAATCATAGGGTAATATGTTAATAAATAAATATAAAGAAAATATGAACCCAAAACACTCACAAGGGTAGAGCAATCAAGTCTGCTCTAAACATTGTTGGCTTCTTTTGCAATAACATACGTTGGAAACTGTGGTGAAGTAAAATCCTTTATTTCTTCTTTAAAAATCGCTATATCAGGCAGGTAAGTCCCTCTTTAATTTTTCTCCTCCATATAGTAGGTGCTGGTCTGTGCAGTCTCTATTTCGGCGCCGGCTATACAGAGTCTCTGTGTGCCGAAAAGACTTCCTGACTCCAAACACTTCCGGGAGGCGGGGCTTAACGTCCGGTTAGCGTAACGTTTCTGCCGAACCCCACAACGCGTCATCACGCTCTGACGTCATTACGCTAACAGACACACTCACTCACTAACACACACACTCACTAACACACACACACACAAACAGACACACACACAAACACACTCACTTGTGGGTTGTTTTTTTTTAAATTCAACCCCCGCCCCAGCCTCCTTACCTTTGGGAATGCTGGGGGGGGTTCTTCCTCTCCCTGGTGGTCCAGTGGCTGCTGGTCGGTCACATTCTGGCTCCCGGCATCACTCTGCTGGCGAGGGAGCCGAGCAGAGAGCTCAGGGGGAAGTGCTCCATCGCCAGTGCCGCCTGCACGGATTTTTTTACATAGCCGCCCGCCGCGCCTGGACTGTTAGCCGCAAGGCTAACAAGACATTTGCCCTGGACATTTGGGGGCGGCTTTTTTTGCCGCCTTCTGGAAAATGCCGCCCAAGGCAAATGCCTTGTTTAACTCGCGGCTAATACGTCCCTGGCTGACACTCTTAGACATCTGTTGCTCCTTCAGGCTAATGCTACCTCATTAGTCCAAGCAGCACAGATGAGGTGGAATTTTCAGGACATTCTTTTAGTATAAAAACATTAAAAACAGTTTAACACTGAATGGAAGGACAATGCCAGGGGACTCCAGACACTATAACCATTTTAATGAGATGAAGCAGTTACAGTCCCTAGAGTGTCCCTTTACTTCTCACAAATCAACCCTTACTGTACAATAATGGACAGTGTTCCATAATCAACCAATCAATCCTTTCTCTGAGTCATTCTCTTTATAGCTATAAACAGAGCAATTCCTTGTTGGGTTATTAAGTTACTGCATTATTACATAGGGTTGCCACCTGACCGGTATTTTACCGGCACGGCCAGTATTTGGGACTATGTGGCCAGTGCCGGTATTACAATAATTCAGGCAATGCAGTGGCCTGTATTTCTGTGTGATGGAACTCCGAGGCTCTCCTAGATCTGCATGTATCTCTCCTCATAAAAAGCATGCTCTTCCTCTGCCTCCACAGGGGGGCCTTGACAGAGGGGCACTATAGTTTCCCTTTAATGGAAGAGTTTAATTTAGATTCGACAAATAAGTATACTGCCCACTTTTCCTGTTTTTCATATTTCTCTGAAAAAGTTTATATACATTTAAATGTTTTGTTCCATTATGTATTTTTCTGATAAGATGTATGTAATAACGTTCATCTAATGCCAATATCTTTTGGCTCTCCCATTCTTTAAACCAAGCGTCTCTCATTACTGAGAGGGCATTTAAGGTGTATAGCAATATTTTTTTACCGCATTTCAAACTCTTCAGCAATATCTTGCTGTCTCTTTGGTAGTTACACAAGTTCCCCTGCTACCAACTTCCCCTTACTTTTAATTAAATATCTCTAAAAAGTTTGTCAAGTATTGCTGCATATTCCAATAAATCATTTGTCTGTATAATACATATTGATTTTACTCTTGCCTTTGAAAGATTAAACCAGACTATTTGAAATGCTGTCTTGATACCAACAAAAAGTCCATTTACCAATGAGCCTAAAAGTCACACTTTAAACAGAAAATTGCAATTTTAGTTCAGATTGGTTTTTTTCTGTACTAATGGAGTAAAACCAAGCTAGCAGGGATCTCATAACTCCATTCCATATTTATTACAAAATAAGATAACATGACAGTTGTGAATTGCAATGATATCTACATTTATGATTCTATTTAGTCTGTATGTCTGTCTATTCTATTCTTTCATCTTGATAGTCTACGGTGTCAAAGAAAAGTATATATATATTTTTTTGCGTCAGATATTGAGACTACTTTACGCCATTACCAAGTAGAATTATCAAGGTCCCATATCATCATATGCTTTTTACCAAAACAAGAAAGGGGGAAAAAGAAGAAAGAGAAAAAAAGGGGGGCAGTTCTGCCAATACTTCTAACATTAGTGGTCTATTAACTCATCATCAGTATGTCTTAAAGTAATCTTGCTATGGTGTTTCTGCCCCAAACGCTAGCCAAGGTTCCCATGTCCTAACATAGTGGTCTCTCTTCCCCTGAATTGCCCAGTGAACGTCTTCAAGTTCCCTCAAAGCTTCCACTCTAAGAATCCATTGTTCTTTAGTCGGGATACTAGGTTTAAGCCAATACAACGGGATCAAAGCATTTGCCTCATTCAATAAATAACTCCGCAATGTCTGTTTATTATTCTCCTTAAAGGAAGCTGGCCATCCCAATAGAATCTTAGATGGGGGTAGTTGATCAGGCATTGGTAAAATTTTATAAATGACACTCAATATCTGTAGCCATTAGCTCCTAATAAGTTTTTCACTCCCACCATATATGTTCCATATTCGCCCCCCTCTCACCACATCTCCAACAGCCATCCGAGGCCAGTAAACCGTATTTTTTTAAGTCGATCTGGAGTATTGTACCATCTAGTAACTCTTTTAAAAAAAAAAAAATTTTCCTAGGGGTGCTCACCTGGGCTTTCATCCCCATTTTGAACACAATCATTGCTGGTCATTTGAATGTTAAAACCTTGCATCCATTTCAATTGGAATGAAGGGACAGTCTTCTCCATAGCTGCCTTATGAATTAGACTATATATACTGGACAGATACCATTTCTTCTCTATCCCAGGACCACAAAGTGACTCGAACTCTGTTCTATCTCTTGTCTGCCAATATGGTAACACTTTTTGGTTTAAGAAAAACTTTAAATACATGATACCCATTCTATCTATAAGAGCTGTTGTATTGTCCCAGGAAGGGAACTCTCTTAATCTAATGGGTGTTCCATCTGTTATTAAACTTGTTACTGAAGGGTCTGCTTCTCCTGTTAACTTTTCCAGTAGTTTGTGGCCCAGCCCAAACTGGAAATCCAAGTTAGATGCTATTGGGAAGAATACAGATAATCCCGGGGATAGCCCCATCTATCTTTAAGCCTTCTCCAAATGTGTATGGTGTGGTTTATAATTGGATGTTTAGAGGGTGATAATAAATTTAATTTACAATTCTGCCAAGGCAGGGTCTCCAACTTAACCTTTATAAAATCCTGTTCTATCTTGTACCATGGCTTTTCCTTATCTATAGCTGTCCATTCTCTAATTCGAAAAAGAAAAATATTGAGCATCGGACTTACGTGCTGTTTAAAAGTAGATTTATTCAGTTTGCTCCAAAAATATTCAGTTCATCACCGCATATCACGAGAGAACAAATCTTCTTGCAGCTTCACTTTAACAGCTGCTAACCTGTCTTCCGAGTAGAATTTGGGCTCATAACCCTTTACCCACCCAAATACATTTATATATACACGTCGCAAAAATGCAGTACTGTTAATTTCTGATCATAAGCAAATGACACAGCACTTCCATGTACAAAACAAAGTGGTATAGAGACATTTAACCTTTTCCTTGATACCATTTATTTTACTTTCCAAAACAGAAATAAGCTAGTTATACCATCTGTTGCTAATCACTAAAAGATTTCTGTGTGTGTGTTAAAATTTATGCTAAGTATAAACTTTTTCCCACTTATATGCTATAAGATGTGATGTCTTATATATTTTATGGCTGTCCTCGGGGCCGAAGATTAAAAGCAGCCCTTGATAAAAACTTTTATACCAGCCCTGTTATACATCTTATCAGCATAGTGTGAAAATATAATACTGGTCTCTTTATAGATTCATTCCTATTGGTTAACTCTCAATATTTGCTTATCTCCCCATCATTAGGTCACAGAGTTCTTTTATCCAATGTTTTCCATGTTCCATATCTCCCTTAATAACTAAAAATTGTTGTGACTGTTTGATGGTTTTCTCATAGTTGCGGAGAACAAACATATAATTATCCATGTATTTGATATATTTTATAGCATTTTTGTTATTTTACAGTCTCTGTGAGGGAGATAAAAGATCTAGGGGTCAAAATATATCTTGAAAATCATGACATATTTGGCCAGAAAACAGTCAAGATGTGGGGTACCTCTGGACTCGCAAAAAGTCATCCTTCATCACTTATCACCTTCTGTAGATGAAACCTCTGAGGAATCATGGCTTGAAGGATTACAGACTTTTACATAGAGGTTGAGCATGCTTTTTATGAACCATATACACTGATTAACAGACAGACTGACAGACAGATGGCAATAAGGAATGAAGACAGACATAATGACAGACAGTCAGGAAGACAGGCAGAACAACAGACAAACAGAAAGACGCGCTATAAAATGAGAAAGGTATACAGATAGTAGGAACTTTTCCTGTCCTCTTCCCTATTGCCATCTTCTCAATGCGCCACACAAAATTTTATAGGGTGTTCATCTTTTTTTTAAAGAAAATCCAGCATTTTATGAAGGGTATGCGAGTAGTTGTGCAAAATATAATGCTCCCCAGTTAGAGCTTCCATTGCTCCAGAGTCCAGATCAAATTGAGGGTAGTCAAGCTCAAATCCTCATACATATCTCGAGGCATAGACCTCTATGCCAATGAGATGGTATGACACTGATGGATACCAAGTGAAGCTTTGTCAGAGTATACAATACATCTGGAAGGAAGTAGAATATTCAAGCAGATATAATAGCATTTGCATTTATACATCACAACATGGCATCACTTTGCTATGATTTCACTGCTAAGGATCACTGTACACATGATTACACATGTAAAAGTGGACTTCAATACAGTAAATATCCATTTTATATCAATCTAGAAATAAACTTTGCAACCTACATTTCATTCTTACCTTTCATCCCTTTTAGAGATCACATATGTTATATTACTGTATCCACATTTAGATATTTATTTCTAACCCAGTCTCTCTTGTCAACATCCTGAGACTCCATTGTTTATCTTTTCATCCTCCATTCTGTCATTCTCAAATGTGTCTCATAAATTTCCTCCATTTAAACTCAATATGCAGAATTCCATCAGGATTTCTTGTGTGAAACCAGTTCTTGCACTCCAAGATAGGAAACGGATGAATGGGTGTAAATCAAAAATCTATTTCTTCAAAATACTTAATAAATCAAAAATCTTTTTCATCAAAATACTTAATAAATATAAAAATTGTGGCAGGTAAGCAGTACACAATACAGGTAGTTCCCGACTTTGCGAACTAATTGGTTCCGAAGCTTAGTTCATAAAGTGAGAGTTCATAAAGTGAGAACTAATTTCCCATAGACACAATGTAATAAACACGGGTTCCGTTCCTGACCAACAAATTTTACCATTGAAAACCTAAATTATTGAGTACAAATACAAAATGAAAGCATAGCAAATACATGTATGTTGTAGGAATTTTAAAGGCATGCATACCATATTGAAATCTTCTGTAAATTATCATCAATCCTCATACTATTCAATGAAGAGACATGCTGCACTTGTTGAATGGGGGCCCCTCTCTTAAACCCTCATACTTATTCATTTTCTCCATTATCAGCTTCCCCCTCTCCTTTATCACTTTTCTTTTACTCTTTTTATTTTTACACCTCTCTCAAACTCTCCTCCTCGTTCTCTCTTACTTTTAACATTGCATTACTTTTTAGCCCTTTTCTGTTACTCCTTTTTTTTTTACAGCTCTCAAACTTTCTTCCTTCTCCCCCCCACCACCCACCTTTTCAGGCTTTTCAGCCCTCCTCCTGCTCCATGGCACAATGGCAAACACACATATACACAAAGCGCTATGTCAGACACACACAGACGAATCAAGTCAAATCTATACTCCATAGCACACAGTGCAATAATATTACAGGATCTGTAATGTATGCTCATGAAAGCACAAAAAGAATACAGTACAATCTAAACCTGTTTTTAGTCTTCCCTTTATCTTCGGGAACGATGGTTCTGATCCTCATCTCTCTTCTTGTCTACTCCTGACCACAAATTCTTATTCTTCTCTTCTTGTTTGTGTTTCAAAGCACTCTCCTCGGTCCTGATCCGTGGACCACTGACACAAAATGGTGGTGAAAAAAAATGGCGGTGCATCCAGAAAAAAATTCATAAAGGCGGGAGTTCATAAAGTGAGAAATGCCTGTATACAATTGTTCTAGCTAAACATGGGGATGAGGATGAGAGGGGCATTCCACATACCAAGGAGAGCTGGACACATTTTGCATCTCCCATCGAATTTCCTAGACAAATTTTTAAGGGGTAATAGGTAGCTATCTGATGGAATGGTAGCCAACAGATGGTTAACATCTCCAGTTATTGAGGAACTAAAGTTCACATGATGCATCGCCACACAAAAGCTGACAAAGTTTCATGGACATTGTAGTTCATCAGATGATGGGAAGCTAACAACAGTTTGGTTAGGTCTACTGATGAGTAAAAAAAAAAAAAATACATGCAGCATCATCATTTAAACTCAGTGCGTTTTGTTTTAAAATTGTGCACCAGATCTGGAACTGAGGAATTAATAAAGCCACCAATCATTGAATAATGACAACATTAATTTAGTTTTGGAAAAAATGAAGGACAAGGATACCAAGGAATAAATATGTCTAACACGTTTCTTGTCTTGTGGCACTTTCTCATATTTTCTTTTTAGTTTTGATTTATTTTAAACTCTGGCAACTGTTTCTTAAAGCAATAATACATCTCCATATACATATAGTTCCCAAGTGCCATGTGTTCTCTGTATTTAGCTCCTGTGAATGTCCTTAGCATCCTAAAGTCACCCAGACCATTTAATCTCTGGGTGCAGTGTTTTTTTTTTTTTTTTTTAGAAACAGCAATGTTTATATTTCAGAGTTAAATTCCAACTGTAGTGGCTTTTCTTCCTGACAGACACTAGAGGCGCTTCCCCTGTAAGAACTGAGTCAAACCCGGTCACGTGATGCATGTGCAAATCAGTTCCTCATTTCTCCTCAATGAAGAACATTGGATTGGACTATCGCTGGGAGTGTAACCTGTATCTAATCAACATGGGCACTACAGCATTAGGAATACAGGTTTGTATTCTTAACGCTATTGTGTTCCTTTAAAAGTAGTGCAGTGTGCAGGGCTAGACTAACATAGTGCATCATTACTCCTTTATCTGTCCTCTCTGGCCAGTTCTGTTACTTCAGTCTTTTTATAAACCAAAATCAACAACAATAGGTCAATTATATCTCTCAGCACTGACCCCCTCAAATAAAAAAACAACAACAACAGTATTGCAGCCATGAGTCATATATATATATATATACAATTCGTAGAGGTTTTGCACTCCAGCCTTCCTGTTTCTTGCCCGGTGCTCAGCTGCACAACATACAGAATGATGAAAAAAGCCATCACTCAGGGACTTGTAGAAAAAAAATATCTTACATTTTTATTCCAGTTAAGTCCTGGAATCACTTAACTGGAATAAAACTGTAAGATACTTTTTTTTCCGTGCTGGCCTTTTTCATTGTTTTATTTATATATATATATATATATCTCTCTCTCTCTAATTAGGTGTACATATATGTTCTTGTGAGAGTGGTTAATTACTTGCATTAGTGTTTGTTTTTTTTTTTTTTATAATAATATATATATATATATATATATGTGTGTGTGTAAAATACAGCTAGAGCAGTACAGATCCTAATGTTTTGCAAGAAAGTCATGTTTGCATTGGTGTACTGTTCTGTATTCCAGCTCCCAGCAGGCCATATGCTTTAGGACATTGTATATATGTTTAGATTTGTATATCGTTGTATCTATATATCTTTTCTTTCTTTAAAAGTAGGTTTTTAGGAAAGTTCTCCATCTGTAGGACTGCGAACACTTATTCTCAGCTGATTTGGTTCCCTTTCCCTCCTACATATAACTGCATCTGTTAATTATAGCTTATAATAAGTATCTGATTTTATATTCATATTTGTGTATGTCTGCATGCATTCGTCTATGTGTCTTTGTATCTGTGTGTATGTGTCTATATTTGTGTGGGTATATGTACCTGGGTATGGTTTCAATGGACCTTGTGTGTATTACAGTAAATTAGTGTTCATCATTCTATACATGTTTACATGCTCAGCTGGGAAGGATACCAAATAAGCAGATAGAACACGTGTGATTAGGGGAGCCCTGGGGCACAAAAAGCTAGCCCTACCTCCTGGGGTCCTGAGGTTTTAAGTTAAGCCGCTCATTATTTTCTTTTATGATATACCATGTTCCTCCACTAAGTCAAACATTTAGGAATCTGCATGTTAGATGCAAAATCTTGTTTTTGTGAAGAGCATATTGTTTTAATAAGCTCCAAAGGGAAATGAGGCAATTGAAATAGCACGGTGTCATCATCATTGTGCTGTAAAAACAAGATCACACATCAAGGGAGACATGAGAATGTAATTAGCGAGTGAAGTATACAAACGGTGAAGTAAGAGAAAGATTTAGTAGTGAATTTTGGGAGAGTGGCGGTTCAAGAACCCGCAGTGATATTCCTGCAAGGACACACCGCAAAGGCAGATGTGTTTTCTACCACAATTTCTCTCTTGGGGCAGGATTTGGAGCAGAAGGATTTACAGCTGACGTTACCTGCAATCTCTATAGCAGCTGCAAATAGCAGGAGCCAGATCTCAAGTGTCTGACAGTTGTGCTGTACTTTGTCTTGTAAAAGTCCCTTTAAAAAGGGGGTAACAAGATGTTTGGAAGCTCTCTGGTAGAAACTTGGTTCCCCCGACCCAGCTTCCTCTTGGCACACACTTCCTCTTAAATGTCTGCAGATGTGGTCAGGTTGGAGGGGTGAGTTATTTGATCCAGTTGCAGTTGATGGAGTGGAGTGGATGGGTCTGCTTCTCCAATCTGACATTACTCATCCCTTGGCGCTATTAAAAATAAGTCTCCTCAGCAAAGGATAGGGCATAGGGAAAAGATGCAGATATCTGCAGCTGGTATTGCAAATTTTAAAGGACCACTCTAGGCACCCAGGCCACTTCAGCTTGTGGTCTGGGTGCCAGGTCCCTCTAGGATTAACCCCTTTTTTTTATAAACATAGCAGTTTCAGAGAAACTGCTATGTTTATAAATGGGTTAATCCAGCCTCCAAATCCTCTAGTGGCTGGCTCATTGACAGCCGCTAGAGACGCTTGCGTGCTTCTCACTGTGAAAATCAAAGTGAGAAGACGCAAGCATCCATAGGAAAGCATTATGAATGCTTTCCTAGGAGACCGGCTGAATGCGCACGCAGCTCTTGCCGCGCATGCGCATTCAGCCCAGGAGGAGGATCAGAGGCATGGAGAGGAGGAGGAGAGCTCCCCGCCCGGCGCTGGAATAAAGGTAAGTTTAACCCCTTTCCTCGCTATCCAGCCCGGCGGGAGGGGGTCCCTGAGGGTGGGGGCACCCTGAGGGCACTAATGTGCCAGGAAAACGAGTATGTTTTCCTGGCACTATAGTGGTCCTTTAAGGCAGCGTGATATGGCACGCCAATTACAGGAAGGCCCTGCTTAAACGACCTTACAACCTATAAGGATTTTATGAATATCTCATTGTACACCCCATTTAAAAAATGTGATAGTGTGCATGCGCAGAACAAAGGTATCAATCAGGATTGTTCATTAAGACTTGGAATTTTGAAGACTTGACAATGGAATTACACTTTTAAATTCAATTTAGCTGAGCTAGCTGCTTGGTTTTAGATTTTTTTTCTCTCTTAGGTTATTTTGGCCTTTGGCCTTAAATATGCATTTTTTGTTAATTCTCCAAAATGTCTAGTTTACAGAATATCCTATAACAAATATAACAAAACAAACTGTATGCTTTGGCTCATGGATATCCAAGACACTAGATTATCACAGTGTTATTATACATGTGAAAACATTAATAAACGCCAACAATGTCTGTTTTTTTTAGTCCAAGGGGTTAATCGGTGAACTCAGAATATATAACCACAGTGTATTTGTATGAGTGTGCAATTTTATGTGCTTGGTTTTGCTGCCAATATATCTTAATCAGCAATGTTTATGCCTGTAATTCAGTTAGGTTTCCATATGTTCAACATGTAGAACTCATAACTTTTTAAGACCAGTGGGTGTGTATCTGCCAAAGGTATGGTTCTGATCTTAGTAAATTACTACTCAGCAAGGAAAGCTGTCATAGCCTGCTGGTTGAGTGACTCCCTACATTCTATAGCTGCTATAAAATCTAAAATTAATTTGGTAGTGTTAGTGGATAAGTTATCAGCCTTTGTATACCACACTGCCCCTGCTTATGAAAAAGTGTTGGATAATAAAAAAAAATAAAAAAATAAAAAAAAGAATTGTATAAAGTAAACATTTAAACTCCAGATTTCACAGAACCTCCAGAATTGGCAGAACTAGATTGAAAAATATGCAATAGCAGCCCAACTACCAAAGATTAGCTTTAACGGAGATTATCTATATATATTTTTTAAATATCTGTTCCTCTCTGTTTCTCCAAGTATAGGTTTTGGGAGGAGAATATCATTTTTATTATTGATTTAGTATTGGAATATTGCTGTCAGAATTACAAGTTTTAAATAGTTTGCGTCATTATAGCATTAAGACAAGCAGAACAGATGGACGCAGCTGCGGGCAGCTCATGTCCCCCGTTCAGTGTTCAACCTTTTTTTGGAAATGGTTTAACACTGACCACTGGGACAGTGACAGGGATCGCCAGGCACCATAACCACTTTAATGAGGCAAAGTGGTTATGGTGCCTAGAGTCCCTTTAAGTGCCAGTGCAGATATGACGAGAAAACCCCCAAACACTGCCAGACCATAAGGGTATGCACATAGAACTATAAACAATTTACCTAATCTTAAAGGTTAGATGCACAATGAATACGTTTTGTGGATTTTGGTTATTAAAAACTATTCTATAAATACCTTTCCTTATTAAGACAAGTTGTACGTCAATGTCCTTAAAGACAGAGAAATACATATCTCTTGCTATCAGTGTATTGTATGATATCACATTTTATAACCTTTTCATTCATACAATACATATGAAATTAACAATAATTTAAGGAGTGGACAATCTTAAAAATAAACAAGGGGATTCTATTTAGTTACTAACTTTAGACCATCTTCAGGCTAGAACATTATTGTTCATCATAACCGACCTATGGTTGTTCTGCCTCATCCCTTCGTCTCTCAACACCCTCTTGTAAGCTCCTCTTGTGTCAGTCAGCTGACCTCACCATATCTCTCATGCTTTTTACCCCTAAGTCACATTTCCAGCTCCTAACGCATACCCTTTTTCTTCTCTGCCTCCCCTCAAATTCACTCTAACTCCCCTCAACTTCCTCCCCATCACATTTAACTATCTAGAAAGTTATTTACTTCTCTCTGAATTTGCTGATGAACATTTGGCTTCCAAAATGATCTACCATTTCAATTGTTCAGTTCAATGGAACATGAACATTTAATACCTACTATTTAATATTAACTGAATATTCCAATAATTTTATTAGAAAACAAATCAACAAACATTATTAAGTAGAAGCAGAATAACAAGTTTTTGGTTTATTTATTTATTTTGATGTTTCGTTTTAATCATTGCCAGACTATCTATAGAAAATGTAATAAAAAGAACCACATGCTGCTATTGTGCCTAATGTAAAGCATGTTGGAGGGTAACATGTAAATAAATTAAGTGGAAGTCTCTACTAAACCAGGTGAGGGTCGTCATAGTGACTCATTCCTTCTCATCTACGGAATGCCCAGGATTTCCTGCTGTCCCCTTACCCTAGTGAGTTGTTCAAAGAGCTGGGAGAGGGTAATGAAATTGCAAATCATGCTTCTTCCTCCATCTTGTCACTGAAGCATGTCCTCCCTTTTCAATCAATTCTCTCAAATTCTGTCCACCTTGATGGTGGATTTATGTTAATGAATGGGCCAAGATATACTAACTCCTTTCATATGGTACCTTGTTTCCCTGGCTGTAACTGTACCGATCTTCCTAAAATTACCATGCCAAATGCTGCTTAGTACCATAGACACTAGAAAGGCCCAACCCCTTAAATTGCCATTGGGAAGACCAAGTTCCCCTGGAACTCAGTGTGCTCCGTTTTCCAAAAGAATAATAATGCTCTGTTGGTTCCCTAGCATATAAATTACCTGATGGGTGTATTATATCTATATAAGTATTTTGCTGGCAGCTCAGTTGGCTCAGATTGTGCGTTGGCATGCCTCTTCTGGGGAGCGTCTCTGGGTACACTTGGAGTAAGGGTTTATAGGAGCATACTTGGCCTACCGTTTTATATGGCTTGATTATCCTCAAAGAGCTTTCATCAGAACCTTGTACCCAGCTATCGTACCCTCTATGCGATAGGGTTAGGTTGAAATTTACCTTGTCTAGTTGGCCCTGACAAGGGACTGTTTCAGTATTGAAACTGGATTCCAATATTGTTGAATGGGTAAGGCAGTGGCTGAGTGACAGGCAACAGAGGGTTGTAGTCAATGGAGTATATTCGAAGCATTGACTTGTCACTAGTGTAGTACCTCAGGGATCTATACTTGGAACCATTCTCTTTAATATTTTTATTAGGGATATTGCAGAAGGCCTTGATGGTAAGGTATGTCTTTTTGCTGATGATACGAAGATATGTAACATGGTTGATGTTCCAGGAGGGATAAGCCAAATGGCAAATAATTTAGGTAAACTAGAAAAATGGTCAGAGTTGTGGCAACTGACATTTAATGTGGATAAGTGCAAGATAATGCATCTTGGACGTAAAAACCAAGGGAAGAGTATAGAATATTTGAGTCCTAACCTCAACATTTGAGGAAAGGGATTTAGGGGTGATTATCTCTGCTGATTTAACGGTAGGCAGACAATGTAATAGAGCAGCAGGAAATGCTAGCAGAAATGGTAGGTTATAACAGAATGGCTCAACCATAAAACTAAACATGGCAACTAAGAAAAAAAATGAAATGACCCCTATTCAAAAGTCTGCATACTGTGTATTTCCCTCTTTAGCATCAATGACAATGTGCAGTCTTTTGTAATAGTTGTTTATGAGGCCCTAAATTCTTGCAGGTGGTATAGCTGCCCGTTTGTCTTGGCAAAATGCGTCCAGGTCAGGCAAAGTCTTTGGTTGTCTTACATGAACCGCACGTTTGAGATCTTCATAGAGTGGCTCAATGATATGAAGGTCAGGAGACTGTGATGGCCACTCCAGAACCTTCACCTTTTTTCTTTTGTAACCACTGGAGGGTTAACTTGACCTTGTGCTTAGGGTCATTGTCCTCTTGGAAAGCATCCCAAGTGCAGCCTTTTCACAAGATGCCGTTGGAGCTCATCCCTCCCCACCCCACCCCCCCAAAAAAAACCCCATCAATGCTTCACAGTGGGGATGGTATTCTTTTCACTATAGGCTTTGTTGACCCCACTCCAAACATAGCCCTTATGGTTGTGACCATAAAGCTCTATTTTGGTCTTGTCACTCCAAATTACAGTGTGCCAAAAGCTGTAAGGCATGTCAAGGTGTTGTCGGGCATATTGTAACCAGGCATTTTTGTGGCATTGGCGCAGTAAAGACTTCTTTCTGGCAACTCCACCATCAGGGCCGGACTGGGGATACAAAGCAGCCCTGGAAAACAATTTTGTGCCAGCCCCATAAGTCACTGCGTCCTATATTGTCGCGTGTAATATGTAAGGCTATGTCTTGCCAGGACAGATGATTGAGTAATATATATATATATATATATATATATATATATTGCTTTTTCTAATATAAAATATTGGTCCTTTCAGGGTAAAACATTTAATTATACAGTAAGCATACTCACATGCAGACACAGGCAATTTCACTGACATCTCAATGACACACACAAGCTCATTGATACACAGCCTCATAGACAAACAATCTTACTGATATACATCAGCTCATTGACATAAAAACACAAGCTCACTCACTAGCAGGCACACGCATGCAAGCAAGCTCACTCACTAGCAGACGCACACACACAGCTTAATGTGGTGGTACTGGTGTCTATAGCATGTCCCTACAGGCTTTTCAATGTAAACACTGACTTTTCAGAGAAAAGGCAGTGTTTACATTGCTTCAAAGTGACACTGCTAATGACAGTCACTCAGACGGTCACTAGAGGTGCTTCCTGTGTTAGTGCACCTACATTCAGGGCCTCCACACTCTGTAGGTGCTGAACGTTCCCCATAGAGACACATTGATTCAATGCATCTCTATGAGGAGATGCTGATTGGAGTGGCGTTTTGCAGCCAATCCTATGGCAAAGCATTGGATTGGCTGAGATCATCAAGCTTGATGATCTCAGCTATAGAGGCAGGGCCAGTCGAGGGGAGACCAGCACGCTGCGTGGGGAAAAAAAAAAAGATGAGCAAAAACACTATTTTTAAACACACATTTACACCATGACAGACACAGAAACACACATATACCATGACAGATACACACCCCATGACAGACACACACACACACACCATGACACAGACAGACACACACACCCCATGACGGACAGACAGACACACACACCCCATGACGGACAGACAGACACACACACACCCCATGACAGACAGACACACACACATACACACCCCATGATGGACAGACAGACACATACACACCCCATGACGGACAGACAGACACACACCATACAGACAGACACTATGACACAGACAGACAGACACAGACACCATACAGACAGACACCATGACACAGACAGACAGACACACACAACTTACATACAGACAGCCAGACACACACGCACACACACCATACAGACAGACACCATAACACAGATAGACAGACACATTACTAGTACCTGCCACCAGGGGGAGATCTTCTGGAGGCCGCTGGGGAGGTCTTCTGGCGGCCGCTGGTGGACTTGTCCTGGCTGCCGCTGGGGAGGTCTTCTGGGGGCTTCTGGCGGCCGCTGGGGGACTTGTCCTGGCGGCCGCTGGGGAGCTGCACTGTCTGTGCTCTCCCGCCCTCGCGCGCTGCTGAATGAGGCCGGCGCCGGAATATGACGTCATATTCCGGCGCCAGTCTCATTCAGCTGCACGCTGGGGAGCAGAGCCAGCACAGCTCCTCGGCGGCCGCCAGGAAAAGTCCCCCAGCGGCCGCCAGAAGCCCCCAGAAGACCTCCCCAGCGGCAGCCAGGACAAGTCCACCAGCGGCCGCCAGAAGCCCCCAGAAGACCTCCACAGCGGCAGCCAGGACAAGTCCACCAGCGGCCACCAGCAGACCCAGGTGTCTGCCTGGCCCCAGGTGCCGACGGCCCACCGGGAAATTTCCCGGTATCCCGGTGGGCCAGTCCGGCCCTGTCCACCATGCAGCTAATTTTTGTCTAAGTATCGTTGTATTGTGCTCTTTAAAACAACCACACCGTCTTTTTCCAGAGCAGCCTGTATTTCTCCTGAGGTTACCTGTGGGTTTTTTTTTGTATCCTGAACAATTCTTCTGGCAGTTGTGGCTGATATCTTTCTTTCTTTACCACTTGAAAAAGCCCATTGTGGGTGAAACGCGTTGTGGACCTATTTTATTACTGTTTTTGTTGAAATAAAGGTTTTGGTAACTTTTACTACCAATATTAGTACCATATAGTTTTTATCTTTCCAGTGAGGACCTCACCAAGTATCCCTGGTGGGGATTATACCACCTGCGCTGATTATACTGAGCAGGTTATCTGCTCAGACAAATGTGAGTACAATTTATTTATTTTTTTTCTCCTGGTTGAATATATTTTATACAGAGAGCATTATCTTTGCACCCTTTTTTTAATTTTCACATATAATCTGCTGATAAGACACGTGCTGGTCAATATATTCCACCATATCCCTGAAGTGGGGGGAAAAATCCACTGCAAGCACTTTTTACTAGAGCTGGTTTTAGCTCTATTGCATGTGAGTAGGCCATTTAGATTTCTTTTTACTCAAGCTTTTATCATATTTTATACATATTGCACTTTTGGAAGTTTTTTATTCTCTTTTATGTTCCTGGATTATGAACACCTGGAAGGTATACTAACCTGAAGATACAGGCAAACCTTTATAGACTTACCCACACTATTATATTTTATCCTGGACTTTTGGCTTGTCCTTTTTTTTACACGATTTAACTTGTTTTAGTTAGAGCTATTCTGATTCCTAACCCCTTGGTGCACCCTATTGTTCTGCAATATTGTTATTTCTTTTGGGTTTTTGGGAAAGACTAACCCATTTAGGTGTGCTGCCTTCCCTACCTCTAACACAGCGCTATTCCACTACTTGTTTTTCTGAAATCTTTCTTGACCTACCTGACCTTGGCTTGGCATCAAGAGATCCCCAAATTTTTCACTTCTTAATAAGTGATTGAATAGTACTGACTGACATTTTCAAGGCATTGGATATTTTTTTTTATATCCTTTTCCATCTTTATAAAGTTCCATTATGTTATTACGCAGGTCTTTTAACAGTTCTTTTCTGCTCCCCGTGGCTCCGTATCTAGCCTGCTTCGTGCATCCACGTGAGAGCTATCAAACTCATTGACACTAATTGCAATTTAAAAAGCCACAGGTGTGGGAAATTAACCTTTTATTGACATTTTAACTTGTATGTGTCACCTTGCGTGTGTCAGGTATACTTGTATGAAACTCAAAATGCAGTACTTGTACTAGCTGAAAAAGTAATAAAGCAAAGTTTGGAAACAATCCAATAGGGGCAAGGCAGAAACAAGGTCAGGCAATCCAAAGGTCAAAATCCAGGCAGCAGAGGTTCAACAACAATAAGGAATTACAGGGTCGGGTATTCAGGAGATCAGGAACGCAGGTTATATCAGAGGGGTAGCACAGAACAACTGAGCAATGAAAGCTCAGCTGTTCCAGGTTTAAATATTGTGCCATACAAAAGGCACACCTACTTAACAAGCCACCATAACAGCCTGTTTTCAATCAGCTGCAGTTGTCATGGAGGTGAGTATGGCTTTAATTAGATCCAGCCACACTATCTTGCGACATGGAACGATCGCGCATGTCATCCAGGCGTCTATCGCTGCCTGGGAGACGTGACACAATTGGGATTCATGGGTCACGGTCTGCCTTCTGCATTCACGCATGTGCGTGGTCAGCCACGACCTGTGTATCTCCATCGGAGCAGCGGAGGCAGTGGAGGTAATTCGTAACAGTGTGTCTGTAACAAGACCAAATATTCAAGGGTATGTAAACTTTTGATCTTGACCATTTGAGTGATTTCTGTTATCATTGTGATTTAAAAAGGAGACAAACAACTATGTGATAATAAATGGCTTCATATGATCACTATCCTTCAATAAGATACTTTTTTTTTTTTGCATAATCAGTCATGTTTTCAAAATCAATGGCAAAATTTCACAATTTCTGCCATGGTATGCAAACTTTTGAGCACAACTGTACCTCATCCTGGGGTAAATCCTTCAGTTATATCTCGTGGACTGAATTACAGAGAATATATAATATATTCATAGACACATATATAGATTGACACAATAGTACTTTTACAAATATATTTGAATACAAATATATATGTTGACACAATGCTAATTACCTTAACTCTTAAAGAGATACTGGGTGAGCCGCCTCCTGGCTTGGTGACTATTCACTCGGCGAATTCACGGTTCTTTTACTGAATTACTACATGTTTCTTACACATGACAACATTTTGACCACACCTTCCAAAATCATGCAGGCTTTGACGGGTTGTCTACTGTACAGTTCATCCAATTATGGAGTCATAGAGACAAATGTACACATATGCCATTTATGGAGATGTGCAAGCATTGGAGGCTTGAAGAGATCTTAAAGTTCCATTGGTCTCAGGAGCCACTCAAAGGAGGCCGTATAAGCACTGTAGACCCAGCAGATCTTCTCCTCAGTTAATCTGGACATCATTTATTACTTATGGCCCACATGCAGCACCGGTCAGATCAGTGATAGCACCAGATAAGATCAGACCCACAAATGAAAATTCCACCACTAACTGTGCCTATTTAAAGTTAGAAGTGGAAATGCCCAATATCATAATGGAATGTGTGTGAATGGGAATAGTGCAACAACTTGCTCAACATCTTCTGATATTGATAACCAGGTGCACAAGAATAGAAATAATAATTATGGTAAATTCAAGTATTTTTTTGTAAGAATTATACACATATAGCCATAAATTCCATCCAAGCTGATTTCTTGTCTGTAGTTTGACACGTCCTCCGTTCCTGTTTTCTCTTTCAGCAGCTCTGATTTCCTGCCCATGAAGACCAGCTTTGCTTGTGAACAGCCTCATTACCTGTAACAATGCACAAGTACATTTTGGTTAATTAGTGATTGTCCTCTGCCATGTCAGCACAAATGTGCATGTGTAGCTGTGTCACACGCATTCTACCCTCTGTTTCATTCATCCTGCAAGCTTCAAGATATCGAGTGTGAACGCCAGCTGTGGCATACAACACCATCAGGAATGGATTACCCATTAGGCAGATCGGACGCCTGCCTACTGGCTCGAGTCTACTAGGGGGTTCCTGTTTTCAGCACTTACAATGTGCCTTTTTAAGGCTGAAGTATAAAACTCAGATGTGTCCCAGCTCTTCCAGTGTTAGTGTGTCCAGTGTCTGTGTGTACTGAGTGCCAGTGTGCAAGGCTGGGTAGGAAGTGAAAGGCACTCTCACACAGGAAGTGCCTTGCAGGAGGAGCGGGGACAGAATTGGGTGATGCACATTGTATAACATCTACTGCAGTTCTGCTATCAATCATAGCAGGGTGACAAGACTACAGATGACAAAATGGTGAGTAGTCTTTAAACTCCACATGTCTTAAACACTCCTTTCCTTAACCTTAAATTTAACCCCCTTCCAAAACCTAAACAAACCCTTCCCTTATTCCCAAATTTAAGCACCCAAAGACTAAACCTGAAAAAACTAAACTAAACACACCACAAGACTAAATTTAACACCTCTCTGTTCCTAAACACAAAAAACCTAAACACCCATTGTACGACTACTGTATTAAGATTTTAATCATACTAACACTAACACTCATATTAAAGCCTCTCTAACCATAAACATCTCTTTACCCTAACAACATCTATTATCTTTGACCGTGTATGCAAAGTTACAAACACTCGCTATACTTATAAATTGTAATTATATATGTATTTATTTAGATGCTTTTATGCTCACTCGCTTTATCTGCATTTTTTGGGGAGGGGGAGCAGGCGAAGGTCTTATATTATGTGCCTACAGGCACTTGACATGTAAATCCGTATATGCATAGCAAAAGGCATATTGTACGTACATCAGTAATGTGCTTCATTCCCCGAAAATAAATATGCCCCATAGCATTTGTATTCACAACTTGAAAGGCATGAGACAGTTGAATAGTGTAACCTGTTGTAACCCTACATCTTTGAGTACAAGGTTAACGTTTTATACCTTCAAATCCTTAAGGTGATACTGTGAACTGCAACCCCAATCACTGCCAATCAGGCTTTGCCTGTCCATGGTATTTTGCAAGAATGCAGGCAGACCCTAAACTAGTGAGGATATTCTCCTTAAACCTATTTGCCTCTTAGCCCTAAGTGGTCCCCCGTTGCCTATTACTGCTGTCTCCATAGGTAGCCAGTAAGTGTTCATAACCCTTAATCCTAGCAACATTAAAAACAGTGTTATCATGAGCAGTAACAAAGCTCTTATGACTGCACAACTGTTAAGGATTTTTATTACGAAAGATTACTCAACAATTTAAAAGTCACTGTTTTATCAGGGGAACTGCCACTACCCAGAGTTTTTAAAACAATGTCTACATATCCCTTAGTGTTAACAAATATTTATTTGTGAGTTGTGAAAAAATAAAACTAAATGAATTAAAGGGACATTATAGTCACCCAGACCACTTCAGCTCAATGAAGTGGTGTGGGTGCCAGGTCCCTCAGGTTTTAACCCTTCAGATGTAAACATGGCAGTTTCAGAGAAACTGCTATGTTTACATAGCAGGGTTAATCCAACCTCTAGTGGCTGTTTTCCGGACAGCCGCTAGAGGTGCTTCTGCGAAGCTGGATGCGAAAATCGCATCCAGCGTGCAGAATGTCCATAGGAAAGCATTGAGAAATGCTTTCCTATGGACTGTTTGAATGCGCCCGTGGGAATTGCTTGCGCATGAGCATTCCGCTCCACTCGGGAGCTGATGTTGGCGGGGGAGGAGAGGTCACCAGCGCAGAGGGAACCTGGCACTGGATTAAGGTAAGTAGCTGAAGGGGTTTTAACCCCTTCAGCGCCAAGGGAGTGGGACCCTGAGGGGGGGCACCCTTAGGGCACTATAGTGTCAGGAAAATGTTTTTTTTCCCCTGACTCTTTAGTGATCCTTTAATCTGCACTTCTTTATCCTGAATTGGGTGATACATCTTAGCTCACTGTCAGTCATCATTATAGCTCTGTCCTTTGATTAGGAGAAGGTCAATGGCAGAGTGGAGAGACTGAAAAGGATAATATACATTTGAATCAGTGAAGAAATTTAAGAGGTGCTAGAGTTGCTAAAAGGTTTATAGGTAAGACTTAGTGCTTTGAATTGACACCTATAGGATACGTGAAGCCAGTGTAAGGATCAAAAGAGGGCTGAGGTGTGAGAGGAGCGGCAGGAGAGGAGGATCACCCTGGCGGAAGCATTCATCACAGATTGTAGATTGCCACCAATTAGGAGAGAATTAGAGTAATCCATGCAAGAAATTACTAGAGCATGAACAAGCACCTTGGTGGCAACTTGCGTGAGAAAGGGGCAGATGAGGGCAATGTTTTTAAGGTGGAATCAAAAGGATTTAGAAACAGACTATATGATATGAGGTGCTTAGGTGAAGCCAAGATCAAAGATAACACCAAGCTTGCATGGATGGATTCATGTGGGTACCATCATCTTGCAGGAAAGTGAAGGAAGATCAGTATTACAAGGAAAAATAAGTAGCTCAGTTTTAAAGAGCTTGAGTTTCAGAAAGCAAGAGGAATTTGAAGTGGAGAAAGCTTGACAAGGTGTGAGACTTCCTCTAGCAGCATTCAGCTGAACGAAAGCATCTCTGCGGGTAGCGGGTTGACTAAGTGTGCCATGGTTGGAGACGCATCATCCTAGAGGTGCATGTTTGGATCAGGGCTGCAGTGTGTATGGCAGAGGTGAGGTTAGCTTTATACGAGGAGATAGCCAGAGAGGGACAGGAGAAGGTAGGAATGGATGAAAGTTCAGAACAGACTTCAGGTGAGAGTTGCTGGAGGTCAAGAATATTCAAGTTCCTTCTGAGTTGAGGGGGTTAGGCTGAGGATGTTTGGTGAGGGGGCTCTCAAGAAAAAATGAAAAGAGGTGGGGATGGCAAAGTTTTCAATGAACACCTGCCCACAACTGAATACATTATGATGTCATTTGGTAATATCAGGTTAAACAGTAATATAAAATTCAGTTCTTCAGATGGGCACTTAAAATTCGTGTTTTCGGAGCTGACACATTTCCAGCAAGTTTCCTTGCCTTCTGTTTGAATACACCATGCAGACACCCACGTGAGGGAACAGATTAAGATTATCTCCATAACACTGGGAGCCCCATCTTCTCCTCCCACATTCTGATCACAGGAGTGGACCCAATGACGATATTGCATTCACACAGATGGATTTATATGCTGGCTCCTTGCCTTAACATTCTGCCAGAACTGTGTGAATCAGAATTCCATTAATGGAATTGTCAGTTGCTCACACATAGCATCATCAAGCATGATTTAGATTTGGCTTGTTTGCAAAAAAAAAAATATGAATGAATGGGGTAAAATGATATGACAATCTTCACAGCACATTAAGATGGCACTGTCACTTCTCAAGATTTCTGATATTCTGTTTACTAATCAGTTATATTTAACTTATATGTATAAGAATAACAGATTGAGAAGTTAATAATCAACAGGTAAATAGGATCAGTGTCAGATATATATATTTTTTTTTTTATTGGACAGATGGCCAATATATCAGCCTCTTCTGAAATAGATATATCAATTTTGTCCCTATGTGTAGGAAAACTTTTCGCTGAGGATTTCAGCAGGCTATCTTGGCAAATTAATTATGTGCAAACGGGCAGAGGTTGGAGAAGGACATTGAGTAAATAGACAATTATAATCTGAGAGGACAATGAGTAGACCATTATAAACTGAGATCAAGCCGAGATAATGTTCTCAGATATGTACTCCACTGTGAGACAAATG